TCTCAGGAAAATACAATTGTACCATCGATAGAGCCAGCAATGTTCTGCCAGCTCTAATTTTCAGTTATGGTCAACGATGTGTGTTTATATGTATAATTTGGGGGTTTCAAGAAGGAGTGGGGGTGGAGCCTGCTTAGAGCTGCACATTTGCCAGATACGAGATAGCTGACAGATACAAAATGCATAAGCTGCTCAAAGTTTAATCGGTTTATGTGACAGCTGAGAGGGATTTCCAGTGGGTGACACTCTACTAAATCACAAAGGATTTGCAAGCCATAAACTGCCACGGCCAAAGCGGAGAAACTGAAAATAAAATGCAGCATCAAGTGGCTGTCAATGCGTTTTGGGTAGTGCTTAAGATATGATGCACTTCGCAGTCCCAATCCCAAAAACTTCCTCGGGATTAAACCCACAAATACTGAAGGGGTGAACAAATCAGCAGAGAGGCAGAGCGAGGAAAACGCACCGAGGGACAATTAAGCAAAAATGGGAAAACCATAGGAAATGGAAGTCGGAGAAAACCAGGGAAACCCTTGTGTGGTTTGTGCGGCTTGATTAAGAAGTTTTCGGGTTACAAATGATACAAGCGCCAGCAAATTATTCAAACTAATTGGTTTAAGCACTGCAGGGAATCCGATCCTTTAAACATTTTAAGGACAGTTGAGAATTTATACTTGAGGAAAGCCAAAAAATTTTTTGGAACTTGTTATGAAAAGAGCAAATAAAAAAGTTTTAAGGGGTTTATGCGAAAAGATGGACGAAGAAAGTGTCTATTTACTTTCATCACATAAATTTATGTCTTAAGAAAAACTTTATGGAAAATGAAAAGGCCACTATAGTTATTTCTTAAAAACTAAATAACATATCTAATAGAGGTTTTTATCTAAAGGTAAATCAAATGACTATCGCCCAAAAATTAATAAAGTCTCAGACGTTATTAAAATCACAGACTTTCCAGATTCTATAATTCCTTACTTAATTAGATTGAGGTATTTGTGGTTTAAGTATTAATCAATAAAGAAACCCTATATTTATGCAGTGTGAAATCGAACGCCAAAAAGATTTCCTTAAACATGAAAATTTATCATAATCAAGCTAAAAGGAGGAAAATCAAGAATTAATGCGCTAAAAGCAGAAAAAAAGCTGTTGAGTTGTATGGAGAAATTCGGAAAGCGTCTTCATTAGCATACACTTAACAATTTAAAACTTTTAAAGTCACTAAATTAGCCGAGAGTCTTAATCAATGTTTCGTGAATTTTCGAGAAATATGCAAATTATCCACACTTTATGCCGATGACTTTCCATTTAATTAAAAACTTTTCCCAGGCAAGGCGACTGGCAAATTGCTTCGAATTGAAAATTGTTGCTGGAAGGTCAGAGCACTCAACTCGATGACTTTTAGAGGGTCTAAAACAATGTTTCAATGTTTCGACTCTCAGGTCAATCCCTGGATATTGATACGCTTTTGTCCCTTTTGTTTTACTGTTGCAGCCCTTTTGAAAGATAAATCTTAATGTCTATCTAATCAATAAATAATTGGCATGTCCTGTTGACGCAGCCTCACAAAATATCCATTTCACTGTAATCGAAATCCATAGACAAATCTGAGATAAGCCAATTGTAAACAAACGGAAAAAGGTTTTCCCACACAACCTCAACTCTGCAAAAAAATAAAACCGAAAAATGTTTGAAACAATTTTTGAAGCGAATCAGCAGGACAAAAATGAAATGAAATACTTTCGATTGACATATACGAATTTTGTTGTGATGGAATCCATTGTTTACAGGACTCGAAATGAACTTGTTATTCGAGTGGAGGGAAAAACAAAGAGAAAAACAAAAATAATGCATTTGTCTGCGGGCGGGGTGATGTGGAAAATTTTGTGCGGAGCTCAGCAGGAAAGAGGGGCGGAAAAGGATGAGTTTTGTCCTGTCACGACTCCTTCGACACAAATTTAATATTGTAAATGGAAATGGAATGCTCACTCCGAAAAAAATAAACGGAAACCAAAAGGTATACAAAGTAAAGACAACTTCATGGAGAAGTTCTTTTGTTTTTAGGAAATTTTTTTAATATTGTTCAATTTTAAAAAAGCAACAATTGACTTTTATTTATTATAATTTTTTTTTTGATAATAAAGTCACACAATTTTGAACCAATCTCAACGAAAGCTATTTTTGGGTATCTAAAATATCTAATAATTAGGATTTAATTAAATAGTAAAAATGGTTAATTAAGTAAATGTGAAAGCCGAAATTTTGAAGAATAATGAAAACATATCTTCAGTTTTTACACCCTTGTCAGCTTGAGACTAAATTTTTCATAAGCTCCACATGTTTAATCCAAGGCATTGCTCTTAATCTTAATAAACAAGGCGAAATACTTTCTAAAAAATATATTTTAAAGTGTAAAGTGAGGGCAAGTGAATTGTAAAGTGTCCCGGCACTTAACCGTCCAATTGATTTTCGACAAACACTTCACCTTTCGCTTGTTTTCGCAGCTGACGGCTAGTGTCAACATTCAGCATCGGAATGCCAAATGCGAATCGCGAAATCAAACTATGCAAATGAAGGCTGGAGCTCGTGACCCGCGAATCGCTTTAATCAAACCCGAAAAGGTGGCCTGTCACTAAATGAAATATATGTAAATTTCATAAATGAAGTGAACACACATCCATCCAGTTCTCATGGCGCGGCATCAATATATCATCAATATTAAAATGCAATTACGGGCTGCCGCCTGCCAGCTGCCTGCTGGGGTAATCACATAAAAAATTAACCAAAGAATTGCGCTAAATGTTGGGCTCGACCCGCTGGATACCTTGATTTTGCGTCATTCATGGCCGCCATTTCCCCAGCAGTTTTTACCGCAGTTTTGCCCCTGAGAGCTCGCCTAAAAGTATGCCACGTAAAACTCAAGTAACTCCGACGGGATTTTCACCATCACTTCTTTCTGGGTTAAAGTTTTCCTCGCCATTTATTCAGTTTCAACGGTTCTAGTTGGCTTTTTCGCGTAATTGTCAGGTTGTCACTCTCCGTGTTGGGTAAACTTTGATGTTAATTCTCTTTGGGTATTTCGTGGAAAAGCTGGGAAATCTCTGGCTTTTCAACGGTTTTTGGTTTTCATTGTTGACCAAAATTGGAAAACTGTGGGGAACTAGCATCCAATGTTGGATCGAACAATAATACAAGCAATTGCCGTTTTTGTTGAAGTAACAATTTGCAACAATACGTTTTGAAGGCATAGAAAAATATTTAAATTTAATGCACTTCACTTGTTAACTGTTGTTTTTCATTTAAGTGATAGATTGTATTTTACTATTTCAACAGTAGATTGATCCCTGCAAAGAATGAATTCTGTTATATTAAGTACTATCTTAATCTATCTTAAAATTCAACTTGCAACAAAGTTTGTTAAGTTGGCTAAAAGAAAACAAGAATCTATGTTTCTTTGCATTTCTTTTACCACATGAATGAACAAGTAAATATGCTTAAAACTTTGTATACTAAAAGTGTGCAAAATTATGTATGCGTTTGACTGTTAAAGTTTGAATTAGTTGATGAACAAAGTTAAGTTTAAGCACCTTCCTACTAACTTTTTATTTCTTACTGTCAGAGACACAATTCACTTATATTGCTGCATTTTAAATAAATTTCTGGAAGATAACAGCCCCCGCTAATCTAAAAATATCTTGTTCTCATACAAATTTGAATAAATTTAGAAGATAAATATTTTACTTATACGGATAACACAGACCCTCCTTCCTTTTCAATATCTCAATCAATTCAGGCTAATCCGAGTACGACCTGTTTCACATTTCCGCTTGATCAACCGGTAAACCAAAGTCCACCGCAATTATTCAGATACCCCTTAACTAACCGCATCGAGTTACAATTACCATTGCCAGAAACCATTACAATCGATTCAATATTTGTCAGGGAAATTGTCATTAATATATAACGAGTGTGCTGCAGAAGTGTCCAATTTCCAGGGAGGCGACTCTGATTGCCCGGCTAATAATAAAGATTCAAAAAATAAAAGCTCGGCTCACAGTTAATCTAGTTGGAGACCAGCAGCAACTAGCACTTTACTCTTTTCTCGCTTGGTTTCGCCACTCCAACTATTTTTTTCACCCCACGACCACCTTTCTTGTATAATTCCCCACACGAGAAAAAAAAACTTTAAATATCCATTTATCTAAATAAATTATATGCATAGTTGTTATATCTTGTTTTATGTTTTCCAAACTATATGGGTAAAGCTTATGAATCCAAACTTTATATTCATTAAGAAAAGATAAACCATAACCTAATGATTTTTCTTGTGGTTATGATAACTAAACTAAAAGACTAAACTATAGATAAAAGGTAGCAATTCATAAGAAACAAGGTTTTAATAGAAGGTTAGGGTTTGAATAAAATCGAATGCGTTTTTTTTTAAGCCTGTGTCAAGGAAGGACAAACTTATTAAATAGTTTCATTTTGTATTTGAAATCACTTAAAACTTAAAGTGTCACTTCCCCAAATATTGACATATAAGATAAGTCAGATTCAGTCTTTTGGATATTAACACTTTTCTCTGTTTATTCAAATGCTTGTATTATTATCATAAAGTTGCAATAACGTGTCTATGGCTCTTCAACGTATTGAATTGTGGTACAGTACTATTGTCTCATTGTATAAATTACCAAATCAATGAACTAATTTAAATTGAAAATCAGCCCAAGAGATGGACACTTTCGGCTATATTTTTCTCGGTGCAAACCTCTCACTAGAGCTTATGTATAATGCATGGCATCTCTCGACTCTTGGCTTGTAAACGTAGCCAGGCAACGGCCAACCACTTTGACTGGTCTTAATCGCTGGCAAAGGAAAACCCGAGGAAAAGCGACGGCGGGGGGCTCGTGAAAACTGTCAGCGTCATTGCTATTGATGTCCGTCCTCGCACTTGGCTTTTAATATTCAAAATAGGAAAATGGCACAGGCACCCAAAAACGAACCTAAAATCGCAGTATGAACAGAAACAACATTGTGCTGGAAAAATGCCGCTGTCGCTGACAGTTGACGCCAGGAATTTGTATTTATATTTTCACGGTTGGCTTTTCTTGGCTGGTTTTTATTTATTACTTGTATTGCTTTCTTTCATTTATTTTTTGACAATTTTTTTGGAGGCACTGGAGGCACTGAGACACTGGGAAAACGGAGATGCGGACAAAGAACAGACCGACCGACGCGGGCGAGAAAAGCGGGGAGAGACTGGCTCGTCGGGCAGTCGAAATTCAACTGAATCCGCTGCCAGACGGCCAAAGAGACCAGACCGGCAGAGCCACCCGCGCCTCCAGCACCACCAGCACCATCAGCACCACCAGCACCACCGGCACCACCGACCCCCCAGCCCGCACCACTTTTTCTCTTCGTTTTTCAAGAGAAATCGCTTTCTTCTGCGGAGCAATGCCATGCAAAATAGCCAAATAGGTGAGCATTACGCACAAAGAGAGAGAGAAGATTGCCAAAAAGAGAAATAGTGAGCGGAATAGTGAACAGGGAGAGAGTCTCCCAAGGCGGAAAGAGAGAGAGAGCTTTTTCCAGACCCCCTCCCTCTCCGGAAAAGAAAAGGAAAACACCACCGAAACTGGAAAACTCTGCAAATTGTCGGCAAAAATATATAGTAGCCAAGTTTTTGCAGCACAACAAAAAAGCTCTCAATGATTACAACTTACACCAGAGAGAGAGAGGGAGAGATGGCTAGGAAAGAGAGGGAAAGAGCGAGGTAATAGTAAGGCAGAGCGAGGGGGATATAATTTTGACTTGTAATTGAAATTTCATGGATTATTAGTTCACCCAGACAGTATCTGGGTGGATAGTAAAAAACTGTTTGAAAGGAAATCTGTGTGGCTCTTCCATAAAACCATCACACACCCACCCATATTTGAAAACACCCCCCAACCCCACCTCTGGACGCCTTGGAACCAACTGTTGATTGAGGCCACCAAAATAGCTTTGGACTTAGGTTGAGGATGAGGGGATTCCCCGGTTAGGCATTGGAATTTCTGCTCACTTCTTTCGGGTGCTGTGCTGGCCCCACTCCCACTTTAACCCAATCGACGGGACCCCTTCGCAACCCCACCCGAGAAGTCTCTGGTTAATGAAGCGCTTTATTGGACCATCGCCAAGGGCCGAAGAAGAGGTGAATGGAGACCCGACTCACGCTCTTCGCCGGTTTATATGGGTCTTTGTGCCACCAAGTGTTGAAGGTCAGGCCTCGGGGGCCAAAGCCTTTCTGCTTTTTTGGTTTCGGCTTTGTTGAGTGTTTGAGCTGTTATTGCAATAGTAATTTTTGGTAATGAAATCGAAACAAATACCAAAGGTGGCAGTAAATTGGTTTTCAAAACGCTATTCCGAGCAGCATATAAAAAGGCTTAGCAACTTATTCGAGGGTCTACAAAGGTGATGTGATAATAGATTACAAAATGAAATAACTTACTGGCTTAAGACTTACTCAGAGTTCCTTCAATTAGTAGCTCAAAAGTTATTAATATGCTTTCACTGATTCTTGAAATTATATACTAGTCAAACTATTTAAAAACTTATATGGGATGTGGAGTTTAGTAACTCTATCGAACATGTAGTTTTTATTCCTTGCTTGTGTAAAATGATTTCTTTTGTGCCCGTAAATTACAATTTATGTTATGTTATACCGTTTTGAAAAACGAAAGCATTCTAAGCCTTAGAAAAAAATACCCTTAAACAATTCAAGATTACACCAATAACCTGAACCAATTTTAGAAGAACGTCAGATTTTGAGAACTGGACACCAACAAATGCGAAAAAACATTTTTAAATACTTTAAAAATATTTCATGTCATTTTTTATAAAATATAAAGTGAAATTGTAAGACAATAAAAATCTATTACTTTGTAATATTTTGGAAATGTGAATAAATAAACAGTATTATGAATATGCACTTAAAACTATTTTTGATACTAATACATATTTCTCATTTGTTTCTATTACTGTAGTGTTCACAAATATTCTAAGCACAATCCCATAACCAACAGAAATTACAAACATAGAGGTTATCTAGGATCAAATTTAATAAGACAATAACAGAACGTGTCGAGAGCTCGGAAGTTCGTGTGAAAACAAAACCCCATTCTCAACTGATAAGTTTCAAAGCCCCAAAATTTAGTTGCCTCTTGAAGCTGATCGAATTCACATTTGCCGTTTAGAAACAACCGCCGTTTGCACACATTAAAAATGTCTATTTGGAGAGCAATTATCTACTACTTGTACACTCACATTGGGCAATTTCATTGGGAAATCTCCCCGGACCTAACGCAATACCAGCAAATTGGCAACCGATATTTTATCTTCGAGAACGATGTTGAGTTGAGTTGGACTGATGCCGAAAGAGCCTGTCAAAAAAAAGGAGGACACTTAGCGACTATAAAAGACGAGGAAGAGATGTACCACATTGTATATCAAATCGAGGATTTAACATACTACTGGTTGGGCATCAACGATCATGACAATAAAGGCGACTTTATGTCCTTGGCTTCCGGCAAGAAATTCCCTTTTTTGTGGTGGGCGGACTATGAACCAAGCTATACAGACGACAGAAAGAACTGCGTTTCTTTCCTTGATGGCCAAATGTGGCTTAGGGATTGCCATATGCTAAGCAATTTTATTTGCCAGGCAGATAAAGAATTTTAATTACCAAAAAATAAATAAACAAATTTTAAATGTAATTTTATTCTTCACACTATAGTGTTCTTTTTTGAATGTCAGATTGGTCAACATTTTTAAATACTTTGGACTTTATCTAAAAAAACATATATTATATACTCTGACCGGCAAACGAGCAAAATTTCTAAAGTGTCATGTTAGTAACAATTTGTTAGGCGATGAGGACTGCGTTACTACCTTGGTTTTTATCTGGAAATTATTTGCAAGTTAGAAATGTTGAATACTTTAAAACTATATCTATATAAAATATAATTAAAATTGAATTGTAATTACTTGGTAATCTTTTGGATATTTGAATAAACATACAAATATATATTGTGCTATATTTTGTATTTGTTTCTATTTCTATATTCTACGCACAATCCCATGACCAACAGAAATTACAAATATATAGGTTATCTAGGATCAATTTTAAAAAGAGAATAATAGAACTTGTCGAGAGCTCGGATTTCGTCTGAAGAGAGAATCCATATTTAATTGATAATTGTTCAAAGCCACATATAAAATGAGGCAAGCGAACCCCAACATTTAGTTGTCTCTTCAAGTTGATCGAATTCACATTTGCCGTTTAGAAACAAACACAAATTTAAAATGTTTTTTTGGGCAGCAATTCTTTACTACTTGTTCACTCATATGGGTGAATTTAATTGGGAAATCTCCCCGGATCTAACGCAATACAAGCAAATTGGCAACCGATATTTTATCTTCGAGAGCGATGTTGAGTTGAGTTGGACTGATGCCAAAAAAGCCTGTGAAGAAAAACGAGGACACTTAGCGACCCTAAAAGACATTGAAGAGTTATACCGCATTATGTATGAAATCAAAGATGTAAAATTCTACTGGCTGGGCATCAACGATCATGAGAATAAAGGCGAGTTTATCTCACTGGCTTCCGGCAAGAGAGACCCTTTTTTGTATTGGCAGGAAAACGAACCAAGCTACACGGAGAACAAAAAGAACTGCGTTTATATCTTTTATGTCAAAATGTGGGTGGCGGATTGTGATATTCCAAGAAATTTTATTTGCCAGGCAGATCGAGAATTTTAGTAGATCAAAAAAAAATAAAGAAATTTGAAATGTAATTTTAAATTAATTTCGAGCTAACGAGCAACATTTCTAAAGTGATACAATTTATAAGCTTTTTTATCAACTGCAAATTATTTGCAATTTGGAAGTTTTAAATACTTTAAAAATTATTTCATGTAATTTTTATATAAAATATATAAAATTACGTTGTAAGACAATACAAATCTATTCCTTTGTAATATTTTGGAAATGTAATTAGATAAACAGAATTATGTATACGCTTCTAAAACTATTTCTAATACTAATACATATTTTGTGCTATATTTATTTTTTATTTCTGATGCTGTATTGGTCATATATATTCTACGCACAATTCCTTGGCCAATAGAAATTACAAACATAAAGGTTATCTAGGATAAAATTTAGTAAGAGAATAATAGAACTTGTCGAGAGCTCGGATTTCGTCTGAAGAGAGAATCCACGTTTAATTGATAATTGTTCAAAGCCACATATAAAATGAGGCAAGCGAACCCCAAAATTTAGTTGTCTCTTCAAGTTGATCGAATTCACATTTGCCGTTTAGAAACAAGCACAAATTAAAAATGTTTGTTTTGGCAGCAGTTCTTAACTACTTGTTCGTTCATTTAATGGGTGAATTTAATTCGGAAATCTCCCCGGATCTAACGCAATACAAGAAAATTTGCAACCGATATTTTATTTTCGAGAGCGATGTTGAGTTGAGTTGGACTGATGCCGAAAAAGCCTGTCAAGAAAAACGAGGACACTTGGCGACCATAAAAGACAGTGAAGAGTTGTTCCGCATTATGTATGAAGTCCAAGATTTAAAATTCTACTGGCTGGGCATCAACGATCATGAGAATAAAGGCGAGTTTATCTCATTGGCTTCCGGCAAGAGAGACCCTTTTTTGTATTGGCAGGCACTCGAACCGAGCTACAAGGAGGCCGAAAAGAACTGCGTTTGTCTGTTTAATGTCAAAATGTTCGTTAGGGATTGTAATTTTCTAAGCAATTTTATTTGCCAGGCAGATAAAGAATTTTAGTAACTCAAGAAAAATAAAAAAATTTGAAATGTAATTTAAGTCTTGGCACTACTTGTTCTTTTTGAATGTCAGAATGGTCAACATTTTTAAATACGAAAGTGTTTATCTAAAAAAACATATCTTATATATATTCTTACCGGCCAACGAGAAAAATTTTTAAAGTGGAATAATGGTAAAAATTTATAAGATTAGAAATTTTAAATACTATAGAAAATATTTCAACTATTTTGCGCATAAAATATAAAATGAAAATGTAAGACAATAAAAATCTATTACTTTGTAATCTTTTGGAAATGTGAATAAATAAACAGAATTATGTATACGCAACTAAAACTATTTCTAATACTAATACATATTTGGTGCTATATTTCTTATTTGTTTCTGAAGCTGTATTGGTCAAATTTAATAAGAGAATAACAGAACTCTTTGAGAGCTCGGATTTCGTCTGAAAAGAGAATCCATATCTAATTGATAATCGTTCAATGCCATATATAAAATGAGGCAACCGAGCCCCAAAATTTAGTTGTATCTTCAAGTTGATCGAATTCACATTTGCCGTTTAGAAACAAGCACAAATTAAAAATGTTTTTTTGGGCAGCAATTCTTTACTACTTGTTCACTCATATGGGTGAAATTAATTGGGAAATCTCCCCGGATCTAACGCACTACCAGCAAATTGGCAACCGATATTTTATCTTCAAGAGCGATGTTGAGTTGAGTTGGACTGATGCTGAAAAAGCCTGTCAAGAAGAACGAGGACACTTGGCGACCATAAAAGATAGTGAAGAGTTGTCCCGAATTATTTATGAAATCAACAATTTAAAATTCTACTGGCTGGGCATCGACGATAACGACAATAAAGGCGTATTTATTTCATTGGCTTCCGGCAAGAAAGACCCTTTTTTGTATTGGCAGGCACTCGAACCAACCTACATGCAGGCCGAGAAAAACTGCGTTTGTTTGTTTGATGGCAAAATGTATGTTAGGGATTGTGATTTGCGAAGCCATTTTATTTGCCAGGCAGATAAAGAATTTTAGTAACTCAAGAAAAATAAAGAAATGTGAAATGTAATTTTAGTCTGTGTACTATGATGTTTATTTTTGAATGTCAGAATGGTCAACATTTTTAAATACCTTAAGGTTTATCTAAAAAAACATATATTATATACATTCTTACCGGAAAACGAACAACATTTTTAAAGTCGAATGATGGTGAAAATTTATAAGTTTGGAAATTTTAAATCCTTAAAAAATATTTTATGTAATTTTTGAAAATTAAGTTGTAAGACAATAAAAATCTATTACTTTGTAATCCTCTGGAAATGTGAATAAATAAATAGAATTATGTATACGCAACTAAAACTATTTCTATTACTAATACATATTTGGTGCTATATTTCTTATTTGTTTCTGATGCTGTATTGTTCATAACTATTCTCCGCACAAACCCATGGCCAATAGAAATGACAAACATAGAGGTTATCTAGGATCAAATTTAATAAGAAAATAACAGAACTTTTTGAGAGCTCGGATTTCGTCTGAAGAGAGAATCCAAATTTAATTGATAATAGTTCAAAGCCACATATAAAATGAGGCAAGCGATCCCCAAAATTTAGTTGTCTCTTCAAGTTGATCGAATTCACATTTGCCGTTTCAAAACAAGCACAAATTAAAAATGTTTTTTTTGGCAGCAATTTTTAACTACTTGTTCGTTCATTTAATGGGTGAATTTAATTCGGAAATCTCTGCGGATCTAACGCAATACAAGAAAATTGGCAACCGATATTTTATTTTCGAGAGCGATGTTGAGTTGAGTTGGACTGATGCCGAAAAAGCCTGTCAAGAAAAACGAGGACACTTGGCGACCATAAAAGACAGTGAAGAGTTGTTCCGCATTATGTATGAAGTCCAAGATTTAAAATTCTACTGGCTGGGCATCAACGATCATGAGAATAAAGGCGAGTTTATCTCATTGGCTTCCGGCAAGAGAGACCCTTTTTTGTATTGGCAGGCACTCGAACCGAGCTACAAGGAGGCCGAAAAGAACTGCGTTTGTCTGTTTAATGTCAAAATGTTTCTTAGGGATTGTAATTTTCTAAGCAATTTTATCTGCCAGGCAGATAAAGAATTTTAGTAACTCAAGAAAAATAAAGGAATTTCAAATGTAATTCAAGTCTTTGCACTATAATGTTCTTTTTTGAATGTCAGAATGTTCAACATTTTTAAATACCTTAAGGTTTATCTAAAAAAACATATCTTATATATATTCTTACCGGCCAACGAGAAACATTTTTAAAGTGGAACTATGGTAACAATTTATAAGATTAGAAATTATAAATACTATAAAACCATTTCATATATTTTGCACATAAAATATAAAATGAAAATGTAAGACAATAAAAATCTATTACTTTGTAATCTTTTGGAAATGTGAATAAATAAACAGAATTATGTATACGCACCTAAAACTATTTCCAATTCTAGTACATATTTGGTGCTTTATTTATTTTTTGTTTCTGATGCTGTATTGGTCATATATATTCTACGCACAATTCCTTGGCCAATAGAAATTACAAACATAGAGGTTATCTAGGATCAAATTTAATAAGAGAATAACAAAACTTGTCGAGAGCTCGGATTTCTTCAGAATAGAGAATCCATATTTAATTGATAATTGTTCAAAGCCACATATAAAATGAGGCAAGCGAACCCCAAAATTTAGTTGTCTCTTCAAGTTGATCGAATTCACATTTGCCGTTTAGAAACAAACACAAATTTAAAATGTTTTTTTGGGCAGCAATTCTTTACTACTTGTTCACTCATATTGGTGAATTTAATTGGGAAATCTCCCCGGATCTAATGCAATACAAACAAATTGGCGACCGATATTTTATCTTCGAGAGCGATGTTGAGTTGAGTTGGACTGATGCCCAAAAAGCCTGTGAAGAAAAACGAGGACACTTGGCGACCATAAAAGACAGTGAAGAGTTGTTCAACATTATGTATGAAGTCGAAAATTTAAAATTCTACTGGCTGGGCATCAACGATCATGAGAATAAAGGCGAGTTTATCTCATTGGCTTCCGGCAAGAGAGACCCTTTTTTGTATTGGCAGGCACTCGAACCGAGCTACAAGGAGGCCGAAAAGAACTGCGTTTGTCTGTTTAATGTCAAAATGTTCCTTAGGGATTGTAATTTTCTAAGCAATTTTATCTGCCAGGCAGATAAAGAATTTTAGTAACTCAAGAAAAATAAAGGAATTTCAAATATAATTCAAGTCTTTGCACTATAATGTTCTTTTTTGAATATCAGAATGTTCAACATTTTTAAATACCTTAAGGTTTATCTAAAAAAAACAAATCTTATATATATTCTTACCGGCCAACGAGAAAAATTTTTAAAGTGGAATTATAGTAACAATTTATAAGATTCGAAATTATAAATACTATAAAACCATTTCATATATTTTGCACATAAAATATAAAATGAAAATGTAAGACAATAAAAATCTATTACTTTGTAATCTTTTGGAAATGTGAATAAATAAACAGAATTATGTATAGGCAACTAAAACTATTTCTAATACTAATACATATTTGGTGCTATATTTCTTATTTGTTTCTGATGCTGTATTGGTCATATATATTGTACGTACAATCCATGGCCAATAGAAATTACAAACATAAAGGTTATCTAGGATCAAATTTAATAAGAGAATAACAAAAATTGTCGAGAGCACGGATTTCGTCTGAATAGAGAATCCATATTTAATTGATAATTGTTCAAAGCCGCATATAAAATGAGGCAAGCTAGCCCCAAAATTTAGTTGTCTCTTCAAGTTGATCGAATTTACATTTGCCGTTTAGTAACAAGCACAAATTAAAAATGTTTTTTTGGGCAGCAATTCTTTACTACTTGTTCACTCATATGGGTGAATTTAATTGGGAAATCTCCCCGGATCTAACGCAATACAAGCAAATTGGCAACCGATATTTTATCTTCGAGAGCGATGTTGAGTTGAGTTGGGCTGATGCCAAAAAAGCCTGTGAAGAAAAACGAGGACACTTAGCGACCCTAAAAGACATTGAAGAGTTATACCGCATTATGTATGAAATCGAAGATGTAAAATTCTACTGGCTGGGCATCAACGATCGTGACACTGAAGGCGACTTTATCTCATTGGCTTCCGGCAAGAGAGACCCTTTTTTATATTGGCAGAACAACCAACCAAGCAACACGGAGGACAAAAACTGCGTTTATTTCTTTTATCGCAAAATGTCGGTAGGAGATTGTGCTTTACCGAAAAATTTTATTTGCCAGGCAGGTAGAGAATATTAGTAGCTCAAAAAAAAAAAAAAAAAAAAAGACATTTTAAATGTAATTTTAAATTAATTGTAATTAATTAATTAAAGTTGGTAACAATTATAAGCTTTTTTACAACTGCAAATTATTTGCAGATTGGAAATTTTAAATACTTTAAAAATTATTTCAAGTAATTTTTTTATAAAATATAAAATGAAGTTGTAAGACAAAAAAATCTATTACCTTGTTATTCTCTGGAAATGTGAATAAATAAACAGAATTATGTTTAAGCACTTAAAACAATTTATAATACTAATACATATTTTGTGCTATATTTCTTATTTGTTTCTGTTGCTGTGTTGTTCATAAATATTCTAAGCACAATCCCATGGCCTATAGAAATTACAAACATAAAGGTTATCTAGGATCAAATTGAATAAGAGAATATTATAAATTGTCGAGAGCTCGGAAGTTCATCTGAAAAGGGAACCTGTATTTAATTGATAAATGTTTAAAGACACATATATAAGTATTAAGTCACAAAATTTAGTTGTCTCTTCAAGTTGATCGAATTCGCATTTGCCGTTGAGAATCAAGCACAAATTAAAATTGCATATTTGGACAGAAATTATCTACTACTTGCTCACTCATATTGACGAATTTAAAAGTACCCCTGAAAAAAGTCTTTAAATATAAAAAACTTGCGAATTTCTCTTTTTGGTATCTCCAATTTTATAGTTTATTAAAATAAGAAGTAAATCATAAAATAATACTGTAGTACTAATATTATTAAAATTTCTTTAAAAATAGTTGGATCATTAAATTGGGAAAATACTAATTAGAAATCTTTAGAGAAAAATGTACACCTGTTTTTGTAAGTCCCATTCCAATGCAAGGTTATTCAGGCTAAAATATTATAAGATTGCGTCAGCACAGGCTAGATTTGAGGAAATGGTCAAAAAAAGGTTTTCTATTAAATTGATAAGCGTTCAAAGACTCTTATCAAGACAGCAAAGTAAGCTCCACAAATTTATTTTCCTTTTCAAGTTCATTGTATTCGCGGATTTCTATAAATAAAAACATCTATTTGAATCTTGATGAAAAGGCGAAATATATTTTTATTAACATTAAAGTGAGTTTTTTTAGTTCCCTAACAATCCCAGCGAAATATACAATTTGTTTTGTTTGTTTTTGGTGTTCAATAGATTTCTTTATTGCATTTGTTTATCATTTTTTATATATATTTGTTCAATTATATATATATAAATTTATATATAATTAGTTTAATTTGGTTTGTTCATGAATTATTGAGAGAACAATTTGTTTTGTTTAGTTCAAATAGTATACAATTTGCTTAACTATACAATTAAAAAACAGTTTCGAAATCATAGCGAGAACAACACAACGATATAAACAATTGTTTATATCCATTTTCTATAGCTTGCAATATTTAGTATTAATTTAGTTATTATTAATGCTTTGTTCATTGTAAAAACTTAACAAATGTTTTGCAAACTTCGTTTATTTGTTGCCCATCTTCGATCTCAATGTTGCTTAAGTTTTGCATCCTATTATTTTGCTTGCTTTTGTTCCTTTGTTTGTTCTTAGTAATTATTATGTTTATTCTTACAAATATGTAGACAAAATGCTTGCTGAGAGATATATATTCAAAATGTACAAGAGAATTAGCTAATGACTTGCGAAAGTAAAATCAAAGGAAAGTCGGGGAAAACAATTTGCAAACCTGTTTGTTTTTGAACCACGCGAACTCCAAAATACTTTTTTTGGGCTAAATCCACCCACCTAACCCCTAAGCAGTTTGTAAACTTTTTCAACAAATTCAAGTTAACTGAACGGAACTGTAAGGAATTCCCAACCGCTTCTAGATTCTTTGTTTGTTTTAAAATTATTCGTGGAAGGGGAGAAGGGTTCCGAATAAAATTTATTAGAACTAGTTTGCATTTTAAGTGGTAGAAATTTGAAATTTTCGTTAAGGTCTCTCTGTTTGTTGATATGTAAGCCAACTGTTCAGGTTGGGAAAATATAAGAAACGATTATTTCTCAGCTTACCGAGTAATCCCAGCATGCAACTGAGTGATGAGAGAAAAGTGCCAAGAGATGGAAAATTTCGTTTGTTTTTCCTAAAAACTTTTGCGTCTTTCGTTGAGGAAAATCAGCACCTTTCGCATTTTAAGTTCGGGGAAAAGTTAAAGTCAACACGTGCCTGGCTTGAATGGTTTTTTAAACAGTATATGTACTTTTTGATTGGTTCCTGTTTAATTAAGCTTCGCTAACACCGAGTTTGAGTTGGAGTCTTCCTTTGTAAATATATCAAATTAAAGCTTTCAAACCGAAGTCGAGTCTTTACACAACGCATAAGGAACTGGCAAACCTAGTTGTAAAGCATCTAGGTTTATATACACTCCTCGTCGATTTAATATCTATGGCTTATGTAAAAAATGGATCGTTAGTAAGCTTGCATTCGGTAAAAACACTATGTATGGTTAAAAACGTTGCCTTCGCTCTGTCTTGGTTATCTCTCGATGGTCAAATGTTGTCGTCAAGCAATTGGATTATCTATATTTAGCTAAGGTTATGTTTAGGTTCGATATTGATAGGTATGTCGTGATATGGTGAACGAAACTTGCGAGTCTATTTATTGCCTTCGATCAGAGATGGCTAGATCGTTCTTATAAAATATATGTTTTTTAAATGTTAACCACAACACAATATTTAATACAGTTCAATTCCGGAATTAAAGCAAAATTTATTTGTAAATTTTATTTGAATAGTTTTCCATAAGGATTATTGCTTTTTATATCTGATGTGTTTAAAAATAATGAACTAATTTATGAAAAGAGTAAAAAAGCGTAAACCATATAGTTGGTTATTTAACTAAACCTCTTCCGACACTCAAAGAATACTTCTAATAATAAATAGAATCACAATTGATTTGATTTTGAGGCTGTTCTCCAATGTATTCCGACTCTAATGTGAATATATGATATTCATTTCGATATTTGGTGTATTAGACTCTTTGAAACACAGTGAGTGATATGACTGAAATAAGGACCATCGATGATCAATGATAAGTGAGGCCATCTCTGAGACACTCCTTCTTCGTCCTCTTGCGAATACGTATGCGAAGGCTGTGATATCGAATAGATATTGCTTATTTGGGGGATATGGGAGAGTGTATAGATATCAGGTGGCTTGGGTCCCTTGGCTGCCTTGGTGACTTAGAGGAAGGCCTTCTTGCTGGTCTCCTGTGTGGTCGTGGTTGTGGTGGTGGAGATGCCCGAGTCCTTGCCCACACTCGCAGTGGTGGACACGGCAATGCTGGGCACCACCATGCTGGGTGGTGCTGCTGGTGGAGGTGGTGGTGCAGCAGTGGTGGTGCTAGTTCCCGATGCAGGGGGCGTGGCTGCCAGGGGGGTGGGTACTCGGGGCTGGAACGAGGGCTTGCCCATCGCCAGGGCAGGATTTAGGTCCAACATTGTCCTGGGACTCATCGCCACGATACTAGCGCCCAGTGGACCTGCGAAAAGTTGAGCAACTTTTTGTTTTTAACCCCGCCACAGAAAGGATTATCGGTTTCGGTGGGATAGGAAGTAGGTGGGTGGATTTATATAGCCGGAAACAATAGATAGATATATAGTAGGTGGAAATCCAGGAGAGTAAGAGAAAAACAGAGAAAGAAAAAGAAAGAGAGAGAGAGAAATAAATATTATTTTCATTAAGTCGGTTAGTCAAGCTGGAGAGTCCAAATTCGGTAAACTTCGAATTTTATTATGGCAGGTGGGAGATACATGTTTTCATTTTCAAAATTGCTGATGGTAATTACTGGGTGCACTTGGTTACTACGATATACGAGGGGTGGGGTGGTTTTCTGAGGGAGGTGTAACACGAACACGAGTACAAACATCACACACATCGACAACTATGAAACACTAATCACACTCTAAGACTCGGGTCAAAGTTCAGGTCACATGCAGCATGCTCGATAAATAGTCATATAAATACACACACAGGAGGCTAGATACAATATATCTGCAAACTACATTGGGCTAAGATTTCCGCTCATGTGGATAACTTGGACTCAGGCAGAGGGGTCAGCAGTGGGGGCGGGGGCGGGGTCGTGGCAAACTTTGTAGAATCAAATGCTGGGAAATCGGATTGGTGAAGGTGGCTCTATAGTTTCTGCTTGCTACGAACTAGTTTCAAAGTTTTTCAACTATTTGACACTTTTGGTTTGGGGATTTTTCGGGTTGGAAGAGAACAAGAAAGTTGGAAGTTGTTAGGGGTAGATAATAAAGGTTTCTTAACCAACACACACCCGCCCAGCAGAGTCCGAGTTTTGGTTAGCTGATAGCATGATAGATGAACGAACCGAGGATTTCTTATCGCTTTACATTTTGTATTTGACTGAGGTTTCGTTTTGATTTCGTTTCGTTTTTTTTTCGATTTTGTTGCTGAGTTTTTTCTTGTTTCTTGTGTCTGGCTTAACAAATTACAAAATATCTTTCTGGTTCTGTTCTGTTTTTTGTCTTAGTCGAAACTGAAGGCCATATCTGAAATACAAGAGTTCGAGATAATACAAAGTTGTTTCCATGTTTTTTGATCAATTTTATATAGCTAAGGGATCTCTGATTCGGGGCATTGAGACTAAAACTAAAAAATCCACAAAATTACACACGCACACACAGAGAAAGAGAAGATACGGTTACAGATCTGAATATATATAGTATCTTATACATTATACACTGGCAACCAAGAAACGAACGAGCCAGAACTGAAGAACAACACGTACACGATATATAATATATAATATTATTTATGTAAAGATAGGTGGAGAAATATAGAGAGAGAGAGGAAAACACGTAGAAAATTACATATTGTAGTTATATATACGATTATATAGCAGGTTGAAGTGGTAGTAGTAACAGTAGATAGCAGTAGCAGACGTCGCCGACGCGAGTAACGAGTAATCATAGTAATCATATGCATATCTATAGCTATATGGCATCCAGATATATGTTCTTCGATCCAACGTACCACGATCCGTTTCAATATCTGATCTTTATCCAGTCGTCGGGCTTTTCTCTCTACTTTTCCTTTCATTTACTCATAGATCAGTTTGCCGAATTCTTATATAGAAATGATCATCTCTCATTGCAAGTTTCAGCTTGGAAGTAATGGTATGGGGGATTATTGGTTCTTCGGCTGGTTCTGTTGTTGTTGATGTTGTTGTTTCGTGGTTCATGTTGTTGTTGCTGTTGTGTTCTGCGGCTTAGAGCAGCCTGCTCTTTTTGCCATCACGCGGTTTGCCAATCATTGTTGTATATTCATCTATTTACACAAGATTTTGGGGTTTGGATTGGATCGTTTATCAATAAAATTAAATTATATTAAAAGTAAACGAAAGTACATGGAGCAAAGATATCAACATGAAAAATCAAAGGTTTTAATAGGTATATATAATAAAGAGTCTCGTATCTGGGTATCATAATCATTGAAGAAAGGGTATATATATATATATATATATTGGTACGATACATGTTCTTGTATTTTGCTGACTCAATGGAAAAAGTAAATCCTAAACTGATTGGAGGGCGATGACTTTGAATATACAAGTATGCCTTCGATGGATGGAGAAGGGGTGAAGGTCTGCTTATTAAATGATGTGGTAATGACTTGAATCTTTGGCTTTATAGCTGGCGTTTGGGATATTTATGGAGATCGATGAGTTGGAAAAAGGAATATAGAAAAAATATTTATATTAAATGTAACCTTTCCAAGCTTTAGCCTTCGGTTATTGTGTTAAATATATTGAAGAACTTTCTTAAGAGCAACTAGGCATATGATTTCGGTGACCTTTTTGAGTACATTAATTTAGTTAATTTAATTTTCCATTTACATTCCAATCGATTTCCCATTTTTCCTCCATAATCCACCATTATAAGTCCCATTGAATTAATTGCGTGAAATGAAAGCTTAGCTCGAAAGTTATAAAATGGAGTATGAATAAAGAAGCCTTAAATGCATGGTAATTACATAGAGTACATATATACACGTACACGACGAATGATATGTTATATAATGGATATTGAATAGCCGAAAAGGGGAAGCGCACCCAAGATCATAAGTCCTTTTGGGTTAAAGATTCGTATTTCTTGGCTGTACAAACTGGGCTCTTAATATACTATCAATTACTATTAATATTCATTTGCCAGGAAAAACTGCGAGACGGCACAAAGGATAACGAGTATTTATTACTGGGTTGTGTGTTGTAAAGTTAATCCATTGAACTCGATTACTTTCGTACTGAGGGTGCAGCTGTGCGAGCTTTTAAAGACGGGTTAAGAACTTTGTTGGCTTGGTTTGGCTGGTTTACTCGTTTTTGGTACTTTTAGTGGTATACTTGGTTTTTTGGCGGTGCCTTTTTGAAGCGCAGCTCGGTTCAAATGGGTTTTTTTTTTTTTTTTTTTGTGGCTTTAGCTTGATGCTTGCATTTGCTTGGATAGTGGGGATCGGTGTCAATCGAGTGAGGACACACAAAGACTCACCTGACTTGGGGCTGACCAGGTCCTTCGTTTTATTGTTCATGCGACGAGGCCCCGTGCCCCCGGATCCCATGGGACCGGAATGGGGACCCGAGCCCGGGGTGCCACAGCCACTGACACCGCCAGGGGCACCTGCAAAATAAACATTTGTTAAGAATTTCCAAGAGAATGTTGTACTTTAGTAACTATAGATTCAATAACTTTAATCTATTCTCTTAGCACCACTTTAATTATGCAATGTTCTTCCCAAAATGTACTTTACAATAGCTTTTAAAAAATTTCCCCTTGTTAATTTTATCTTATAAGACTTAATTGGTTTAGTAGATACAACATAGCCATTTATTTATTTCAATCAATAAAATGTTAAATCCCTTCTAAATTAATTGAAATTATTACATTCAATTACAAAGAAATTTAATTAGAAGAAATTAAATTCCTTTGTAATTTTCTGATCTCTTGATTTCTATTCATTCATTTCCTTTTTTATTCCTAAGATACATATTATCAAGTGCTTTGTTAATTATTTTACAGACATTCATGAATACTTTTTTTTTTTTTTTTATGGACAGCACTTATTGGTATTATTAAAACCCCCTCATAGTGGTGCTTTTTGAATCCGAAATATGTTTCATAAAATAACTAAATAATATCTCTGAGGATTTTGTGTATTGTTGGTTTTTAAAACTCTTGAAAAATCTCTTGTTGTCCCAGAATATGTACAATTTTTGATATTACCCCAATGAACAATTTGTGTTTGGCCCACTTTTCAATGACAAGTTCGACTTTCATTTTCATTTCAATCCTCAACTGCTTTGTAAATTAATTTGTTTTGAGTTTCTTTTATCGGGATTATTAAAAAACCCCTCTTAGTGTTGTTTTTCGGGTCGGAAATATGTTTCACGCAATAACTATATAGAGTCTCCGAAGATTTGACACCTGGTTGGTCTCAAAAACACATGACAAATCTCTTGATGTCCCGGAATATGTACAATTTTTGATGTGCTTGTGAGTGGGTGTGTTGCCCCAATGGACAATATTAGCTTGTCCCACTTTTCAACGAGCTCACAGATGGACTCACCTGGCAGTCGGGGCTGTCGCGGCTGCTCGACGGGAAGCACTCGTCTCCGCTTCTTTGGCAGTTTGGCCCTGGCCTGCGTGTGCGAGTAGTACATGGCGAAGTTGCTGACGATGACGGGCACTGGCAGTGCGATGGTTAGTACGCCGGCGAGGGCGCACAATGCGCCCACGAACATGCCGATGTAGGTCTTGGGGGCCATGTCCCCGTAGCCCACGGTGGTCATGGTGACCAGGGCCCACCAGAGGCCCAGCGGGATGCTGTTGAAGTCGTTGTGCGGATTCGGCTGGATGCGCTCCGCGTAGTAGACGAGGCTGGCGAAGATCACGATGCCCAGGACGAGGAAGAACACCAGCAGGGTCAGCTCCTTGGCCGAGGCCCGGAACGTCTGGATCAGGATCTTCAGGCCGGACGAGTGGCGCGTCAGCTTGAACAGACGCATGATGCGGATGATCGAGAAGAACTCGAGGATGTCAGCGTTCTCCAGATGCGATGCGAATCGCTGAAGCACTAGATCGATATAAAAACTAAGCGTCGCTATGTAATCTATGATGTTAACAGATGACTTGATGAATTCGCACTTGTTCGGCGATGAGATAAAGCGCACCTGGAAAAGGAATAGTATTATTTTTAAATTTTACTCTTAGCAAAATGGGGTTATAACTAGTCAGGATCTCTATGAACTTAAGTTTGCAATTTAGGGCTTAATTGAAACATTTTTGAAATATTTTGTTTAAAAACTGTTAACTGTCTTAAATATTCACTTGACATTCTGACTATTTAATACCTTTTATTCAATCTCTTACCAATATTTCAAAGGTAAACCACGCATTGCATACGCATTCGATATAGAAGAAGGCTATGTGCGCATTGGTCTGGGTTTTGTCCAAAAACCAGCCGTTACTTCCATTCGCAGTTTTCACTGTAATATTCCGGACATAGGGCACCCGCATATCGGGATGGGTCTTCAGGCAGAACGACAGGATCGAAATGCAGATGAAGAACACCGAAACCACGCCAATGGTCTGAAAAATAAATACATTTATGAGATGATTAATGCCTTAATTTGCCTTGAGATTTGTTCACTTTTTTCAATTAAGACAAATGCGACGCTGAATACAAATTGCAAAACTAAAATCTAAAGCACTTTGTAATTACTTATTAGATTGCTTTTAAATGGAATTTTTATGTGGGTGTTCTCCTTACTCATTCGTAAAATTGTCGAAATTATTTATAGCTTAATTGAAATGAGAATTTAAGTGTTTGTTCCGCCAAATGAATTTCTATATAATTTGACCTAATGCATTCAAAAGTTACAGTAAATTAAAATGAAAATATACTATAATTTTTTTCATAGACTTTTAATATAGGCAATTCAAGCTTTGGACTTGAAGAAGTAGTTGCCTTTATTAAATAACAACATTAGCGGATATTCCACTTACCTTGGCGGCATTGGAACTGTAGGGCTCGTCGAACAAGGACCAAATGCGCGGCTTCATCTCCTGCCACCAGGATATAGTGCCTTTGTAGTAGTCCTCCTCGAACCCAAATTTGCGTGCCAATTCCTCGTCGGACGGTTTTTCCGTATCCAGATCGAGACGATCCAATACGGCGAGGGTTTCCTGAGTGTCGCGATGCTACAAATGGTTCAATAAAAATGTTGTTAAATATTATTAATAAATTTGAATAGGTAACTGACCTGTGTATAGGTCATCCAACAGCAGGGCTCCACTTGGTTCGAGTCTAGGCCCCAAAACTCCAATTCCTCTTCAAACAGCGGTCCGCAAACATCTGTGGGATAATGCAGCTTACCGGTTCTGGAAAATCCATTATGTTAGTAAAATTAAAAGTATGGTAAATAGAACTACCAACCCACCTGTAATAGTTGAGCACTTGTGCGAAGACGCCCGGATGCCGATCAAAGAAGTACTCATTCAATATCGGATCGTAATTGGCCAGGGCTTCGGTCAATCGCGATAATCGCGTGGCCGGGATCTTTTTCAGCGTGGCCTTGTAGGTCTCGTGCCTAATGCCACCCACATTGAGCACCACCCGGTTCTCCGAGTCCATATTGATCAGGTTCATGGCTGCATGCGCATAGTGTTGCATATTTTTAGGTATATAAGTCATTGTCTCAATTAGGAAATCAAAAGTCAATCATAAGGAATTAAGTTTGCTGGTGGGCAAACGAACTGAAATTGTTGAAAACTTTGTGAGCACCGTCTGTTGATTTTTGTATATTTAGAGAGTGATTCTTAGCACAAATTAAAATGAATCGAATCAAGTATATAAAAATGATGTTGTTTAAAGATATAATGTGTTTCATCATTTCATTTGCAGCTACTTCTTAGAATTATGGTATTCAGTGTACGTTATTTTTTTGGTTGTTTTTTACTACATGCGCTTCTGCAAATTAATTAAAATATTTTGTGGGTGGTTGTTTTCCTTTTTTTGGTGGGTGTTTTGTTAAGTGAATATTTTCGATTTGTTTTGATTTTCTACTGGCCAACCTGAATGCTTTTTGCTGTCCTTGCCCACGATTTTTGCAGTTCTGTGTGCCCCTCGTCCAAGGCGCCACACTCTCCTGTCACTTCCTCCGATCCACTTTTCGGCACCCTCTGGGGATCAGGTCTCAAGCCCGCGGACTCCCACTTGAAAATGTTTATCCAGATGTTAGGGACAAACCCAAAACATCCTAGGGATTGGACTACTCACTATGCTGGGGCTGGATGGGACAACATGGCGCTGAAAGATAAGTATTTATAATTCTAAGATCATTTCTTTTACTTAAAACATTACATTTTCCAAATAGTTTACAAAATAGTGCTTCTTTCTTTTGTAAACTCACGGCAAAAGTTACTAAAATTATTGTCGAAACCTATATTTTATTGCAATATGAGAATCTAAAACGGCAGTTTATAAAAAACCATTACATTTTAAAATCAAAGAGCCATATGAAACTCAGTATATCTTATGCGATCCCTTCATTTTAATGGCTTATAATTATGAGTTTATGACCTAGACACATGTGCTGAGTAAAAAGTCTATTACTTACGCACGCACAACTATTTTAAGAACTCTGAAATTGGGGGTAGCTAAAAAAGGTAATATGCACGATAATAAAATACTCTATTTTGGATCGCTTTTCGGATTTAATTAAAGCCATTTAATGATATAGAAAACTTATTTATATAAGAATGTTAACAGTCTTCAACAACAATATTGAATTAAATTTAAATATCCATCAAATATTCTCAAAAGTCTGCCCATAAACAAAATTCACCTGACCTCGCCCCCGAATGTTAAGCATACAAATCATCGATTCTAAATCAATATTTTCTGTATACAAATCATTGAAAAATATCTACATATATTTAATTTCATTTCAGTGAGTGGCCAACTTTCGCACATCTTCAATTTATGGCGGAATACGGAAAGCTTGTTTACTTTTAAAACAATGAATATGGATACGTGATTTCAAATCCCAATGATTAAGTTATGTGCAAAAGTGTGCCGGATGAATTTGGTTGAAATAGGTGTTACCCCTTTTATTAATTTCCGTTTTCCGAACTAGTTGATGAATGCATCCTATGATTCAATGCCTGGATTCACTTTATTTAGCGAGTATTTCTACGCCGCATAAATATTTAAAATCAACAAACTCAACGCTCAAAATAAGGCCATCTATTTGGAAAATGGGCAATAATATTCGCTTCGATTGAATTGACCCATTAGCAGCTCGTGAAGCGCATCCCACTTGGGTTTATCTTTTCTTTTCCCAGATCTAACTAAATATAGTCCAACCATATCATCGATAGCGTCATCAATTTTTGGAGAGTGGCACGGAAAAGACTATATTGTAGTATATAAAAAAATAAATACAAAAAAGGAGCAGAACGTAACGGAATAATGAAATTGCCTTTCGTGATTTGCACAAAGGCAAATATTTGTTCTTAAACAATATTTAGTTTTGGCGCTGCATTGTTTACACTCTCGCACGCACAGATACAAATGTATCTAGATACCCATGGGTACAGCAGCGGTCAAGAAAATGGCACCGGACTTACGGAAAATACTTAAAAGTCGCATTTAAATTAGCATATGAAAGATGGTTAGATCTTCAACAGAATAATTGGATAATATTATAATATTATTGAATACTAATCATTGTCTACAATAAAAAGAAGAAATGCAAAAAAAATGTTAGTTTTTCAATATAAATAGTTTCATGACGTTAAATCAAGCCTCCACTTCCCTTAGTATTTTGCCTATGCCAACAGGCCTATTATTTTGGCCTGAAGTGTGTGAACGAGTATATTACATACACAAAGTGAGCAACAGCGTTTAGTCCGTCTACTTTTCGGACCAACTGTCTGTCTGTCCGGGCTGTTCTTTTTCTGTTGTCGATTCTCATCATTGTCCATTGGATGTTTACCCGCAACCGGCGGCCCCTCAATTTCGGTTCTCGATTTTCGAATCAGCGCCATAAAAATACAAAACAACTCACACAATTTTCATGAGGCTTTATAAACAAAACAAACAAGCCAAACACACGCTGAGGGCAGTTTTCCTGCCCAGGAAAGTGGTGGAATTCAGTTGCAATTAATGCTAATGATTATGTTATACACACTCTGTTGCCAAATTCTAGCTTAATATTCATGGGTTTAAAGTGTACATATATACATATGCTGCATGCACATATATGTAGCCGCATTATTAATTCACTTCTAATGAGCAGGGGAGCCTTCAAAGCTACCCTAGAAAACACACACTTCTTGGCCAAAAACCAGAAGTATTTAAAATGAGTTTCGGCTTTTTCTTCCCTCCTATTTTTTGATACCGAATTTCCTTCCCCCAGAAAAAAAAACATTACACGCAAGTAGAGTAGTTAGAAGGTGGCTTAACTGCCTTTTGGGGGGCAAAAATGGAAAATGGGGGAAATGGGGGTGCACACACAGTAGGTCAGGAGTGTTTTGTAAGTAGCGTGTTTTTGTTGTGGTATGAAGTTGCCTGCCTCGGTTAACTTGGCGTATACTTGATATACATACACACACATAGTAGGACCTACACGTGTGTGTTGTCGTCGCGCACGCATCGATTTTTCCGTTTTTGGTGTATCACAAACTTCCTTATTGTCCGACTTTAAAGGTAAAGCCAAGTAATGCTCCTCGAACCGCCCAGATATACACATTCCGCTGGCCTTATAGCCATCCATCGGATCCGAGGAAGAAAACCATATCCCTATCCCGCCTTCCTCTCGACCTCTCACCTATTCTCTCATCCTGCGGCCTCGTTGCGCTCTGCCCATAAACATAGTTCCGATACTGGGATTTCTTCACTCTGCACACAGGAAAACCAACGGGAAAATGCAGGAAAAACGGGGCTTTTTGTGTTTCGAAAAAATTGCAGGGGGCAAGGGGAGAACTAAACTTAGGACTATTACACTACTAAACTACACTCGTTTTCTTTTTTGGGGGGGCGCCTCCTTTCTCTAATTTTCTTTCTTTCCGGGGAGTTGGCCGTCCGTTCTCTTCGCGCGCGCGTTCCGAACCGTTCGAGGCGATTTTACAAACTGAAAAGGAATCCGAACAAACTGAATCAACACCGATGGAATTTTCACGCTCCGTTCTCTCTGGAGGGATGTTGATATTGTTCTTCATCTCGATGTACTCAGAAGTGAGTACATGCGCAGTGCATTTCTTCGTTTCCGTCTTTCTTTTGCTCTGACATTCACTTGATTATGGCGCCAAAGTGCAACCCTGCGTATGAGTGATGCGTCGCTCTAAAACTTTGAGCCAGGGTTTCCGTCTATAAATTTATAAGACTTTTCTAAGTTTGTGAGCTTACATATTATTTATGTACTAATTCAATACATAAGTTTTTACTTGTCGTATTTGTTTAATAAATTTAGAAAGTAAAATGCCCTTTATATACCCCTTTAACCTTTTTACAAGTCATCCGAAACTTACAAATAACTAACATGAAAATGGGTCAAAAATTTGACCAACGTTAAATTGAAAATTTTGAATGCAGATTTTTAGAGAATCTAATCACGAGTCTTTAGAGGTATGCCACTTTGGAATCGGCTAAAGTTTGGTAAAGTTATGAACTCCTGAAGTCGAATTTTTAGTCACTCTTTTGCAAGACATCGGAAAACTAAGTAATAACTAACATGAAAATGGGTGAAAAATTAGACCAACGTTAAATTGAAAATTTTGAATGCAGATTTTTAGAGAATCTAATCACGAGTCTTTAGAGGTATGCCACTTTGGAATCGGCTAAAGTTTGGTAAAGTTATGAACTCCTGAAGTCGAATTTTTATTCAATTTTTTTGCAAGACATCGGAAAACTAAGTAATAACTAACATGAAAATGGGTGAAAAATTTGACCAACGTTAAATTGAAAATTTTGAATGCAGATTTTTAGAGAATCTAATCACGAGTCTTTAGAGGTATGCCACTTTGGAATCGGCTAAAGTTTGGTAAAGTTATGGACTCCTGAAGTCGAATTTTTAGACACTCTTTTGCAAGACATCGGAAAACTAAGTAATAACTAACATGAAAATGGGTCAAAAATTTGACCAACGTTAAATTTAAAATTTTGAATGCAGATTTTTAGAGAATCTAATCACGAGTCTTTAGAGGTATGTCACTTTGGAATCGGCTAAAGTTTGGTAAAGTTATGAACTCCTGAAGTCGAATTTTTAGTCACTCTTTTGCAAGACATCGGAAAACTAAGTAATAACTAACATGAAAATGGGTGAAAAATTTGACCAACGTTAAATTTAAAATTTTGAATGCAGATTTTTAGAGAATCTAATCACGAGTCTTTAGAGGTATGCCACTTTGGAATCGGCTAAAGTTTGGTAAAGTTATGGACTCCTGAAGTCGAATTTTTAGTCACTCTTTTGCAAGACATCGGAAAACAAGTAATAACTAACATAAAAATGGGTGAAAAATTTGACCAACGTTAAATTGAAAATTTTGAATGCAGATTTTTAGAGAATCTAATCACGAGTCTTTAGAGGTATGCCACTTTGGAATCGGATAAAGTTTGGTAAAGTTATGAACTCCTGAAGTCGAATTTTTAGTCACTCTTTTGCAAGACATCGGAAAACTAAGTAATAACTAACATGAAAATGGGTGAAAAATTTGACCAACGTTAAATTTAAAATTTTGAATGCAGATTTTTAGAGAATCTAATCACGAGTCTTTAGAGGTATGCCACTTTGGAATCGGCTAAAGTTTGGTAAAGTTATGAACTCCTGAAGTCGAATTTTTAGTCACTCTTTTGCAAGACATCGGAAAATTAGAAATAACTAACATGAAAATGGGTGAAAAATTAGACCAACGTTAAATTGAAAATTTTGAATGCAGATTTTTAGAGAATCTAATCACGAGTCTTTAGAGGTATGCCACTTTGGAATCGGCTAAAGTTTGGTAAAGTTATGAACTCCTGAAGTCGAATTTTTATTCAATTTTTTTGCAAGACATCGGAAAACTAAGTAATAACTAACATGAAAATGGGTGAAAAATTTGACCAACGTTAAATTGAAAATTTTGAATGCAGATTTTTAGAGAATCTAATCACGAGTCTTTAGAGGTATGCCACTTTGGAATCGGCTAAAGTTTGGTAAAGTTATGGACTCCTGAAGTCGAATTTTTAGACACTCTTTTGCAAGACATCGGAAAACTAAGTAATAACTAACATGAAAATGGGTCAAAAATTTGACCAACGTTAAATTGAAAATTTTGAATGTAGATTTTTAGAGAATCTAATCACGAGTCTTTAGAGGTATGTCACTTTGGAATCGGCTAAAGTTTGGTAAAGTTATGAACTCCTGAAGTCGAATTTTTAGTCACTCTTTTGCAAGACATCGGAAAACTAAGTAATAACTAACATGAAAATGGGTCAAAAATTTGACCAACGTTAAATTTAAAATTTTGAATGCAGATTTTTAGAGAATCTAATCACGAGTCTTTAGAGGTATGCCACTTTGGAATCGGCTAAAGTTTGGTAAAGTTATGAACTCCTGAAGTCGAATTTTTAGTCACTCTTTTGCAAGACATCGGAAAACTAAGTAATAACAAACATGAAAATGGGTGAAAAATTTGACCAACGTTAAATTTAAAATTTTGAATGCAGATTTTTAGAGAATCTAATCACGAGTCTTTAGAGGTATGCCACTTTGGAATCGGCTAAAGTTTGGTAAAGTTATGAACTCCTGAAGTCGAATTTTTAGTCACTCTTTTGCAAGACATCGGAAAACTAAGTAATAACTAACATGAAAATGGGTCAAAAATTTGACCAACGTTAAATTTAAAATTTTGAATGCAGATTTTTAGAGAATCTAATCACGAGTCTTTAGAGGTATGCCACTTTGGAATCGGCTAAAGTTTGGTAAAGTTATGGACTCCTGAAGTCGAATTTTTAGTCACTCTTTTGCAAGACATCGGAAAACTAAGTAATAACTAACATAAAAATGGGTGAAAAATTTGACCAACGTTAAATTGAAAATTTTGAATGCAGATTTTTAGAGAATCTAATCACGAGTCTTTAGAGGTATGCCACTTTGGAATCGGATAAAGTTTGGTAAAGTTATGAACTCCTGAAGTCGAATTTTTAGTCACTCTTTTGCAAGACATCGGAAAACTAAGTAATAACTAACATGAAAATGGGTGAAAAATTTGACCAACGTTAAATTTAAAATTTTGAATGCAGATTTTTAGAGAATCTAATCACGAGTCTTTAGAGGTATGCCACTTTGGAATCGGCTAAAGTTTGGTAAAGTTATGAACTCCTGAAGTCGAATTTTTAGTCACTCTTTTGCAAGACATCGGAAAATTAGAAATAACTAACATGAAAATGGGTGAAAAATTAGACCAACGTTAAATTGAAAATTTTGAATGCAGATTTTTAGAGAATCTAATCACGAGTCTTTAGAGGTATGCCACTTTGGAATCGGCTAAAGTTTGGTAAAGTTATGAACTCCTGAAGTCGAATTTTTATTCAATTTTTTTGCAAGACATCGGAAAACTAAGTAATAACTAACATGAAAATGGGTGAAAAATTTGACCAACGTTAAATTGAAAATTTTGAATGTAGATTTTTAGAGAATCTAATCACGAGTCTTTAGAGGTATGCCACTTTGGAATCGGCTAAAGTTTGGTAAAGTTATGGACTCCTGAAGTCGAATTTTTAGTCACTCTTTTGCAAGACATCGGAAAACTAAGTAATAACTAACATGAAAATGGGTCAAAAATTTGACCAACGTTAAATTTAAAATTTTGAATGCAGATTTTTAGAGAATCTAATCACGAGTCTTTAGAGGTATGCCACTTTGGAATCGGCTAAAGTTTGGTAAAGTTATGAACTCCTGAAGTCGAATTTTTAGTCACTCTTTTGCAAGACATCGGAAAACTAAGTAATAACAAACATGAAAATGGGTGAAAAATTTGACCAACGTTAAATTTAAAATTTTGAATGCAGATTTTTAGAGAATCTAATCACGAGTCTTTAGAGGTATGCCACTTTGGAATCGGCTAAAGTTTGGTAAAGTTATGAACTCCTGAAGTCGAATTTTTAGTCACTCTTTTGCAAGACATCGGAAAACTAAGTAATAACTAACATGAAAATGGGTCAAAAATTTGACCAACGTTAAATTTAAAATTTTGAATGCAGATTTTTAGAGAATCTAATCACGAGTCTTTAGAGGTATGCCACTTTGGAATCGGCTAAAGTTTGGTAAAGTTATGGACTCCTGAAGTCGAATTTTTAGTCACTCTTTTGCAAGACATCGGAAAACTAAGTAATAACTAACATAAAAATGGGTGAAAAATTTGACCAACGTTAAATTGAAAATTTTGAATGCAGATTTTTAGAGAATCTAATCACGAGTCTTTAGAGGTATGCCACTTTGGAATCGGATAAAGTTTGGTAAAGTTATGAACTCCTGAAGTCGAATTTTTAGTCACTCTTTTGCAAGACATCGGAAAACTAAGTAATAACTAACATGAAAATGGGTGAAAAATTTGACCAACGTTAAATTTAAAATTTTGAATGCAGATTTTTAGAGAATCTAATCACGAGTCTTTAGAGGTATGCCACTTTGGAATCGGCTAAAGTTTGGTAAAGTTATGAACTCCTGAAGTCGAATTTTTATTCAATTTTTTTGCAAGACATCGGAAAACTAAGTAATAACTAACATGAAAATGGGTGAAAAATTTGACCAACGTTAAATTGAAAATTTTGAATGCAGATTTTTAGAGAATCTAATCACGAGTCTTTAGAGGTATGCCACTTTGGAATCGGCTAAAGTTTGGTAAAGTTATGGACTCCTGAAGTCGAATTTTTAGACACTCTTTTGCAAGACATCGGAAAACTAAGTAATAACTAACATGAAAATGGGTCAAAAATTTGACCAACGTTAAATTGAAAATTTTGAATGTAGATTTTTAGAGAATCTAATCACGAGTCTTTAGAGGTATGTCACTTTGGAATCGGCTAAAGTTTGGTAAAGTTATGAACTCCTGAAGTCGAATTTTTAGTCACTCTTTTGCAAGACATCGGAAAACTAAGTAATAACTAACATGAAAATGGGTCAAAAATTTGACCAACGTTAAATTTAAAATTTTGAATGCAGATTTTTAGAGAATCTAATCACGAGTCTTTAGAGGTATGCCACTTTGGAATCGGCTAAAGTTTGGTAAAGTTATGAACTCCTGAAGTCGAATTTTTAGTCACTCTTTTGCAAGACATCGGAAAACTAAGTAATAACAAACATGAAAATGGGTGAAAAATTTGACCAACGTTAAATTTAAAATTTTGAATGCAGATTTTTAGAGAATCTAATCACGAGTCTTTAGAGGTATGCCACTTTGGAATCGGCTAAAGTTTGGTAAAGTTATGAACTCCTGAAGTCGAATTTTTAGTCACTCTTTTGCAAGACATCGGAAAACTAAGTAATAACAAACATGAAAATGGGTCAAAAATTTGACCAACGTTAAATTTAAAATTTTGAATGCAGATTTTTAGAGAATCTAATCACGAGTCTTTAGAGGTATGCCACTTTGGAATCGGCTAAAGTTTGGTAAAGTTATGGACTCCTGAAGTCGAGTTTTTAGTCACTCTTTTGCAAGACATCGGAAAACTAAGTAATAACTAACATGAAAATGGGTGAAAAATTTGACCAACGTTAAATTTAAAATTTTGAATGCAGATTTTTAGAGAATCTAATCACGAGTCTTTAGAGGTATGCCACTTTGGAATCGGCTAAAGTTTGGTAAAGTTATGGACTCCTGAAGTCGAATTTTTAGTCACTCTTTTGCAAGACATCGGAAAACTAAGTAATAACTAACATAAAAATGGGTGAAAAATTTGACCAACGTTAAATTGAAAATTTTGAATGCAGATTTTTAGAGAATCTAATCACGAGTCTTTAGAGGTATGCCACTTTGGAATCGGATAAAGTTTGGTAAAGTTATGAACTCCTGAAGTCGAATTTTTAGTCACTCTTTTGCAAGACATCGGAAAACTAAGTAATAACTAACATCAAAATGGGTGAAAAATTTGACCAACGTTAAATTTAAAATTTTGAATGCAGATTTTTAAGGAATCTAATCACGAGTCTTTAGAGGTATGCCACTTTGGAATCGGCTAAAGTTTGGTAAAGTTATGGACTCCTGAAGTCGAATTTTTAGACACTCTTTTGCAAGACATCGGAAAACTAAGTAATAACTAACATGAAAATGGGTGAAAAATTTGACCAACGTTAAATTGAAAATTTTGAATGCAGATTTTTAGAGAATCTAATCACGAGTCTTTAGAGGTATGCCACTTTGGAATCGGATAAAGTTTGGTAAAGTTATGAACTCCTGAAGTCGAATTTTTAGTCACTCTTTTGCAAGACATCGGAAAACTAAGTAATAACTAACATGAAAATGGGTGAAAAATTTGACCAACGTTAAATTTAAAATTTTGAATGCAGATTTTTAAGGAATCTAATCACGAGTCTTTAGAGGTATGCCACTTTGGAATCGGCTAAAGTTTGGTAAAGTTATGGACTCCTGAAGTCGAATTTTTAGACACTCTTTTGCAAGACATCGGAAAATTAGAAATAACTAACATGAAAATCGGTCAAAAATTTGACCAACATTAAATTGAAAATGTTTAATGCAGATTTTTAGAGAATCCAATCACGAGTCTTTAAAGGTATGCCACTTTGGAATCGGCTAAAGTTTGGTAAAGTTATGAACTCCTGAAGTCGAATTTTTAGTCACTCTTTTGCAAGACATCGGAAAACTAAGTAATAACTAACATGAAAATGGGTCAAAAATTTGACCAACGTTAAATTTAAAATTTTGAATGCAGATTTTTAGAGAATCTAATCACGAGTCTTTAGAGGTATGTCACTTTGGAATTGGCTAAAGTTTGGTAAAGTTATGAACTCCTGAAGTCGAATTTTTAGTCACTCTTTTGCAAGACATCGGAAAACTAAGTAATAACTAACATGAAAATGGGTGAAAAATTTGACCAACGTTAAATTTAAAATTTTGAATGCAGATTTTTAGAGAATCTAATCACGAGTCTTTAGAGGTATGCCACTTTGGAATCGGCTAAAGTTTGGTAAAGTTATGGACTCCTGAAGTCGAATTTTTAGTCACTCTTTTGCAAGACATCGGAAAACTAAGTAATAACTAACATGAAAATGGGTCAAAAATTTGACCAACGTTAAATTTAAAATTTTGAATGCAGATTTTTAGAGAATCTAATCACGAGTCTTTAGAGGTATGCCACTTTGGAATCGGCTAAAGTTTGGTAAAGTTAAGGACTCCTGAAGTCGAATTTTTAGTCACTCTTTTGCAAGACATCGGAAAACTAAGTAATAACTAACATGAAAATGGGTCAAAAATTTGACCATAGTTCAATTTAAAATTTTGAATGCAGATTTTTAGAGAATCGAATCACAAATCTTTAGAGGTATGCCACTTTGGAATTGGCTTACTTTTGGTAAAGTTATGGGTTGTGGAAGTTCAATTATGGGACACCTGGTTCCAAGTCATCGAAGACTTGGAAATAACTAATATGAAAACTTATTCAAAAATGCAGATAACGCCAATACCCATAAATTAAACTATTTTAAATTGTTCTTTAAAGTTGTTTTATAAAAGATTTGGGAACGTAAGAACTGAAGTACAGAGCGGTTGAATTAAATTGGCAAGCAATTAAGCGCTTGATTTAGAGAAAAAAGTTTCTATTTTGGTTGGGCAGATATTAAGTACAATTTTAATTAAACTATTTATAAAAATCAAATGCATTTTGCTAAGTGACGAAATGGGGAAATGGTGACGGCAGATGTGGAAAAATGAGTTTTGGTCCTAGCAAAGCGGTATTTGCGTACATAAAGATGAGTATAAAATAGTATAGAGGATCCAAAGTCCAATGCCTAGGCCTGCTGTTCCTCGTTTCCGTCGGGCGTGGTGTGCCAGACATGTCCCATTTCCAGGGCCTGCAATTTGAGCAGCTCCTTCTGGCTGTCCTTGGCCTGAAGGTGGAAAACGCTTTGCTATGAGGAGACAAGCACCGATTAATTGTAATCACATTTTAATCTTAGTATCATATGCAATGCATGGCCAGTAGTTATACCTCAATTGAACCACAGACTCACCTTGACCTCCTTGGTGGTCAGCACGTCCATTTTGTCGTAGATGATGGCGTGCAGGCCGAGCTCCTTCAACAGCTTGATGGTGTCCTTGGAGTTGTTGTCGTCGCCCCAGCAGAATAGCACCAAGCCGCGCTCCTTGGCCAGATTCACCTAAAAGCGTCCGTAGCTGAGTGATTCACGACTCGAGAGTGGATCATGTTACCTGACTGGGGTCTCGCAGCAGGTCCTCCGTGTGTGCCACAACGCCCAGGAACTCCATGGCCACCGCATGCCAAACGGCCAGTTCCATGGAGTTACCCCTGGGGTCCAAATACTGCTTGTACTTCGTAGTCCTGCCAAGCGTTAGAAACATGACGGGAAATCGATTTTGCTTGAATCTCAGAATGGTACAGATATCAGGATCAAAACAACTAAGAACCACCCTGCGATTCCCAGCCTTTCGCAGGATCACATCCAATATACAATCGATATAGAGATTTCTATCCACCACATGCTCGAATTCCTCCTCCATTTTGCCGTCCTCTAGCCTTTGGGACCACTTAATTTCTATATTGAAGCCCACATGGACATCCAGGGCGTCCAGAACGTCGGCTAACTGGGGGAAGGGTTGGTGCTCCAGCAAGTCATCGTTGTGAAATGAGCGCGTTTCCCTGGAAAGACCCTCGGCTATGTGATAGACCTTCAGTTTCTTCAACTGCTCCAGCGTTAGCTCCCTCATCGGTAGGGCCAGGAAATCGTGTTCCTGCATGCTGCACTTGGACTTTAGGGAGACATAGATCATGAAATCGTGATACACCACCGGCACCAGATCCTTGCTGAGCTGAACATCGAACTCCACCATATCGGCACCATGATCCGCGGCATTCTTCAAGGACGTAATGGTGTTCTCTCGAATCACAGCATCCTTGGCCTTGAAGCTGGTTCCCGAACCACGATGACCCACATCCAGACCCCTCCACTTCTTGTTCCAGTATCGGGCATAACTGACACTCATATCCATGTGTGCACATTGCGAGGAGGGCTTTACGATAAGATAGCCCAGTCGCATCATTCCCAGAGGTCGATGGCCCTTGGCACAGGTGATTGGCAGCTCCAAGTTGCCCTCGGAACGCTTGAAAAGATTGGGCAGCACATAGTGATAGCCCAAGTGATTCGGCGGTCCATCTTCTTTGGCGACTCGAGAGCTGTAGCTGTACAAATCAATCAGATAAGCGGTGTTTTCAAAGTCTCCGACGGTCAGATGGAATATAACCAAGTCGGTGGGTCCACAGGCCGTGCCAAACTGCTCCTGCGCTTTGATTTCGCACTCGTCGGCACTCAAGGTGACCACCTCGCTGAAGGCAAAGGCCGTGGAGGATTCTCCGCCGTTCTCCTTGGTGTCGTGCGTGTCATTCGACAGGGAGTCCTCCAGAGGCGAAAGGGGCGTGAGGGACTCACAACTGGCACTCGGAATACTCAGGTTCATGGGCGTAACCTTCACCTGTATATGCCTTCTCTTCATGCGCTGCTTAAACGTGAACGGGGCATAAAAGAACTTGAGCTGGACCAGAGTCTCCTTCGTCAGCCATCCCCGATCCACCTTCTCCTGGCCCCTGAACGATCCAAATATATCCGTTTGCTCCTTGGCGGGCCGCTCATCCAGTTCTTTGATAGTTCTAGGCTGCAAGGAAGGGGCTTTTTTTAGTCTGGCAATTTTATAGGCACACATTTTTGAGTCCCATACGAGTGCATACAAATCAAATCCCATCCCGAGTCCAGCTGGATTTTTTGACTCTACTCGTATAGGGTCAGTACATAATCAAATTGTAAACCTGTAATTGGGTTTCCCAACGACGGACCATCAGTTGCTCGGCACTTGGATCGACGGCACAGACCATATAGCGATACTCAGTGTCGCAGTGACGCGGAACATAGACCTCTCCCGTCCAGAGATTGCTATCCTCATCGTCATCCTCCTTGGACAAGAGGGCCGCTCCCGAGTGCTGCCAATTTCCCAGGGCCTCACAGTTGCCCACGATGGCCAACTGCTCGTTGGCGGCCAGATTCTGGTTCATCAGGACCCTAAAAGTCCACAGTCGGTTGGTTGTTATATCGCCAAAGATCCTTCGGGATCCCAATCGGCTGGCGTTTTCCGAGGACGAAGGACACGAGGATGGCGCTGCCATCGCATCCTCATCGCCATCGTGGGAAGCCAACCAGTTTTGCATTCTGTTGGGGTCAAAATTTTTAATTAATAAATATTTATACAATTGCAAAACAGAAAGTATGTTTAAGCTTGATAACAAAAGAAGATATTATGAGTTGAAAACATCATTATCATTAATATTTTGATAATGAGTGAAACGTTAAAAAATACACAAATTTTTTGATAAATTTTAATTCGATTTAAGAGATGTATAATAAACTTTTAAATTTAATAGTTAAACATATTTACATAAATGAGTTCATAAAAAAATGCCCATTAAGTTCAAGTTTTGTGTTTGGAAAGCTGTGACAGCTATCAAAACATATACAGTAAACAACCTTCGGACCTTATTAAATCACTTGCACCGAGTGACCACTGTACTCTGTAATTTTTAATGACGGTCACAAGTTGATAATTTTATCGAGTGCAAGTAATGCCATTATTTTAACACACACGATTAATTGCATTTGTTGTTATTGACCTTATCAGCGGGTGACGTAAATTATTTTTATCACTTACTTTGTGTGGTTGCGTGCTGAACTAAACGAAAACAAAAGGCAAATCGCTTTGTTTTGTTTTGGTTTGCTGCTGTTTTCTTCCTCTACTTTTTAATTTCCCTCAACTTTCCTAGATTTTCTTGGTTTTTCTTAGAGGTGCGAAACTATAACAAAAGAAATGTGCAAACTGAAGAATCGCCCAATTTTCTACTCATAGCAGCTGTTTTTTTTCACGGATTGTAGCTAATAAACACGCGATTTTTCACTTTATGCCGATATGGGGGATTAAATATATAATAATACCAATTATAGTGGACAATACTATATATTATCTGCCCGATTTTAGCGCCGCGAGGGCGTCCGATCCGACTATAACTGTGAGTTGCATTATTTTTTCAAGGGAAATCGGGTCGCCGGTGGGAGTGGGAAAGGAACATTCAAACGAGTGACCGTTTCGCAGAAACCGGATATTACACCGTTTTTTGAAAAATAAATCCCTCAATTAAAAACATTACGGATTTTATTCATTTTATTTAAAGACCAATTACTCAAATTTTATTTAAGACAAAATAAATATTAAACATAGAATATATTAATAAAGTTTATTAAGTTCCTTTAAAACATATTTAAGCCATAATGAATAAGGACACCAGTAACATTTTGAGAAAGAATTTTTAGTTATTGTATACGGATTTAAGTTTATAATAAAATAATTGGAATGTGGCTTATAAATAAAAATTTCCCAAATAAGGAATATATTTAAATTTAAAACTATTGAATCAATCAGCTTGTGTCACTAATCACTTAGCAAACGAAAATTTCTCTAGGTGGCAACTCCGTTTCAAAACAGCTGTTTTTGTTTGCACTTTCGGCGGGAATTTTTCAGTGCCGAATATTGTTTACTGCTTATTGTATTTATTTGCGGGTATTAAACGAAACCCAGGATGGATCAGTATCCCGATGAGAACGAGGAGTTCGAGCTGCAATACCAAGATGAATTGGAGCTGCTGGAGGATTTGCCGGACGAGTTTAACCCGTACGATGGACCCAGCACCTCCAAACAGGCGGCTGAAAAACAAAAGGAAAACAGAGCTCCTTCGGCACTAAAAGATAACTCCCGCTTCGGTAACTCCACTTTGGGATCGCCACAACTGTCACAGATTACCTTTGGAGCCACTCAATTGGAGGGAGAGGATGCAGGAGCAGGCTCTTCCGGAGGAGGCTATGTCAATCGGCGCCTTTTCGGGACTCCCAAAGGTCCTCCAGTCGGCAGAGGCTGCTCCACGCCCTTCCAGCGGATGCCGGCCATCAAGGAACTGGAGAACACCCAACTAACGAGCAGGGGATTCGCCCAGGATAAGGAAATCAATCCCGCCGCAGAGCAACTCCAGGAACTGGGCCTAAAAAACGCCAATAAGCGCCGATTGGAACGTGATCTCTTCGGCGATATAGATGACCTATTCCACGAGTCCTACGAAGATCCCATGGTGAAGAAAGCGCGAACCGAGGAGCAGCGAGACCATGAAGCCATCGATAAGATCCTGGAACTCCGTCGAAAAATGCGCGAGACCAGCAAAACTTTGCGAAAAGATGATGTGAGTCGCCTAAAGGATCTGCACGACTTCAAGATGCGGAATCTTTCCTATGAGATACCAAATTGGCCCTTTTTGGCCATTCAGCGAAGTGACCTGGAGAGGATCTATGTAAGATTCCATTCCGAGGAGTACGAGCAAAGGCAGTTGGACATGATCAGCGCCAGGGGCGAAGTGGTAGGCAGTCTCTTGGGTGACGCTAAGGAGAAGATATGGCAGGAAGCCGGCGAAATAGTAAGTATAAGCATTAAGCCATTAGACCAAGTAATAAGTCCTTTCCTCCGTCAGGTTTTAAGTCGCACAACCAAGGAATCAGATCCAGATGTAACCCTCGTGGCCACCAATTCCAATACGGAACCGGGACGCCTTTGGGTGGACAAGTACAAGCCAAGGAAATATATTGACCTGCTCTCTGATGAAATGACCAACAGGAGCCTGCTCTACTGGCTGAAAATGTGGGACAAAGTGGTCTTCGGCAAAGCCTTTCACAGCAAACAGGAACAGGAAGCAGTCGCAGGAGAAGGAGGGTCCAATAACCAGCTGAATAGCTTCAATAAGCGCACTGGCAAATTCGAGTCCAATGGAGGTTGGAGGCAGCGCAAATCTCGCCAAGCACTCAACACGAATGTGGATGCCTTGGGCCGGCCCATGCAAAAGGTGGCCTTGCTATGCGGACCCCCAGGTCTGGGAAAAACCACTCTTGCTCACACGATCGCCCGGCATGCTGGTTACAATGTCCGGGAGATCAATGCCTCCGATGATCGCAGTCCAGAGGCCTTCAAACTGGCTGTGGAGAATGGCACGCAAATGTCATCGGTGCTGAATGCAGACAAGCGACCCAATTGTATAGTTCTAGGTGGGTAAATAACTTTTCTTTTGATGATGTATATATCAACGAGTCCTCTCGCTTTAGATGAAATTGATGGCGCTCCCCGACAATCAATCGAGTACCTGGTCAAGTTTATCAGTGATGGTATTTTCAACAAAGGCAAAGCCAAGGGTGCCAAAGCTGAGCATAATATTTTAAAGCGGCCCATTATCTGTATTTGCAACGATGTTTACGATCCCGCCCTGCGTCCATTGAGACAAGTGGCCTTCGTGGTCAGTTTTCCACCCATCGATGCTGCGCGTCTGGCGGAAAGGTAATTTAAATTAGATTAGCTAATAAATACAAATATTAAACGTTTTGAAACTTTGCTTGTAGATTAGTTCAGATTGCCTATAGAGAGCAGCTGAAAACAGATTTTGGTTCTCTGATTGCCTTGGCCGAAAAATCTGGTAATGATGTCAGGAGCTGCATATCATCCATGCAGTTTTTTAAGTGTGTATAAACAATTTATTTATTGATTTCTAAACTAATTCAAGTTCCATTTCAGTGCCCAAAAACACAGCCTTACTCTGCAAGATGTGCTCAATAATAATCTAGGACAAAAGGATAGACATCAAGGTCTTTTTGCAGTGTGGGATGCCATTTTCCGAGTGGGTTATTTTTTGTGTATTATATATTTTGTTCGCTCTTCAATTTAATTTTATTTGTTTTCAGATACAACGCCCCCGCAAAACTCTGCAGACTGACGCAAGTAAGAGCGATGAACCTGCTCAGGTGACAATGACCAATATGTCTGTAACCACACGTGTTCGCAATGTTCTGGATGCTGTCCATTCTAGCGGGGACTACGAAAGGTAGGCTAATTTATATTGCAAGAATACTGGGACTTATTTAATTAATCAAAGATTTGGCTTTACCAAAAGATTCTACTATGAAAACTGTGTTAATTGAACAGAACTATGTATAGCTGTCTATAGTTTAGTCACACAGTGTAAATCTATGACAAAAAACGTTCCAAGTCTTATTTTGTTTTAGGTAAATCTCGGTTCCATCCCTTGAGTTGAGTATAAAATAAAAAAAATGGCTTATTTGCAAATAAATATTCTGTTAATCTGGGCGATTGTTTATTCTCATTTTCCATTTTTGTATATTTTAACAATTTATTTCGATTCTGCAGGCTAACTCAAGGCGTGTATGAGAATTATCTGCAACAGAAGATGCCCGATCCGAACTTTACGGGCGTATGCGATGCCCTCAAATGGTTTTGCTTCACAGATACGGTGCAACATCAGATTAGCAGACAGCAGAACTACAGTGTGTACCCGTACCTGCAGTACGGTTTTGTCGTCTGGCACTTGCTGTTTGCCACACTGGCCTGGCCGAAAATTTCATTTCCCACGCGTGGCTTTGAGGTGAGCTTGGAAAAAGAAACGATGACGAGATGATGGCCCCGGGCCACATTATTTCTTTTCATCGCAGAGAGGCTGCTTCTTTGAGGCAGGCTCATGATTTATGCAGGCGTCATTAGCCGGGGCAAACATCCCCGGCCAGGCCCTGTGGAAAGTGCATAATCAACACAATCAAGCCATGTAATTTCTTGTCCATTATGTGCCTCAAATGCAATCACAAGATTAATGAGACTCCTGCATAGATTTCGCAGTGTTTACCCAAAGGCCAACCCTTTTTATTTTTTATTTTTGTAGCTCCTCCAGAAGAGCACCAACCAGAGGAACATCTTTCAGGCGCTGTGCAAAGGTGTTACCACCTCGGCTTTGGGTGTGGGTCAGGGCAAGACTCTCCTCCTTGACACGGTGCCTTTGCTGAAGAGGATTCTATCGCCACAGCTGCGCTCCGTGGCGGTGCAGTTGCTGTCTCCGAAGTAAGTACGCTGGCATTACTTCAACAATTCTATAATTCCCTAATTAATGATCTTCAGGGAACAGCAGGACTTACGCCACACCATTGAGGTGATGGTTGATCTCGGCCTGACATTCGTGCAGGTCAAGTCCCAGGAAGGACATTATGTCTTCCAAACCGAACCGGATCTGGATGCACTCAGTGCCTTTCCAGGTGATTGTACAACATAGATGCCAAGCTGATTTATAGCTAATTGATTTATAATTTATCTTCTTCAGGCTATCCTGGTCTTACGCTTCCCTACTTCAGTCGCCAGTTGATAGCCCGCGAAGTGGACTTGGAACGGATTCGGAGAGCTGCTCCCAAGGGTGGTGCCCCATCAGCTCCTGCCGCAAAAAAGAAAACGTCGGGAACTGCAGCTCAGCTGCCCAATCATTTGCAAACATTGAAGCCGAAACCAATTTCGGCGCCTAATATGCGCAATGCACCCAAACAGCAGGTGGGTGTACGAGGATTTGCATGCCTTGCATTTACTTAGCAGCAATTTACTTGCAAATTTTCATCACTCACCAAAAATGCGCACATGCGGAGGTCCAACCTGAGTTCATTTTCCCTCATACCAAATTGTTTGTCTCCGTTTTTTTTTGCCGAAGCTATTTTTCTCGTGGCAAATCCTTGAAAAGCTAATAACCCATAAGGGGATTCCAGCGGTATTGTCATTGGAGTCGTAATGTGGGATCAACGCAAACCAACATTTATTGCCCATCTTAAATGAAAGCGACTGAGCAGCAGCTTTATTCTTATCTTTATGGGTGGTATTTAGAGGGTATTTATTTTGTCGCCTTTGCTTCTTTCTCTTTCGTAATTTAAACATCTATCATCTTATTTACTTTGTAGTATTTACAATAATCAATTTATCATATATATAAGGCTATTTCAATAAGAAAATTAAAAATAATTAAATTTACAGCTTACCAAGGACTTCTTCGGTCGCATTACCCATAAATCGACTTCAACGAATTCAGCAGAGGATGGTAAGTCTTTCAGATCTTGTTCTTTTCATATTTCTATTAATTTGAATATTTCTAAAAGCCAAAACCGATGCTATTGTGAAGAGCCCTATTTGGTATCGCTATAAGGAGGGTTTCAACAATGCTGTCCGCAAGGATGTCCACATACACGAACTGCTCTAGACAACTCACATGGATTTCTCGCTTAAGTCAATTCCTTTATTTATTAAATAAAAAATGTACAAAAAATTAACTGTAATATTTTATGTGGAAGATAAACGTTTGTTTGAACTAAAGTGTAGTAGCTATTTACTACTTACTTTGCTAAGCCTTAAAAACACAACATTCTCTGATGCAAAGATAACAGGCAATAGGATGCATTACTTTATCAGTGGCGTTTTACAAATTTTGGATGAGCTGTAACCGCCAACAGTTTGATTCGTATTTTATTATTTAGTCGTGTAAGTGTGTACCACACATGATTGTAGTTAGCTTTGCTTTTCTTATCGCGGGTTACGATGGGTTGAGCTCGAAAAGTGTTCCCGATCGTCTCGCTTACTCAGTTGCCCGCTGCACGTCCAGATGTCTCGACCTAAAGCCGCGTCGGTGGTGCTATCGCCAGTGTTGGTGGTGCTGTTAGTGCTGATCCACCACCACCACACAGATGCTCGTTCTGTGCCGTCGATACCCAGTGAGTAGCCACACGGATTGGGGTGCCACAGAAAAAGCATATCTAGCCATAAATCTTTAATTTTCTGTCTTATATCTCTAAAATGAAGTTTTATGACTAAATTATTATTTTAAATAGCAAGCGGATTTGACATCAAAACGTGTTGCTAAGTCAGGATTTCATTAATAAAAACCAACAAAAATATAAAGCTTATTACTCAAAAATAAAAATATATAGCTTTTTCTTTGTTTCAGAGAACAAAGCATCATTTTTGTGACAGCCATTTCGTTAGATTACTAACTGAAATACATTGTTTCAAGCAGATTACTTACAATTTAATTTCGCTTCTGTGGCCTTCTTAAATTTAATTTTTTTAAGGGATAAATAAATATTATTACCCTATATTTTATCGATAGGTATTTGTAATAAACCGCCGCCACGTTCCGATGGTGTTTGCATGATCGAGTTCGAGGGATACTACTTCGACCCGGCCACTCTGGACTGCCATATCTACTCAGTCGGGGCATGTCACTCGACTCCTGGCCAGAGTTTCGGTAGCCTCCAGGATTGCGTTTCTACTTGTGTCCTTGGCAGTCGGCGAAATCATGACTTGTATGTGAACGAATAACATAAATAAATATGTAAACAAATGTATGCATTAATGAGATTGATTTGGTGAGAGTTGGTTTAATCAAACAGCAAACATACTTCGTCGAAATACTAATCTACGCTGGCTGTCACTCATCCGCCCCGTTGACCTGTGACGTAATTGTTTTTCTTTTGTCGCACTATCGAAACGTGCGAGAAATCTGCGTGTCGGTAATTAAAATTACTTAGTTGAACATTGAAACGAGGCTTACGCCAGCACACTCTGGTGTTGCCCTATAAATAAACGAGTCTTATAGGTTAGTAACAGAGCTATGACTATACCATATGGTACAAAGCTACGCATAGCTGTTATTACACTAACGAAAGAAAATACAAATTTTGTGGTAAAAACATTAAAAAAATATTTTTTTTTCGATTTTAACCCACTCTAAAAGTGGAAAAAATATTTGACAAATTTTGAAGTGATTTTAAGTCACACGGGATTTCTAAAGTACCTTTACCATATCTTCTTATTTATTTAAAATAAACTTATCTTAAAAATAATATTCTCGCCGACCGATTGTAATTTTAGTTTCACCTCAGTTTTTCACTCAATTTAAATGTCCTTGAAATAGATGATGACTGATTAAGTAAGGCAATGTTCTCAGGGCATTCGCTGTTCGTTGCGTATACGTCACGATGGCCATATCAGTCGTGCACCTCACTTCGCTTGTCCTGGCCTTCTGCAACAGGCACTTGCCGGATTTAGCCGGAATCGGAGAAGAGTCAACCCCAGTATGATCACCACACAGGCGGAGCCTGTCATCATCATCGATTGCTCAGGCAAATTCGCAGCGAGACGTCGTAGGGTCGAGATTTCGATGTCGTGCGAAGTCTTATCAGTCGGTACACAAAGAGAAATATTTATTGTTCATTAAGTGACATTAGAAAGTGTTTAAAAAAATCTATGTTCTCTGCATTTTCATATTTTAATAGCAGTCTGTATCTCTTCTAAATTAAAACCACTAAAATAAAGAGAAATTTAATATCAAAGTTAGTACTAAAAACATTATTTGTTTCTTAAAAAATATTCCGATAAAATGTTCCTAATCTATATTTACTTATGTGGTATTTTCCTCAGTGTATGAATTTTTCTCTCAGCAGAATCAGAGTCCGCGGCAGAGCTGTTGGCAGAGGCAGCCCGATTAAAATTATGTGCCTGGGATGCCTTTTGTTCGAGGCTTCAAGTCGAGTTCGCGACTCGACGTTTAGTCAGTGACCAAGTGTGTGGTGAACCATATCCGTTTCTTCTTTAATAATAATTAATAATCTTCAAAACTGCGAAGACAAAGTCCATAAAAAGGAGCGTTAGAGCCCTGGAGAACTTCCCATCTGCATTACGAACTAATAATTCTTAAAAAACAGCGTTAGAGCTCTGGAGAATTTTCAATCTGCATAACGAATTGAAAAACTGCTGCAACAAAGACTCAATCTCTTTTTCGGCTGGACTCTTGCACTTTAGATGAACTCTGCAGAGTGACGAGTATAAAAAACCCATAAACGGAATAAAGAAATAAATAAATACGAAAGACAGACAGATCGGCCGATCATCTATATACTAGAGGCTTTCAATCACTGTGGAATCGGACACATTCCGTACAGCCTCTTATATATGGCGACGAGCGGCTGCTGCGCATTTGTGTTTGTCCTGAACCAGATTGACATCATCGGTGCCAGGGAGCAAAATAGAGCTGCAATACAGAGCTGACTAACTTGAACGACGGTTGACGGGCACAGCAAGAGGAGAGATCAACTAACATCCAGAGCAACCATCAATCCCAAAAATCTATCCAAATTATATCCAAAATGGCCATCCACAGTCAGTTAAGGAACACAGTGTGGCTTTGTGTGATTTTGGCAATGATTCTGGACCAGCAAACGCCCGCAGAGGCTCGAGTGCGTAAGTATTAAAAGTTCCTTTTATAACGTTTTGGATTTTCAATCTTTTATTATGAAATGCCTTATGGGGGATTTTTAATAGGCTTCCCAAGTCCTCACGATTGATGAAATTATGATAATCACTTATCATACAGAACTAATTTAACGATTTGAACGGCTTAATTCTACATTTTTAATCCCACAATTCAAATTTTAAAGTTCACATAACAAATGTTAAAAATTTATTAACAAATTTATTCTTTTGTAGGCATGTATATATGATATATTTGAAGTAGTACTAATTTTTCAAAATTCTTTTTCAGGAGACCTTTGCCAGGTGGTGCCGAGCACGAATGGAGTGTGTATGCCCACCACCGTGGGAATCTATTACGATCCCGAAACGCAACGCTGCCAGTACAAGGGCTGCAGCAACAAACCACTCTTCAGCACCCTCGAGGATTGCGACAAGATTTGCAACAATCCGCGGCACGTGAAGCGGCGCAACCAAGCAAAGGCCAATGAAACCTCACATTAAATAAATAAATAGGATCAAAAGAAAACTTTGTTGTACATACTTAAAGTGTTTTATTCAGTGACAAACATTCAGACTGAATTTTAAATGCTTGAAAAAAGATTAGAAATGGTTCGTTACATTCTTAACATATCTTTTGTGAATTCATAAATTCAGAAACGTGCCAACATTACGATTTTAAATATACCTTGTAGTTTCTACCATGTAGTAGATTTTAAGAAAACAACGTGCATTATTTCTCTCTGTTTAAATATAAAAATAAGGATTACAAATCCCACTTCTCTAAATATAATATATATAAGGTTAATAGGAACTATGTCCAATATTACTTTTCAATCCGACCTTAAGGTTTTTAAGAGTTTGTTTTTATCTTAAAACCAACTTTAAATCAAATATTAACCTATCCTCGAAATTTGTTTCCTGTAATATAAATTTTAAATTTTAAAATCTTTGTGCAGCTGTAGTTTGTTTATATAGTAAGTGTTACTTGAAAGTACCTTAAAATTTTCAAGCAAATGTTCAAGTCTTAGTAATATCAATTTATTGACCGCTGCACACAAATCTAAGTTGTTAAATGAATTGAACAAAATGAAATTTACAACAATATAATATTATTATTTATTGTTTTAAATGATTGTCGGTTAGGGTTAGGAAACTACACTTTTGGGTGACATTTTCAAACGTCGCGGCAGTTTAACTCGCACTCGGCTTTTGTGCTGAATCGGTTGTCATTACCACCACATCCGCCGTAGATGAAGGGTTCGCAATGGCGCTTAATGGGATTGTAGGCGAAGCTCTCCACAAATCCGAAGCACCGGCCACTGATCATCGGCTGCAGGCACAGTTTCACTATATGGATATCACTGATTAGTGTGGCGAAGAAGTGGTCTATCTGAAGGAATACCTCTCTTGGAGGCCGCCAATGATTGGCTCGGGATGAGGAGGAGGAGGCCAAGGAGGAGCCACTGCCAAAGACCCGGCATCATGTCATCTGGAGGCAATCCACTCAGTCAGTCAGTCATTCAGTCATCCACCGATACTCAACCGCCTCGTTCTTGGGCCAACAACTCACTGAACCGGGCTCTCTCAGCTTTGATTTCTGTGTTTACAAATGCCTTCAAATGCTCATACCCGTTTTTTAGTTTGTTTTTGCCAATATTCAACATTGACCAAGTTAGCAGTTTAGTGGGAATTGTTTAGGCCGAAACAACAAAGGAATTACCTACTATTGGATCTCACGATTTTATCGCTGAGAATTTATAATAATTAAAACGAAGGTTTGTTTTACAACTTTGATTCAATACCAAAGTATACTTAAAGCAGTTGTTAGTCCTCATTTATCAGAGTTATTGATAATACCTCTAAAATATTGTAACATTTAAACCTATCAATAGACATAGCCTTAAATGTACTTGATATTAACCAATTTAAATTAAATTTGAAGTTTATTGATTCTTTCTAATCCGATTACGAATGCTGGAAAATACGTCGTAATTGGTGGGAGAAGCGAACCTCCCCATCGCGTACCCTACACTCACTCTCATAAAAAACTACGCTCGCGGAGATGACGTAAAAAACACTTGGCAGAAGGCAACAAAAACATGTTCCGCATATCAATTATGGCAACGACAACAAAGCGGCTCAGCCGATACATACAAATTAAGTAACAGTGTATGTGTGACAACCAGAAACGCGATTTTAATTTTAGTTTCGCTTTCAATATACCAAGCAATCCACTAGAATATATTGTTACTTAGGATGTATATTTTTGGAAGTGTGTATCAAAAACCAGTCATATTTTTAAAGACATTGAAAACTAATTAAAAATAGGTCCCCTTTCTTGTTTGTTTTTTATAATACAAATTGTATTTTTAAATCAAATTGTATTAGGTGTTAAATAATTATAACATTTCAGTTAGCCACTAACGTAATTATGCGACGCATTGCTGGCAATCCGTCTTGTCGTCAAAGAATTTTCCCCGGGTTTCACAGCCTTTAAGTTGCAAGGAAAAGCAACTTTTCTTCGATCTACTATACATAAATCCTTTAATAACCTTATCGCAAGACCCCGAGGTACCTCCATTTTGAGCACAACGAACTAAACAGAAAATATATACAATCGGTTAAGCTAATGAATAATTATTATTTAAGTACTTACGATTAGTTCCAATCCCATTATGAAGTAGGATTACAAATAAACAGATCATAAACAAGAGTTTCATTTTGTGTTTGTTTTCAAGAAGATTAAACTATTTACTTTAACTGATGATTAACAACTGTTTTAAACTCACAAAACCTAATAATAAACCTGACCTAATAACTGAGGCTAATGCAATATTTTCTGGCTCTTAATTAGGTTAGTTAAATTGGCATTAAATGTGGAGGGTCAAACTCAAAAATAAAAATCGTTTTACAATTTTAAGACTACTCTTTCCATAGTGTATTATTTCTTTTATTTGCCGTTTAGGATTTGGTCCGGTCTTCCTGTGACTTCGCACTACTAACTCGTTGCAATGTCACTAATTTAGTAATTAAACGCTGCTGAGAGCGAGGGACAATTAACGTCTGGCGCTCAATTATTTCAAGCAAATTAAACAGTTAACCGAATTGTCACCCCGCACACCTGCCATTTTGGCCATTCAATCAAGCCCGAAATGTTCGACCCTCTCGTGTGGGCGAAAGCTAATGAATAAATGGCAGGGCAGTTTGACAGTCCCCAGACTCCTCGAGTTGCTCAGCATCGGAATTATCGTCACATCATCGTCGCTTCATCATCGCCGAGCGATAATTGAATTTGCACTGCGTATTAACACCCGGCATAGTTTATGTTTCTGTTGTTGACCATCTTGTCTTGTCTAGCATTTTGGCCCTAATGTGGCTCTAATTATCGCCCTTGCCCTGAGTTTTAGCCCTTTCCCATCCTGTCGGTCCGCAATGCAACTTTAATGAGTCCCACAAAGTGCCATACTCGTACATAATAATAATATCTGTTTCTGCCCATATTAGCCATGGCCCTGACATTCGCATTGATTATGCAAATTGTTTGCAGTTTACGGCTCAGTTCAGATTGTCTCATGGAAAGCTGAAAATTTAGTGAGTAATAGGGTATAATTAATTTGAAGCTGTTTTCTTTTAATTTTTTATTGTTGAAGTCCTTGAAGATGTCTGTATTTCTTATATTTATTTTTTTGTTGGATTACAAAACGCAGGATAATCTACTATAAGCAACTAGCTTCGCAGGCCTCCAATCGTTTAAAAAAGTTTCCTTTTCCTGAACAGTCACCAGATATTCTAACGCATCTATTCTTCTGCGGAATGTAGGCAAATCCCTTGCACTTACCCACAAAAGAGGCTTTTATACCACATATTGCTATAGGAAAACATACATCTAGGATTAAAAGGGTGTTTATTGCGTAACACTTACGGCTTTTCAGGGCGACTGCGAATCCAAATAAAGTAATTAATGTGAGGGCAATACATAACCGATTCATCTTTGGATATTAGACCCCTCCGTTTTACCTCAACTAATATTTGAAAATGAATTAAACTAATATAAATAGTTATTTAAAGTTTGTAGCTAATATAATTGTGTAAAGGGTAGCTTTTCGAGTGGTGTAGGTTTATTTAGGGATAATTAGGTTGAATATATATTACATAATAAATTGTAACTTAAAGCGTCTTAACACGTTCTGCCCAGGAGTACGACTCTATTTCCACTGCCTATAATTATAAGTCTGGTAACACTACCAAAAGGGACTTATCGATACTTTTCGAGGGTTGATGACGATATACTAAATTAGGCGCTGTTCACAGTCGGCCTCTCCTGACAAATCTCTGCGTCCTCGCAAGATTCAGGGGGTGGATCATCTTCTAAGTCGTCATCTTCATCTGGCTCCTCTGGTGGCAGCTCACACCAGCGTTTCATCTTGTCGGACGAATACACCGACTTGTAGTGTCTCTGCTTCCGTTGTGCGTGAGGGATATCTTCAACAAGATATCTGTCGTTCGGCAGGACCTTGTTGATTATAAAAGGACCTTTATAGCGAGGCTCCAATTTGCGAGATGTGCCCGTGCTGAATGGCTCATTCTCGACCAACACAAGGTCTCCAAGGCTGTACACAGTTGGCTTTGCATGTTTGGCATCGTAGCGTTTCTTGGCAGTAGCTCGATGATCGTTGACAGTTTTCGCAGCATCTGCTCTAAGCTGGGTCAATTCCGCATCTGTTAGCATCTTTTGGTCCTGGCTTTGAATGATGTTGGTTATGGCGTTCTTCAAGATATCTCGGGGTTCATAACCGTACAGGAGCTGAAATGGGGAGCATTTAGTAGTACTATTTACCATGGTATTGATGCTCCACTGGATTGATCGAATGTTGTCATCCCAACGCTTATCGATGTCATTCGATGGCAACAACATTGACAAGATGATTCGGTTTGTTCGCTCTGCGTGACCATTGGCTCTGGGTGTCCTTACAGCATTTAAGATATGTTTTACATTGTTTGATTTGCAGTACTTCTCGAAGTCTTTGGATGTAAAAGCTGTTCCTCGATCGGTGACAATGCGATCTGGCATTCCCAGGTAGCTGGTTACCTCTTGCAGGACATCCAGGACATGTTTTGTTGCTGTACTTTTCACTGCTCGTACGATGGTGAATTTGGTGAATGCGTCGACTATCACGAGAATATGCTCGTTTCTCTTGGAACTCCTTGGAAATGGTCCCAGGTGGTCCATATGAATCGTGGAAAAGGGGATCGGCTTGATGTCATCGTAGTGGTATTGACCTTCCTGACGTCCACCTGGTGTTTTATAAAGCGCACAGCCCACACATGACTTGATGTAGCTTTTTACATAATTTCGCATTCGGGGAAACCAAAACATATTTAGAATTCGTGCCATTGTCTTATCTGTGCTCATATGTCCGGCCTTATCGTGACATTCATGTAGAATGTGGAATCTTAACTGCTTCGGCACAACCCATAACAAATTGTCGTTATGTTTTCGAAACAAGCGATCTTGCTCAATCACGTACTCGTCGGTTTCAGCTTTCTTTTTCAACTTCATATCTGCAACAATTTTCTGAATCTTCTCGTCTTGTAGTTGTATAGAAAATAGCCAATCCTCTTCGTCGATTATGGTCTTTGCTATCTTCAGACATGCAGTATCCATATCTCGAGCATCTTCGAATGGAGCTCGACTGAGTGCGTCTACATGGTTCATATGGGTTCCTGCTCGATGGACGATGTCTATGTCGAATTCCTGAATACGCAACCACCATCTTGCGATCCGGGGTATTAGTTCTCTTTTTTCCATCGACGTCTTAAGGGCATTACAGTCGGTGACAACCTTTATCTTCTTGCCATAAATGTAATATTTAAATCGCTCCAATGACTCCACGACGGCTAGAGCCTCAAGTTCGTAGCTGTGATAATTCTTCTCCGGTTTGGAAGTAGCTCGGCTATAATAAGCGATTGGTTTCAGCTGATCCAACTCACGCTGTAGCAATACTCCGGCTAAACCAACGGCACTGGCATCCGTATGTAGTTCATGCTCTGCGTCTAGGCGATAACTAATGACAACTGGATTTGAGATTAGACAATTCTTCAACTCGTCGAAGGCTTCTTCTTGTGGCGTTTTCCAAGCAAACAGCTTATCCTTGAGCAATAGACTTCTCAATGGCGCTGAAATTATAGCATACCCAGCAACAAATTTTCGGAAATAACCTGTGAGACCCAAAAACCTTCTCACATCGGTAACATTTGCTGGTTTCGGAAACATTCTGATGGCGTTCGTCTTAATTTCTCCAGGACTGATTCCTTCTGCGTGTATCTGGTGACCAAGAAATGTGATTGACTGCTTATATAACTCACATTTGTCCAGGTTTAAAGTTAATCCGCACTCCTTTAAGACTTTCAGGATCCTAGCAAGCTTCTCGTACATCTCATCAAATGTTTGGCTGCCAATAAGGATGTCGTCCATGTAGTGTATCATATCGCCTTTCTGCACCCTCTTCTGTAGCTCTGCCATGAGTCGATTGAAAACTGCAGGTGCGTTTTTCAATCCGAACGGAAGTCGCTTGAACTCGTACAATCCCTCTGTGGTGATGAACGCTGTATACTTTCGGCTCTCTGGTGCTATCTCTATCTGATAGTATCCACTGTTGAGATCCAGGGATGAGAAGTACTTAAATCTTTTCGCCTCCTGCAGACGCTCTTCGATGTTCGGCACTGGAAAATTCTCCTTTTTTATCAGCTTATTCAGGCGGCGGTAATCGACGCACATTCGATCGCTACCATTTGGCTTCTTGATGAGCACCACCGGGCTAGCGTACTCTGACGTTGACATTGAGATCACATCCTGTTTTAGCAGCTCGTCGACCATTCTGCTAACGACTTCCTTCTTTGGCTCGGAAACTCGGTATGGGGCTTGTGCTACTACCTGATTGCTTTCGACGGTGATGTGTGCTTTGACCACGCTTGTCTTTCCTATGCCTTCCAATCCTGTCGAGAAAACATCGGCGAACTTCTCCAGTAAGCTGCGCATTTGCTCACTTTCCTTGTCGTTCTGAAAATTTTCCAGAAGCTTCGCGATCTTGGTAGCATTTACAGGGGTTGTCGGCTGATGGACTGCTCGTTGGATTTTTGAATCGCCTGACTCAAAGTTGAGCTCGAGATGAGCGGAGATGATGACGTCCTGTCCCAATAGAAAATCCTCTAGCAATAGATCGTCGTCCGCTATATACACCTTTGCTGTGATCGTCTTCCCATCGATTCCTATATCCACAGTCATCGCTTCTGTGAGGATTCGTGAACCTCCGCAAATGCCTCTTATCTTCATAGAGCATTTGTGGCGCTTGGCGTTGATTTGCTCGGCAACTGCTTGTCGGATGAGACTGGCTTGACTACCTGTGTCGATAAAAGCGCTGTAATCGTGCGAGTGTACGCAGATTTTCCGGGTGAACAGATTGTCCTGATTTGCGGCTCCTAAACGCATGACATTCGTAGCTTGGCAACGTCCGTTTGGCTCGTGGAACTTGTTGCATTTGGTACAGCGTGACTTTTTGCTCTCCTTTGGACACGAATTAGCAAAGTGCCCCATTTCTCCGCAATTGTAACACTTCAGGGATTCCTTCGACCTTGGCGGCTTAACTTCGGTGTCCTGCTTCGGCTCGAAGTTGCTGGCTTTCGTTGAATATGGTTTCTGGGTCGTACTCGGCCTGCCTCTGTAAACAAAATAAGACTCGGTTGCATCTCGAAGTTGTTTCATTGTTGAGAAATGAATTGCTGCAATACTATTTTGCAATTCTCGATGTTGTAGACCAGAGCGAACATATCTGATGATCGCTGCCTCGCTGAGCTTGTATCGCACCCCAAGGGCTGACATCCTGAAACAGTACTCCTTTACCGTCTCCTTTGATCGCCTGGTTGCATTGGCCATGTTGAAATGCACTTCTGCTTCGTCTGGATTGGCACCAAACTCGTCCTGTATAGCATCGGCGAAGTGCTTCCATGTAGTATGTAGAACGGGCGATGAATCTAGCCACATCTTGGCTGGACCTTTTAGCCTGGTATAAATGGCAAGTAACAGGAACTTCTCGTCCCACTGGTAGGCATCAACCACTTTGTTGACACGATCGATGAACTGTTCGACTGAAATGGCACTGTCGTCGCTGGGATCATATTCTGGCAAGGTGTTGGCAATTTCCTTGACTGAAGCTTGCCTCACGTTGTTCGTAGCCTGTACAGGAATGTTCCTCTCGTTGCTGATTTCGTCGATATCCAAATCGATAATTGGCTGCTGTTGCTGCTGATAATTTTCTGCCTGTGCAGGTGCTGCGTTTCCCATTTGAACGGTAACTAATTGCGCTAGCATGTCCTTTAGTTCCTTCATTTCGTTTTGCAATTGAGAAATTGCTGCTGACTGAGCTGACATCGCTTCTTCTTGCTGCATGGTGAGCCCCACTGATGCTGGCAACTCGACGTCCTCTGATTGTTCAAATTCTATTAATCTTTGAACCAATTCGGCTCTCGTGCCCGAAACTGACGCGTTTCTGGATCTTAGCAGGAATCTTAACACGTCGCACTTAAGTTCTGCTATCTTCGGCATTTCTGGCAATTCCTGGTATTTTTGACTACTAGGTGCAAGCGAGACAACTATATGTACCTCACAATCTGCTTGTTCACTCTACGAATACACACAAACTCCTTGTATGCTTCTAGAGAATTCTTATTTTCTTCGAATTGTGAAATTCACCAATACTCACAACTGGTTTGTGTGTATGTGCTCTGGCTTCTCTTGAGACTTCTGCTGCTCTTGAGACTTCTGCGGCCACAGGCTCACTAAGAATCCTGATCTTACTCCTTTGCTTGAGTCCACGGGTTCACTAAGACTCCCGATCTGATTCGCTTGAAACCGCCTGCCACGTAGAACTGGAACACATCCGTAATCTGCAATTTCCGTTGTCACATAGACCTTTGGGAACACATCCCATTGCAAACTTTCCACGCCGACGATTTTCGCTGCTTTTCCTAGAGTTTTTGGCACAACTCCTCCGCTTCACACATATCCAACCACACTAATCTCACTTCTGAACTGTAAAGGGTAGCTTTTCGAGTGGTGTAGGTTTATTTAGGGATAATTAGGTTGAATATATATTACATAATAAATTGTAACTTAAAGCGTCTTAACACGTTCTGCCCAGGAGTACGACTCTATTTCCACTGCCTATAATTATAAGTCTGGTAACACTACCAAAAGGGACTTATCGATACTTTTCGAGGGTTGATGACGATATACTAAATTAGGCGCTGTTCACAATTGGTTCTAGTCAACAGAACAAAAGTGGCCTTGCTGGCATACAAAAATGTATTAGTTAATAATCGGAGAGCAATGCAAATCGATTTTATTTTAAAAGTAAAGTAATTGAATAAAAAACAATTCGAAACCACTGTTTGACTGACTTTGAACAACCCCAAATATTATTTAAAACGCTTTTAGTTTTAATACATTTCTTCTAAATCACATGGGTAAGGTAAATTAACTTAATAAAGGGTTGTTTTGACAACACTTAACCTGGAATCAGTTTGTTTCTAGTTCTGCTATTTCTTTTAATTTTAAAAACTAAGCCTTGCATTTGGCTTCGCAGTCCTCTTTGGTCGTGAAATGATTGCCATTTAGCAAGCAGCCCTGCCAGAACACGCATTCATTTCTATCTTCCATATAGGAATACAGGATCGTCAATTCAAAACAAGGTCCTTGGATGAACGGCTCAAGTCCGCAACTACCTAAGTGACAGACATTTCAGTTATCGGGCCGATCATTATTTTGAGCACTTACTGTCTTTTAAACCCCTCACTAAGCCCAACATTGCAACTAACAGAACAATTGCTTTCATCCTAAACGTAAATTTAATATAACTGAGGCTGAGATGAAGTACAAACTTTCTGTAAATAATTGAAAACTAATTATATTAGTCTCGACCTTATTTAAAGATCGGTTGTCAAATGGCAAATAGATTGCATTATATTTTTTTTATTTTCTTGCTCTTTCTTGGCTCAACCATTAATCAGTTCATCTTTATTTAATGAGTTTTGGAATTTCCATTAGAAATACTTGGAATTTCTCAAAATGCTTTATCTTTTATACCTTTCATGAAAATTCCCAATATTTAATACTAAGAATTATTATTGGATTTCCGAAATTTTTAAAAGTTTGCACTGATCCCATTATGTTATTAACGATCTGGGTGAGTGATTAAACATTTAATAAATAAAAGGCAAGGACTCGAATGTCAAGTGTTTTGACTATGAAACTTCTACATTTTGTTTTATACTATTCGATATTTAAGATTAAGCTTTCAAGAGTCTAATAATTTAATTTTAGTTTTCATATATAATTATTATTTTGTCCACAAGTAAGTAAATAAAAAACCGTAACTATAAAGAATACTTTAAATTCTGTGCCTTATAAGCTGTGCTTAGTTTAATAACATATTTTTTTACACAACAGGGAAATTAATTAACGGCCCATGATAATATCTTAATATTTTTTCTTATAATGTTCAGATTTATTATAAATAAATTCTTTTACTTAGTAACATAAATCGTTTTCAATTGTATGTTCCAAAGATATAAAATTATATTTATAAATTACTCCTTGCACTTAGCCTCACACTTTTCTTTAGTTGAAAAGATATTATTGTTGGCACCGCAGCCACCATAAATAAATTGTGAACATTCATTTTTATTCGAATAATACGTGTACGAAGGCATATATGCATAGCACACGATTCCTCCAAAGCCTTGGGAGGCTGGCTTCTGGCCACAAATAGCTTAAAAAAGGAACAGCATTATTCGATCTAAGAAAATATTGGCAGGATTTATATACATACGATCTTTTAGCCCGTTAACAAGGCCAACTAGGACCCAAAATAAATAAAATGCAAAACTGGGTTTTATTTTATTCATTACTTGCAGCCTCGTTTCGACTTCACTTTTGAACGAAATAGAAGTGAATGGCGGCTCAAATATCTTTCTCAGCGGACTCGAATCGATTTTAAGTTTCCACTTAGTTAGATAAATTATTTATAATTCATATCAATCCATAGTAAACTGCCTTAAGATCTGTGACCAATTTTAAATATCCTGGTCGGTAACTTTTGTATAATGAAAGAGAACTTTCAAGTTCTTTAAAATAATATGATATATTGAAAGAGCGGGTAACTTATTTTGATCATGACAGCTACATTTAAAATTTTCTATATATTAAACAGAACACGAAAAATAAAAACTGTCTAAAATGACATTATTAAAATCTAATATTATTAAACTAATAAAACAAATAAAATGCTATCGATGAATTATAGAAAGATAAAGATGACAAACCCTATGTTTTTATTAAGATGCAAATATATATGTTTGTCTTCCTAAAAATAAGTGAATTATTGGACTACAGTAAAGTTTCAAGGTCTACCTTTTCATCTATGAGTAAGTATATAGGTTCATATTAATGTGTGATCTGTTTGTATAATCAGATAATTAAGCTTGCCTGCGTTCAACGCGTCGTATGCGCAATTTGAGCTAAAAACACATACATGGATGGGCAGAGAGTGAGTGAGTGGTTTAATTGGAACTCAACTCAGTGGCTCAGAAACGGCATCTAGAATAGAATAGAATATAGAACATTCGGCTCAGTTCAGTTCACAGTCGTTGCTATTATCGTGCAGTCATCAGGTTCCACACACAAAATGCTAATACGGATGACCCAGTTTCTCTGCCTTGGCGCACTTTTCTTGCTAAGTCTTTTGCAACTTACGCAGGCAGTGCCCAATAATGTTAACAATAATATCAAACCGAAGACTGTGGCCCAGGTGCAGCCAGGTATCCCGACAGGAAATAAGCCTTCGATTGCCACAACCACAGTGAAACCACAGAGAGTAGTACCAGGTTGGCTGATGGATAAATATTGCTCTTATTTCAAAAATGACCGATATCTTGGCTCTAATATAATATGAGCGGTGATTAAATATAATTTAATTTAAACACTTTCTATTTACTAACAGATTCCAAATGCCTGCTGCCCAAGGAAGTGGGTCCTTGTCGCATGAATCTGGAGCGGTTCTACTACAACAAGGATAAAAAAGCATGTGAGACCTTTAAGTACGGTGGATGTCGAGGCAACGACAATCGCTGGGGATTCCGGCAGACTTGCGAGGAGGCTTGTCTCCCAAAAAAATGATCAACTGATAGTGACCGCAATATACAAGATTTTTATTGAAATTTATTGAATTTAAGCGGGAACTATTGTGTTTCCTTTGTGTAATACGTGTTCTAGGATTCGTTTTTGTAAACGAATAAAAACTCCCTAAAATGACATTATTAAACATTTATATTGTTAAACGAATAAAACAAATAAAGCGCTATCAATGAATTATAGAAAGATAAAAAAACTAATTGTAAGTAATAATGGGATATACTAGGCAAACATTTTTTAAAATACAGCAAATTTATCCCGATTTTTCCAATGAGCGCCATAAAATGTAGACATCCGATCAGTGCCGTTTAAAAATCATGTAAAAAACCGGTTGTGGCAGTTTTAAGTGTCTAGCTTTTAAACTAAGCTTGCAAACGGTTTAGAAATATATGTCGATATTAAGATGTACTGATACTGATCAAGATCGGAAATGTTTACCCTCAGCAAGGGCTAATAAAAGTTAAATTACACTATTTAGCTATCCATTCAATTGTTAATTAAGTGAAAATCCCATTCCGGCATGAAAACGTGATGGGGTTGCCTAAAACTATCGCTACGACCCGGAAACAAATGGGAATATGATTTTATGGGCAGCATTATGAACGAGTTGGCGTTGGCCAGTGCGTTGAACTGCAACAGAAGGTTGCGCCTCGAAATAACTTCTCGAAAGCTGGCAGTGCCAGGTGATGGAGACGTCAGAGAGGCTCCGATGTGATTTACATGCGACGTCGAATAAGTTTGGCAAACACCCTCCCGCTCCGATAAACAAAGTACACAAAAAGAGGCAAATAAGGTGGGTAAAAACCCGAGTGACTACGTGAGTGGTTCAATATCAGTTCGGAGGGATAGTATTTAAGCCCCAGTACTCGACGAATCTGAAATCATTCGCAGCCACTCAACGGAATCGAAATGTGCTACAGATATAGTTTCAGCTTTATTACAGTCGTGATTCTGCTTCTGGCAGTTGGAATCCGCGGAGCTCCCTCGGATGTGGTGGTGGAAAAGGCGGAGGATCCCAATGCCCCGAAAATCCAGCCAGATGGTGACATCAAAGTCCCGGAGGACTGCCACCAGCCGAAGGAAACTGGCCGCTGTTTCGCCCTGTTCTACCGATACGCCTACAATGTGGATACCCAATCCTGCGAGGAGTTCGTCTACGGAGGCTGTGCCGGCAATAAGAACAACTTTGAATCCAAGGAGCAATGCGAACAGGCCTGTTTGGGCAAGTCAGTGAATCCCACCTCGGAATCCACAACAGAGGAAAACTCCGAAGTGACCACACAAACGAGCACCACGGCTTGATTTAATTTAGTTTTTAGTACTTAACACTTCGACACCCAACTTCATACCCAATGCAATCACAACACATTTCATTACTGAGTTGACTATTTGAATAAAATGATTTGAAAACTTAAGAACGAAATAAAATATTGAGTTTTAAATATGTGTGTCATAGCAGAAAATAAATTTAAAGGGTATATAATATACGAATGCTAAAATGGTTTAAAATGGTTAATATAGAGTTTGGGAAAATGTAACAGAAAGTAAGTAAAACGATTTTATGAACTTAGCTAATTTATATATTTCTGATTCGCATACTGGCATATTCTGATTCGCGTATACATTTATTCTGATTGGCATCTGAATTTCGGAAGGGAAATGTGTTATATAAATATTTAATAAACACATTTTATGTGTATGTATGTGAGGTATTCGAATAAATTTATAATCTATTTCCGCAACAACACAATTTCCTCAGGAATAATAATCAGCGAATATATTATATAAACTTTAAAGTAAGCATATATATAAAGTAAATTTTTTAGAAAGTTTGATGTAAAAATAAGATTAATTTGAACATATGTAACAATCAGATTCCCATTTCAAAGTGGAATAAAATGTGTGCTCTCTAATGATCTGCAGTCAATTAGGTATTGTTCCCTCTTTCTACGTTTCCAATGCAATCAAAATTCAAGCTTGGTTGGATTTACTTTACTTAGAACTTAGTACATAGGTTTATTTACGGCCCCGACTTTAATACAGACACAAATACAAAGCACTCAAAGACTCATTTGTTTATTTACCAATTTGACGAGCACTTGTTAATGAACCGTAAGTTCATGAGCATATCGATAAGATCCCGCGACGATTTGTAGTTCCCACTGCCGAATGGGCGCTAAGTATATAACCTGGTGCCAGACCTCCGATTGTCATTAGTCGTTCCACGGAAGCTGGGAGAGATTGTTTTCTAAATCGCCATCAAAATGAAGTTCGTTGCTGTCGTTTGCTTGATGTTCGCCCTGATGGGCATTGCCTTGGGCCTCAAGGATCGTAAGTGGAGTAATCCTGTAGAAATCGAATCGATTCTTATTGAAATCCATTTTCATTAGCCGTTTGTGGACAACCTGCTGCAGTGGAAGGCAATGGTATCATCAAGTGCGCCGCCTTCGTACCCAGTTTCAGCTACTATGCTGAAAGCAATTCCTGCAAGGACTTCGTCTACGGCGGCTGCGGAGGAAATGATAACCGATTTCCAACCCAAGAGCAGTGCGAACAGAAGTGCAAGGAATAATATTTCAAAAACTCTATCTGACATCAAAAATAACTAATAAAATGCTTTCAGTGAATTTCATAAGAATATGTTGGACTTTTCCTTAAACAGCCGTTGAAGTGGGGATCTGTAATCAGAATTGGTACTAGCAATTCCAAAACATACCCTAATTTCTTCCAATTTTGGATGTGGTACATAAATATTATTTTTATATATATTGAAATTTAATATTTCAATATTTGTTGATTTGTCAAAAAGTTATTTTTTTTTTACATTGTAGTTTATTTTTTTGAACAACATTTTAATACACAACCCTAATAGTAAATTTTACTTTGTTAAATTTGCAAAAATGTATCAAACATAGGGATTCTGATTATAGTTGAAAATTATATTTTATTTTCAATAGCTTTGTTATAACATTTCAGATGCTTCAATTATAAGTTAGCAATTAATTTTTTTGCATTAATGCAAGGTGTAATTTACTGAAGTAAATAAGGGTGAAAATTGTAATTACAGTTTCAGCAAGCTGTTATTATTGAAGCAATAATTGAAGTGTTTAAATGATTAATTAAAATATTTAAGAGGAATATTTAGAAGGTTGAAATGGCAATTCTAAGAAGAATTATTTTCACCAATCCTTCTTTATTTTGTTAAGACAATTATTTTGTTAAGACAATTAGTATGACGCTCATAAATTTATTTTCATCATTGCCTTTTGTTATTAATGTGGGCTATTTCCCTTTCCCTATCGATAATATAACCAGTCCACAATTACAACACAGTTTCAACACTTGTTGACACGCTTTGTTTGTCGTGCTTATTGTTTATTTCATGCGATAATACAATTATAATGTGTAGTACTAATGTGAGGGGCTTTCCCTTTTCGGTGGATGGTAAACAAAGTGAGTTCTGGGAAGCCGACAAAAGTAAGCACTACGGCAAAATATTTACATAAATCGGTGCGATATTTTGTGGAGATTTCCCAGCCATATTTAGACCTGTTTTGTTTGTCCAATAATCACAATGTTTAATGTGCTCGAGCGATTAGCTGAAAGTTAAATGCAATGAGATGGCTATAAAGTAAGCGGTTCTCGTCGTTTTAGCCTCAGTTTACTTTTATCAACACCAGGTGCAGGTTCTAAAGCAATTTCCATTATGAAGCTGCTGATCTTCGTTCTCGTTTTTGCCGCTTTTGTGGCCAGTGCTTTGGCATTGCGAAATGGTATGTAATACTATATCTCCAATCTTCCTTAACTAAATCGTATTCATAAAATTGATATAGAAATCTGTGGTCTACCCCATTCCCGCAATGGTAATGGCCCAATCTCCTGCGAGGCTTATATCCCCAGTTGGTCATACGATTCCGGTAACAATGAGTGCATCAAGTTCATCTACGGCGGCTGCGGTGGCAACGACAATCGTTTCGATTCTAAGGAGAATTGTGAAGACAAGTGTTTGCAATAAACATTGAGTGAAACGAAAACCAATTAATTATTTTATGGGCAACCAGATTCGGGTCTTATCTGCCTACTTAGTCATTTGTACTATCTCCAGAGCTCCTTTGACCTACATTCCCAGATTTGAAGAGCCGTTGTTTGAGGCGATGAAGTGCCCAGAGCTTGGATAATTCAGTGTTAGACCTTCGATTGGCATCAGTCGATCCACGGAAGCTGTGAAAGATTATTTACTCGTATATTTAAAAAACAAAATCGCAATCATTATGAAGTTCATTGCTGTTGTCTGTTTGACGTTTGGCCTGCTGGGCGTGGCCTTGGGCTATAAAAATCGTGAGTGAAGAAGCCTTACTGTACTCGAATAGACTCTAGATGCATTCTCCCTTTTTATTAGCTGTATGTAAACAAACGCCTAAAGGTTATGTAGATGATATTAGATGCGCCGGCTCTATGCCCAAGTTCACCTACTATTCCGAAGACAATTCATGCAAGGAGTATACCTACACTGGCTGCTTTGGCAATGACAACAGATTTGAATCCCTAGAGGAATGCGAAAGGACATGCGTAATCGATGGTATTTATTACATATATTTTATTTCTAATTTGTATTGAAATAAACTCAAACAATTCTTATAGAAATCTGTAGTCTACCCCATTCCCTTGATGGTGTTGGTGGAATGACCTGCTGTGCTTCTTTCCGCAGATGGTCCTACGATTCCAGTAATAACGAATGCCTTTTTTTCATCTACGGAGGCTGTGGTGGCAATGACAACAGATTTAAATCCCTAGCGGAATGCGAAAGGACATGCGTAATCAATAAATATTTTTAAATTAATATTAAAAATTGTATTTAGTATGTTGCATTAAAATACAATTATTCCCCTTAGATTTGTTTGTCGAATAATCTTAATGTTTCATTTGTTAGATTGATAAGCTGGAAGTTGAATGTAATGGAATGGGAAATACTCCGCACTGGTCGTTTCAGTTTCAGTTTGATTTGGTGTACGCCAGCTGAAGGTTCTAAATATTTTGTACTATGAAGCTGCTGATCCTCGTCTTTATGTTTATCGCCCTTGTGGCCAGTTCTTTGGGTTTGAAAAATGGTATTTATTACATATATTTTATTTCTAATGTGTATTGAAATAAACCCAAACAATTCTTATAGAAATCTGTGGTCTACCCCATTCTTTTGATGGTAATGGTAGAATATCCTGCGATGCTTATATCCCCAGCTGGTCATACGATTCCGGTAACAATGAGTGCATCGAGTTCATCTTCGGAGGCTGCGGTGGCAATGCCAACAGGTTCGATTCAAAGGAGATTTGTGAAAAAAAGTGCTTGGAATAAATAAATAATTTAATTCACATTTTATGACCTTATGATTTGTATTTCAATAAATATTAAATATTATTTATATAAATGACAATGTATAAATATATATGAGAAGTTTATAATAAATGGTTTTCGGCTTGTACTAAAAAACAATTAAATTTTGTTCTGAAATGGGAAGATATAGGTAACTATCGTGAACTAACCTAATTTTGTAATTGTTTTCAATTTAAACAGTTTAACCAATGTAAATTACATAGAAGAGTGGTTAAACAACTTTGAGTGAAATCTAAATTTATTCAGATGTAAACAGGCCATAAAAACCAAAAAAAACGACGATGTGACGAACTCAATAATCTAGTCTGGCATGTATATAATATGTATTTACTTTTCTGTGCTAGTTTCCTGCTATCTGTATACAGTAGTCGGGCTCCATTGACCTGCTATGTAGATAAGCCGAAGCTATTCTTCCCGCCGATTTCTATATGTACACCTCTATAAAGTGGGGACTTAAAGATGACTGGACAACCAGAGTTCAACTGGAGTTGCGTTTGCCATGAAGTATCTGGGAATCGTTGCCATTGCCATCCTGCTGAGCCTTTCTTGGGCCCAAGCGAAGCCGGGTAAGCTAGGACTTACTTAATCCTGTCCAGAAGTCTATGGGTAATTCAAAATCCCGCAGCGAAGTGCCGGGAAACGCCTTCGATGGTGGGCATGGCCCAGGATGGAGCTGCCTGCATGGCTTTTATGCCAGCCTGGACCTATGACGCCTCCAAAAATGCCTGTTCGGAGTTCGTTTTCGGTGGCTGCGGTGGAAACTCCAATCAGTTCTCCTCCCGAGATGAATGCGAAAAGGCCTGCAAGGACTAGGCAAACGCAATAAAAGTTCCCATCTCGGGCAAAACCCACAGCTTAAAAACAAAACAATTTTGTAGCCTAAAAACCTAAACAAATAGCCGGCAATCTTGTTTTTTAAAAATACAAAAAAAAAAACAAAAAAAAATACAAAATAAACTTTACTATAATATCAAGGTTTGTTGTTTTTGTCAGTCCTCGAAAAACTCAAACAGAAATCGCGCTTGACCCTCGTCGATTGATAAGCGATCCGGTTTGGGCCTATATAACGCAGCCAGCATCTGCGATCACTTCACAGTTTAGTTTCTATAGTCGCGGTTGAGATCTCTGTAACCCCCAAAAAAAAAATAAAGATTCAATATGAAATACTTTGCTGTTTTCGCGCTGATCTTCTGCCTGTTGGGAACTGCCTTGGCGGCGCTTAAAAATCGTAAGTATTGCTGAAGAAATGTAAATAAAAGTTTATTAGGAGGCGATAGAATTTCGATAAAATATTTTAAATGTATTTCCAATTTCATTTAATTTTTAATACATTTTCAGCTATCTGTGGCGAGGAGTTTGGCTCATTCGGACCCTGCCGTGGGCGAATTCAAAAATTTACTTATCGCAGGGATGCAAACGAATGCATCAGTTTCTACTACACCGGCTGCCAAGGAAACAAAAACAATTTTAATAGCAAGGACGAATGCGAGAGGACCTGCAAAAACTGAGAGCTTGTTACTTATCCACAAATAAAGTTACAATTTCGGTTTTGTTATCCTAATGTGATCATCTTTATTGTTTTCTTTATTAACTCGTTTAATTTTAATTAATATTGGTTTGGCGCTTACAGTAATTAGTGTCCGATTCAGTGTGATTAGGCTAGGCTATATATTTCCGATTTGTTAGCTAACTCTATATGTATGGTAGGTGTTTATAAATATGTATATATATTGTATTATTTTTTGTATATATAGTTCATATGCGTTTGCGTGTTAATTGATATTGTTAATCATCGGAATTGTCTTCGGCTGCTGCTGATTATGTTCGGCTTACTCGGGGTTATCTTCTCTCGTCTTATATGCCAAATCCAACAACAGCTAACTAGCTAATTATATTTCTAATATATATTTTTTAATTAAAGTGCTGCAGTGTTTTTGTTTTTTTGGTATTTTTTTCTTCATTTTTTTGTGTTTATATATTTTTTACTTGATTAAATTAAAGTTTAAATAGCGCGTAGACTACTATTTAACTTTTAAACTTTTCCATTTTTTATTGTTTCAAATAGGCCGTGTAGGGTATTTAATTAGGCAGATTTTAATCAATTTAAATTTGGATTTCTAAATAAATTTTAATGGGAGCAGGCTTGTCTTAAGTTTTTTTACAAGTTTAAAAATCTAAGAAACTAAATACCCTTGTAAACCCTTTTTAAGAAATTTAAATTGCACAATCTTCTTTGCTTTTTTTTTGCTTCATACTATGTTTATTCCATTTTGGTTAGCACCGCATTTCCATTTAAGGAACTGCCTCCTGTGATTCCTCCTGATCCTGGAGAGCCTTCGCCAGCTGCCACGCCCCCTGCGGCCGGCTGGGTGGGCGTGGTCGGTGGCGATAATGTAGCATGTTGCTGTTGATATGCCACTGCCGATTCGGCCAGATCCAAAAGAGCCGCCGACGAACCGCCTCCCATCGAGACGCCTCCACCGGATCCCGATCCCGATCCTGATCCTGAGCCTGGGCCCAAGCCATTCATGGTCATGTCCTGCGCCTCGTGCTTCATCCTCATCGTGTTGTTGTTGTTATGATTGACCACATGCTGCCCCAAGGCCGGATGATGGGCGAAGGAGAGGGGTGGCAGGTGGAGTCCCGGAAAAGCCAATCCTGCAGCGGCTGCCGCATGCAACGATTGCAGAAGCGCCGCCGAATGCTCCTGCGCCTTGCGCCGCAGCTCGGCCACCGAATTGGACCGCGGATCGTGGCCACATCCCTGGCCGGAGGATTTGGGCGACTCCGGCGAACTGGCCGCCGAACTGCTGCTCACGGGAATGCTCAGTGGCGCCACCACCGAGGAGCCGGGCGGCGGCGGCGGTTTCAGGGAGCAGCAGGAGCACAGGCTCTGGAAGGGCGAAACACCTGAAACGGGGCACACAAAAATAATACCATTTAATTAAACATTTATATTCTACTATTTTCTTAACAATAATGTATTTATATTTAATAATAAATAACCAAGTTAAGTGCAAGTAATTTACAAATATTTTTAGTTTACAAAACATTGCAACGCATGGACATTAATTGAACTAATAGATTTAATAACTTTGAGCAAGGGCATTAAACCAGGGCAAAGTGAATTTTCTAAAATTTCCTTTGAAATTTAAATTTATTCTGGGAAAAGACAGCAGACTTGATTTGATTTTGATTTATCTATCAAGCGCAGCATCTGTTGCCTTCTGCCCACTCCAGCTGATTTGATTAGAGCGAAGTGATTTCGATTGAATCTGTCCCTGATCGATTGGCCTGGGGTGTCTCCAACTCACCTTTGAGTCCCGGGAAGAGCGGCTGGTGGCTGAACTGGGCGGCCAGGTGGGGTGGCAAGAAGAGCGGTGGGTGGTTGGCGCTCCGCTGGGCCGCCGCTGCCGCCGCCGCTGCTGCCACGGCGCTTTGTTCACTCAAGACCGGGCGAAAGCCACAGTTGCTGAAAAAATAAAATTAAAAAATAAATATTAAGCATTAATATAAATGTATGCATTATATTTAGAAAATTCAAAGATTGTCTCTCTTGTTTTTAAAGCAAAAATCAGTGATTATTTTTTCGGGGCAAACACTCAAAAAGTCTCAAGCTTGACCCGTGTCAATTAATACGCGATCCGGTTTGTGGGTATATAAAGCAGGTAGCATCGCTGATCACTCTACAGTTTAATATCGTCAGTCGCGGTAGAGATCTCAGTAATCCTAAAAAATCACCATGAAATACTTCGTTGTTTTTGCAGTGATCTGCTGTCTGTTGGGAGCTGCAATGGCTCAGCTTAAGAATCGTAAGTATTTGATTAAAAATTAACAGAAATTTGTATAAGGACTGCGTCAATGTCCAAAATAAGTAAGCTGTATTAAGGCATGCTTTTTTGTCCACATGGTAATCTTAAAGTTGTTTTTAACCTGCTGCCCTTAAAACAATAAAAGTCGAATCACAATAAAGTCGATTTCTTACAACTTAAAGTCCCTTAGTATTAAAACAGTTGTTTTGTACTTAGAGCATACAAATCATAATCTATATACAGTTTTAGCAAAATATATATTTGATTATTGTTATATAAACTTTGCAGCAATCTGTGGCGAGCAGTTCGGACTTTCCGGAAACAGTTGCCGTGGATTAATTATGAAGTGGACTTATCGCCAGGATACGAACGAGTGCATCCAGTTCAACTACACCGGCTGTCACGGAAACAACAACCAATTCGATAACAAGGAGCAGTGTGAGCAGTCCTGCAAAAATTAGGAATTCATTGTATGTCGTTCACCTCTAAGATAAATAAAATGTTTGACTTTTAAATCCTAATGATGTATCTTTATTTAAAAAGAGCCAATTTAAATGGGAGTTTACAGCTATTTTATTTCAATTTGTATATTAAGTATACGCAGCATTGCATTATTATCTTCATTTTATGTTCATTTAATTTATATTGGTTTGACGTTTGATTAGGATAGACTATATAGTATACTTTTCATTTCCATGATAAGCATTATATATATAATATACATATGATTATTTGAGGTAATTTTAGAAATATTTAAAATATTGTGGGTCTAAATAAAGTCTACTAACACTATTCCCTTACCAATTTACAAACTCCTCAATCTACCCTCGCATTTTTATCAGTGCACCCATTTACACACTGAACTGCTTTGCATTTCGCCAGCACGCGCACATTAAACGAAACAAATTCAAAAGCAAAAACAAAAAAAATACAATTAAACACCACATCACACATGGCAAACAAAAACAACAAACAGAGTTTTAATTAACGCTTTATTGAAATAAATTAAAACATTTTTATGCGTAATTGCATTATTATTAATAAACCTAAATATTTTGTATGTGAGAGCGGGTGAGAGGGAATAATCAACACCCAGTTGTCATTTTTGTGACCGTTTTAATTGAATGAAATATTACGCTTAGTCGCATGTCAAGGCAAATGGGAATAAACAAAAAACGCACACCCCAGCCCACCAATAAAAAACATTTAATGCAATTTGAAAATTTTAATTGATAAGTGAGACAACGTTTCGTGGAATGGTTAAATTCCTATGACTCTCATAATCCCCATTAATAAAATTATAGAACCTATTATACATATACATTTTTATTAGAAATAATTGTGTTTAATTAACGAGTGCAAAACTTGAGCTGGAGTTTATTTACTCGCCGTTGAATAAGTGAAAAAATTCAATTTCCATTTGTTCAAATTTACATTAAGCCCCGGGCAACCGAGGAAAATGTGTCTAAAATGTAATATTTTCGGTAGAAGGTGGGGCTGTTTTGTGGTCATAACAAATCTCTGGATATGCTAATCGAGTTGGCGTATTCAGGGGGCTTTTGGGCGCGGAAAATGACAGGCAGACCTCGCGAATAGCGACCACAACCACCGGGAAAAAAGAACCACAAACGTCGCGGCCACTGTCGTTTTTAATACTCCTCGCTTTTCACTTTTTATTTGCCCTCCTCCCGGAAAGTGTCCCCCCTCCATTTTCCCCATCTCGTCAGGTTTTCGGCTTTCCCTTATCCACCCACAATTTTCCGTGATTTGTCCGAGGTTTTCTCGTTTTCTCTGGTCTTTCTTTATTTTTGTGTCGGTAGTTGCAAAACGTTTGGCCGCTTGAAACAGAATTTTCGATTAGACAATTGTAATTGTTGGGTTTTTCAAATGGTTCTGGCTTTTTTTTTTGTTTGGGTCAGGCGTTGATAAGAAATATGATTTCACCTTGCAAACATTGTGCATTTAATCAGGAAACTAAAATAGTATATTTTATTTTCGAGACCTACTGATACATGTTTCTGAAAAACCTTAATAAGTCCTCGGTGTTTGAAATAGTAGAAAAGTTAATATGTAGGCAAAAATTACAATTCCCGCGATAGCAAAAAATCTTTACAATTCCTGTTCGCTTTAGCACCCCACCCAGTTTATGGAAAAACTGTTTTGCTCCCATAACCATACTCATACACCCATTTTCCCCCTATTTTCACTTACCCCCTGGCCCCTAATTAAGCTTCGAGCCAAAAAAGCAAAAGTCCAAGCGGCAAAAACGAGATGAGAAAGCTCAAACAGCAGAAATAGCAAAAACAACTATGGCAAACACTCGGGCGTAGAAGGCCCTCCCCCCTTTTGGACCGCCCCCCTCCACTCTAGTTGCGAAAAAAGCAGTAAACTTAAATGTTTGCGTATAATTAAGCACTCATCCTTTGGTCGTAATTAAATTTTGCATGTGCACATCCAACAGATGCCTCGGACCCGAGTCTGGAGCTTGGGGCTTCGTTCTAGAATAAATCCCTCGTTTGCACCCCCAGTTTTCCTCCCCGTATCCCCATCTCTTGCTCTCCCAATAAGTCTCTCTCTTTCACTCATGTTTTGGGACTGGCAAAAATATGCTAATTGCTATAGGCGACTCTACGGCACTGGGAAAAATAATCTCAGTTTATTTGTTTCATGAGTATTTTGCGATAACTACTAATTATATATTTTTCAATCAAGCTATTTTCCAAAAATTAAATATGTAATAAAAATGTATCTTTTGGGAACTGAGGATCCTAAAGTTTGAAGTGTTAAACGGACTATTTATTTTAAAAATACAATTAAATTTATTCTATTTTTTTTTTTGGGAACTGAGGATCCCATTTATTTAAAAGATACAATCATAATCTATGGATAAATAATTTCATTGCCAATTTTTTCTCAGTGCAAGCGGCTGAGAACAAGGGGCGTTGCCTTGTCCCACGCCCACTCGACTGCCGCCGCCTTAATTGCTATACTCATAGACCCCGACCCGCCCGCCCGTTCCCTCTCCCTCTAATTAAGACATTCACGAGCTCGAGTGTTGTCGTTGAGCTCGTTAGTTAGTACATAACTTTTCCTCCAGGCAGCGGAGAACGAGAAAGCATGGTGAAAATGTGGGGGAAAGAGATGGGGGACTCTGTCAATGTCAATCTTGGAAGCTCCATCTCAGTTTCCACCTTGAGTTGCCACAAAAGTTTTTCTTAAAATTTTCGCACTTTTCGCAGATTGCATTTAGCCAAGGATAAAGTTTTCCCCGACTTGACATGCACATGGAAAATTCACCCCTTCTCGATGTGTGTGTGTGTGTGTGAGTGTGTAATTAGTCGGGCAAACATTTTAATGCTTTACGCAATTCCAACAAATTAAACTCGAGCAATCAACACCTACACAGACTTAGCTTTCCCGCTTCTGCCCCACAAGTCAAACTTAATTTCCGCAAAATGTACTTTTTTCCACGAAACTTTTTGGATACCCCCCTCCCTCCCCCATAATGCTTATTATATTAGGCTACCCGAAAAGTTTGGAAGCACGGAGGCAGCTTATTTTAATTGCATGATGAATATTAAAATATTTGCTTAATTTATTATTCAAGCACTCGCAGTCGTGCGCGCAGCATAAGCGGTTTGGAATATCCGCTCACACCTGAATTACAGGTGGAATGTGGGTAGATATATACATAAGTGGGTACACATAATTTGGGGCACCCTCTATGCGAATTTTCGGGGTATATTCCCACGGCCGAAATACATATTTAGTTATTTGTGCATAAAGTATCTGTGGCGGGGTGCATAAAGTGGAGTGGAGCTGAGAGATTTGGGGATGCTGGCGGGTATTCAATTAACATTTTTAACTGCAAACTTATTCCAGCGAATGATTTAGTTTGGGGACCAGCCTTCGTGGAAAATGATACATGTGATCCCTGGCTTAGTTTGTATATCATTTAGAATAGATGTCAAATTATTTTCGAATTGTTTTGAAACAAAGTCAATATAAAATCAAGTAAAGCCTTTGTGTAATATTTTTTTTAATATTGGTTAACGCGTTTTTTTCCATGCTGCACCTTTTAAGTGTTTTGTAAACATCAATTCAGATTGGCCTTTTTCGCTTACTCATTCCTGCATAATTTGCGACTCCTCGCATTTTAAGTATCGGCTTGCAATAAAAACGGCATTTAATTTTTTTTGGGCAGTTGCATAATTTGTATATTTCGGCATTACTCCTTGGTTCCCTTGGGCGGCCATCAATAAACTCGTTTTGCCAAATATGGAAGGCGCCCCTGGAGTCTCCTCTTACGTCACCAAACGACCTTGCCAACCGAGACAAGTGCGGATTAGTGCTCAGTAATTATTTATTTAGTTTTTGCCCAAGTTCGATTTGCATAAAATATGCGAGAGTGAAGAGAAAACGCCGTATGAGTGCCTGACTAATGCGATGATAAATGCTTGCGATGAAACGCTTCACTTCAGATCGAGATATACACTCCTATTCGAATGTGCTGATGGATGGCGAGGACATCCGGTTCTGGGGCATTTGAATAACAATATCACAGGCGAGATATCACATATTCAGAGTGCTCGAGATTCGGAATTGATTTGGTCAACCGTTACAGCAGCAAAAACAGCGGGGTTTCCAAGGGGAAGTCGGGTGAAATGATTCAGCAATCGGAACGCGTGCCCTCCTCAGTAGGATGTCCTTGGGACTTGTATTATGTCCCTGCCGGATCCTGTTCTTTTTTATTGTGGTGTAATGTCTGTTGTTCCAGCGCGTTGACATGTGAGCCAAGAGTCTTTTTATTTATTTTCGCCCACCCATGGCCTCTTTGCCGGCTGATGAGACCGCCCACCGATAGAGCAAAATAATTTCGGGGGAGAGCCCGCCAAAAAAAAAAATAGAAGCGAAATCAAACCAGCGCCTTTAGTGCGTTTTCAGGCCGGTGGCATATGGTTAGACTCTCCGCTGAAAAATTCAAACGACAAACAAAACACCCTCGTTTACGCCCAATTTAATTCTCAAGTAGCTCTTTATGGCCTTGTGGCCAGGCACTTTGGAATTCCTGATTTGAGTAGCTAAAAGCAAGTGGAATAACAGAGTTAATAATCTGTATGCTTTGGGAATTCACTAGATAGAAGATAAGAATGATACAAAAGATGGAGCATGAATTATAAATACGCAGAGAGCCGATTTTCTAAATATTAAATATCCCATTTTTTTTAATTTATTGGAGGATTTTCGATAATCAACATAAAAAAGGTATAACCAAAATATATATATAGAGAATCTCTATTTCTTCAATTTTTATTTATTTTCCTTATTAAACATAATAACATAATTAAACAAACATAAAATTTCAAGAAATTAAAAACAAATTAACACTTCTTTTTCTGAGAGATCATTTATTACATTTTCCTTACATTATTTAAAACAAATTAAACAGAATTCTTCTGCGAGATCATTACATTCATATTTAAATTTGTAAACTTAAAAATATGAATATACAAAAACCTAACTTAAAGTTTCTTTGCATGTTTTTAAACTTAAAAATATGAATAAACAAAAACCTAACTTAAAGTTATTCGATTACTTAAAAGCATTAAACAAAATGCTATTCGGCGGCGGCGCCTTAAAAAAGACAAAATTCGGCGGCGGCGGCGTAAATGTCTAATAGAGATAGGGTTTAAAAATACTCACTAACACTGCTAAGTTGCTAAGTTTATACTTTTGGGACAGCCATCTTCCCGGAAACATAAGTCCCAAGTTTAAAAGTTATCTTTGGGCAAATAAATATAAATTAGACAGCGGTTCGGAAGATCATCATGGCACCAATCGATAAGCTCTCACAGACAGCTATAAAAGCTGGAGAGTAGTCCCAAGAATTTCAGTTGCCTTTTTTCTACCAATCTATTAGCTTCTACTCTTCCGAAAACAACACAAAAATGTTCAAGCTAGCGTATTTTCTGATAATTGCAGGGACTCTCAACGCATCTTTGAGTCAGGCGAGAAATTTGACGGACTTGAAGACCAACCAGGATCGAGATAACACCGACACGCTTGAGAGACAGGTCCAGATACAAAACCAAATGGATTCTCTTAAAAATGGAATGGAGGCTCATTTAGCAGCCCTAGAAAATAAACTGGAGTCTATGCAGATCAAGGTGATTAACCAACTTACAGCCATACAGGAAACACTTTCCATCCCTTTGGGATTCGTGCGGATCGGTTCAAGATATTTCTATATAGAAGAGACTGTAGAGCAAACTTGGTATTCCGCTGAAATGACCTGTCGGCGGAAGGGTGGACATTTAGCGTACATCAGAAACCAAGAAGAGCTGGATCTCATAAGTAAATATCTGGATAAGGACTCCCTTTACTGGCTGGGCATCCACGAGCCTTTTAAAAGGGGCGAATTCGTCACCGTGACTTCATGCAATAGATCTCCTTTTCTAAAGTGGGGTCCAGTTGAGCCCAAATACGTGGACAACACATTGCACTGCATTGTTATGCAAAATTCAGTCATGCTTGTGCAGACTTGTAAACAATTGTATCATTTAATTTGCCAAGCCGATAATTGAAAATAAACAAATTGAGAAAGAATAAATAAGCTCTTAATTCTTACAAAAAAATTTACATCCACACACTGCACCAAAATCTCAAAAGCTAGTATAATTTTGATTTAAATAATTTTGACTTAAACGGTTTTGTAATTGCTATATATTTTGGACAAATTGAAATCAATAAAAAGAATATCCTATTATAAATGCTTATATGTTTTTTCCTACGTCATTAGAACATTTTTAAATATTAGATATATTTATCCAAATCTAACAAGTAAATTAACAACAAATATCCAGGCTCATTAGAGGGTAAGCCAATTACTCGGCTACTGAAAATGCAGAAAAAAACCTTGAAAATATCCGTTTCAGCACCCTCAATCGATCCCTCCCTTTTCGGGCAGTCTCAACGATTATAAACCCAACGATCTGCTAATTGCCTGCGTGTCATTAAGCCTCCACTTACAAAAGAATTAGACAAACAAACAATAAAATTTATGGCAAGTGTCGCATTTTGTCATCAAGCAGCGACAAAAACAACTGCCGGGAAAAATAAAGGAGAAGTAGAAACAAACTGCTTTTCAACCCCTGGCAAATATTTACAAAAATCCGAACGAACAAGAAATTGCGACAAAATGTCACCCCTAAGTGGGCAATGCCGCTGTAGCCGTCTCTTTCCCTCTTGTCTTGCCTCTCTGTCTAATCCCCCTTATACATTTTTTGGCGGCAATGACTAAATTAGCAGTTGATTCAAGGGGTGGAGCGGTGGATTTTTTGGGGCAGGCTGCCAGACAATGACCGCAATGAGAGCAGTAATGACATTAGATGCTTGGCCGGGTGTACAATGCGATTCTTGACTCCCGATCCCTTATATTTGGCATCTTTGCTTGTGCTTCACTCAGAAAAATTACATGTTAAAAGTAAATCCAACATGTAAAACCTCTATCTTTAGCTAAAAATGGAGATCCACAGCTTTTTAAAGATGTTAGAATACAATATATGTAAGCATTTCCTTTGTACAAAATTGCAACTAAACTTTCAACTAATAACCAGGCTTAAGGCTTGTATTTTGTTTAAGGCATTTTATACATGCATTTTATTTATGCATAGAAATAACATTAAAAAAATTGAATTTTTCTCGTTTTAAAACTATTTTTTCCATTAAATGTTATTAAAAATAAATACCTTTTTAATATATCAACAAAATTAAGAAAATGTAATCTTGCTTTATAATTTCTTTTTATGTCTCTTGTCAAAAATTCAGAATTTTTTGATATTTTTAGAGAACATTTTTTCCCTGAGTGTCGACTCCTGCGGTGCTCAGTCTCGATTCTCGACTTTCTGTCCTTTTTCCGTTGGATTTTCCCGACTCACGGGTTATTGAACAGGCGTGCGCAGCGGAAGGCGTTCTACTTAATGTTTTGGATGGAAAACGTTTAAATTCCATTGGCGCACTTCCGGTCAGCGGATGTCGTGTGCGCCAGCGGAAACATTAAGAGAGCAGTCTCTTTCTCCGTTCGCCCCCCTCCCCCTGACCCGGCCAAAAGGAAGGAATACCATTTCGGAAAATCCCCTACCCCCCGCTAATGATGCCGGTCATCATCGATACGGCCGACACGTGCGATCCCGAGGGCGCCCAGTATCTAATCATCGGCGGAACTGCCGCCATTGTCTCAGCCATATGTGGGATATGCTAGATGGATATCCTTTTGCAGCTGGGCGGTTTAGAAGATAAATGACTTGGATGATAGTGCCTCGAATTGATTTCCGCCGGAAGTTTTGATTCCTTTTTATTGGGTGGGATTGTACAATTAGGTGTGACTGGGATTGAATTTAAAGGCCTTAAAAAGTCAATGTACTTTCAATTAAATTTGACTGAGAACAAATTCAAGCATTCAACATTCAAGTAACTTAGGTTTAAATGTCGGTAAAGACTTAATATTAAATTAGGTGATTTTCAGTACTCAGTTTTGCTTGCCAACCTTATTTTTGAGCATTTTGCATAGCAATTGGAAAAAGATTGCTTCAGGAGGTATGCAATGGTGATCAGAATTCAATCAATATTTGTGATGTAAATAAATTGTAATTAGGTATTTGATAGATTGACTTACCTATCGCTGGCGTTGCTGCCGCCTCCGAAGTTCCCGAAGATGTGGCTTCCAAAAGCGGCCGCCGCAGCCGCCGAGGAGTGTGGCAACTGGGGGGCGTGCGGGGTGGTGGGCGTGGGCGTGGACGAGGCCGAGTTGTTGGAGGAGGCCGGCATCCTGGAGCCCGTGGTCAAGGACATGGGCCCGCCCACCTCGATGGGGGAGTCGGTGTTGCGCGAGTTGGAGGGGCTGCTCGGCCCCTGACCCCCGCCGCCGACCAGGGGCGTGTGCTCCCTGTGATCCCTGTGCATTCCCGAGGGGGAGGGCGATCCGGCACTGATGGAGCCCAGCGACTGGGAGGCGGAGTGCGGGGTGGTGGCCAGCTGATTGGAGGACAACGGGCGCTCGTTGTCGCTGGAGTCCAGGTGCATTCCACCGCCGGGACTGCGGGAATGGGAGTGCGAATGGGAAAGGGAGTGGGAGTGCTGCTGCTCCATCTGCCCGTTGGTCAGCGGGCTGTGCGAACGCTGGCGAGGCGGTAGTTCATCCATGTCGTCGTCTATTTCGCCGGTTATGTCTGGCGAGGATTCGCGAGAGTCGTGGAGCTGAGGAAAGGCAAAGGATTCGCTTTAAAAATCAAGGGAAGCTAAAGATAATTATTTTTAAATGTAACTATAAGCTAGAGCAGATCAGCATTTACTGCCTTTGAAATCATCCGTATGCAATCAATACAATTACGTTGTTTTTCTGTGTGCTTATAGTTGAAATAAGAAATTTAAAAAAAATGTATATTAGGTCTGAAAAAAACTTAAAATGCAATACATCTATTCGAAAATAAAAATATATATTTTAAGTATTAAACGGTAAGCGGCGGTCCAAAACTTTAGTAAAAATTACTCATACGACATGTAGTTTTCAAGTATTCAGTTAGACAAAATGATATGATTAGGAAACAGAGCCAATGAGCAGTTCCTTAAATTCCTTTTGACATTCCCTAAAAACAGCGAAACGCATATTATAATTGGATAAGAGTAGGACCATAAAATTTTCATAAAAATGTTGACCGCCCTAATTAAAAAGGATAAAATCTTTTCTTATTAATATATGTAAAGGTTTTCAAACTATACAAAATTTGTACAATATTTTAAATGTAAATTTTAAGGTGTCAACTGTGGGAAATTTCCCTGCTTAAGCCCCTCATAATTCAATTTACTTACCTTATCCAGTGAGCTGCTGCTCTCGCCATTTTCCCGCTTTCGCTGCTCATCCTTGAGTCGCTCCGCCTTGCGCCATTTTGCCCTGCGATTCTGGAACCAGACCTGCGGAATAGGAAAATGGGAAACTCGAATGAAATTGAGAAAGTTTGGCGCAAATTGCCATGATATGGCCACATGTCTATTATTATTTATGCCACGGGGCAAGATGCCTCGTTGACTCCCGCTGCCAGCCAATGGAAAATTGAAAAACTTTCCCCACACACACACAAAATTTTCCACCTCAGAAACTTTAACAATTTGTTGTGCCACCCCAAAAAAATGTTTGTGTTTCCCTTTGTCCTTCCAGCCAATCTAAGATATAAACAAACAAAATCTGATTTTCAATTTTCCTAAGGAAGACAAAACAAATTTGGCCTGTAATCAGCGCCTAAATTGGGGAAAGGAGGAGGGGCTCCTCACACACATGGCTGCCTTGCTCTAATGAGGCTCAATCAAGACAATGCCCTGGCATCCTTAGACACATCCTCTGGATTGCTTGCTTATGCGCGCGTGTTTCCTTTCCAAAGCGCCCTTTTCCCAAAATTTTCCCCCGGTTTTCCCCACTTCCCGTTCGCTTCGTTTGCTTTTAGTTCCGGTTTGCGTTGATTCCCCAGCTTAGAGCGCCCCCTAATGGGATTTCCCTTGCCCGGGCGCCATCTTGAATGAAAATCACTCTCTGTACGGGAGTGTGTGTGTGTAAGTAAGTTTCCTAATCAAAATTCAAATTAGACATTGTGCAAAAGTTGGCATTTTGGCTCCATTGTTGTAATCATAACGCAGCGTAAAACAATTTCGGCATACTTTGGCCTGCAGGCAAATAACCCACCGACTCTCACTTCTGGCCGCCATGTTTCCCCAGACTTTGCTCCTGTTTTCCCCCAGCTCCTTTTTGCCTGGGCAAACAATAAATTGCGCACAATCCAACCCCCAAGAACGCAGGCCACCTCCCCCCCTCCCAGAAAACACCCACTGCCACCCACCGAAGGGGGCTGAACTTTTCCAGTTTTCCTCTTTTTTTGGTGGTGACGCCCACCAGTTACTTAATACAATATTTATGCCATAAGCACATTACCAATAAAATATGGCTGGGTAACTTTTTTTCTCTCTCTGTGTGTGTGTACCCTGGGGGTGAAGGAGAAGGAGAGAATGAGAGAAAGAGAGAGAGACAGTGAGCTGGAAAGAGAGGAAAGCTAACGATAAAAGCAGCTTCTCCTTCTGACTGCTCCTGTTATTATGACAAAAATTGAATAATGAAAAACAATTGTGTGCGTCTGTCTCTCTCCCTCCGGCCATTGCCATCTCACTCTCTTTCAATCATAATTTCATGCACAATTTTGCTTTGTTTTATTACACACAGAATTTAACGTGTTTCTTATTTATTCAACTCGCTTGGTTAAGTTTCTTGATTGCCTTCTTGGAATTACTTTTAAAAGTGGATAGGGTATTGGACCATATCAAATGAACCAGGATATTATTTTACATGTATGCCTTGTTTTTTAAATTTCAAGTTTACTTAATACAGTATATATTTAATTTTGAATTTCTTTGAACAAATGATCTGCATATGTATTTAACTTGCAAATCAAACCTAAGTGCTAAGTATACTATACTTTTAGGGGGGACCTAAAATGTAATCTTTGGAGTGGAGTAAAGATTTTTAAACTATAACATGTATTTTTCTATCGATTTTTTCCCTTGTTTGTTTTTAATTCGGACTAATATCTAAACGAGTTGACTAGAAAAGTCTGATTAAATGTCGAATTTAACATAATGTAACAATGTAACGTTAATAGACTTAAAACAAAAGTTTAGATTTATTCAAACTATAAATAGGCTTTAATATTAATGTCTGTTCATCTTACAAATCATTTATTTAATATTAAAAATGTAAGATAACACTTACTTTATGTTTTCCGATAAATTCTACTTTTGATTTAACTTTGATCGAAATATATTTTAATATACAACAGTTTCGAACCCTCAAAGTATGTTCAAGAAAATATATTTATTAGCTAAAATATGTAATGCCCCACTGCACATGTCGCTCCTTATCAACACATCCGAACGGATGCACTGAAGAACCCTTCGATTCACTTCAAGTAATTTATTTACCCAAGCAAACGCCCAAAGCGACAAAAATTTCTCATAATTCTGGAAGAACAATAAACAAAACAATTATTCATATACCTAGCAAACACAATTTTTGCGGTTACAAGTTACAAAAACCGATTTGCCATGAAAGCGAAAACAAATAAGCAAACAAGCGGGCAGGGTAAACAATACAAAGTTGTTACACAGCGAATTACACAAAAAAAAACACACACAGGGAAATGGAAACAATGGAAACACCACCCAGAAGCCAAGGGGAAAATCAGGGGAAAAGGGCGAAGATGCAGGAGGTCGTCTGTGGGGTAATTACGGACAAGTGCGCACCATTAGCTTCCGCAAACAGTTTGTCCCGATCCCGGAACACTCAATGCAAACAACACCCAAGGACCAAAAAACCAAGGACCTCGACGGCGCAGCTCAAGTGGAATGAATGAACAGATGTGTTAATACCAAACGCATTTCGCTCTGGGCTAAACTGAACCCTTTGCAACAATAATTGGGCTACCGCAGCAGCCAACACCACACAGAACACCCCTTTCCCTCGGATCCTGGAATCCTTCCCCTGAAACCGCCCATATCCTGAGGCCAACATAAGGCAGACTCGATTCGATTCGACGGCCATCAACTTGGATCAGCATTAAAGGATTACTCGAGCAAATGCAATTATTTGACAGGACGCCCGGCCAACCAGCCACCCCTTTACACTTGAGAAAAAAAGGAGGCAGCATTATCAAAATCAAAAATAGCGGTAAAATAATGATAGAATAAAATAGTATATTTTCATGAGTGTATAAAGAAATACTTTTTAATGAGCTTTTATTCTTGAGACGGAGATACGACTTCTGGTAATTAATATGCATTAGGGAAATTTTTCTTTTTACGCTGGCTTGTGATTCCCAAGTCCTCATTTTCAATCAGTTTTTGTTTTGGATTGTTTTTTGAAAAACATTTTTTTGTTTTTAGGAATTTATTTAAGAACTGCAACCCCCTAAAATAAATAATGTTATTTTGTATGATGAACAACAGATTATAAATTCTTTTTTAATTTTTGCAGCTTTGTTATCATTTAAAAAATGTTTATATTTTTTAAAATTGTAATTTTTTTCGCAGATGGATGAGTTTCTCCCAGTGCACTTCCCTCCTATCATCCTTTCATTCCTCATCGTCTTCTGTGGCTTTTTTTCTCTTGAACAGTTTCTCACATCGCCACTTGGGAGCACTGTGATTATAATAAATTATCAATTATTGGCATTATATGCGGTGGCAGCCCTTTTGCGGTGGTTCGAGTGGGTGGTGCCATATTTCCGATTGGGTGGCTTTTTAGTGGGAGTATCCCTTTCGAATTGTCATGCTGCAGCACATTAATTCTAATCGAATTAGTTATGTATGAGGTGCGTAGTCGGAAATGTGAGAACCGGTAATCGCAGTGGGTTAACGACTTCATTATTTATCGCCTTAGACAGGGAAAATGATAACAATTATTTTGGGGCGCAGTGAGAAGGCTTATTGAAGATATTATTATTAATGTAGGAATGTCCTGCAAGGCATTTCATTGGAAATTGTATAGGTAAATAGGAACCTAATAAGAATTTCGGAATTTAATCAACCAAGTTAGAATAGGTTGTGCGTTTTAAGCTATCTATTAAGTCATAAGTAGTATTGTTACTACCTATTATAGTATTTCTTGTACCTTAATATTGATCCAACCTTTGATCAAAAAGAAAGCCTCCTTCAACTCATCGTTTAATGATATGCAAATCTTTTTAACAATATTTTCCTATGGGTAAGTTCCATACCATCCCCAACAGCATTTCCTCCCCCATATTATCCCATTCAAAAATCAAATTTCCCACTCATTTATCAATCAATATCAGTTATTAGAAGGCTCTGCGGCATTAGCTCGACTTCAAAGTGCTTTGTCCTTGTCAGGTGTATATGCGGCTATATCCCAGATCCAGCTGGGGCCCGGGCCTCAAACATAAGCTCGCTGGGATATACATTAAGTAAATGATTTTTGCACTGAACTTAAATTCGATGCGACAGGAGGGAAAAACAACGCACAGACCTTTAGCCGGGGCATCAAAAATTGACAGACGAAAAAATCCCGTGGAAAACGTATCAGGTTACAGGCAAGTGAGCGGCTAAACCGAAGTCAGGGATGTTGGGGAATCAAGCGAAGTACACATAATAAATTTTATTATAAAATTTATTTCCGCTCCGCCGTTGGACGGCGCATAGCAAAAAAAAAAAAATGTGTCAAAATGCGGTTGGAAAATGCCGGGCACACCCTCATCAAAATATCTGGCATTCATTCCATTATCGAAATCCCAGACTAAGCTGTCCAGCCGTAATGTTTTTCGGTTTTTTCCACAATTTTCGCCGCAAATTCGTTAAAGAACTCTGGACGCTGCAAACTCGGACCACAAAAGTTGGTAATGACTGACAGGTATTCCTTATGGAGGGTGGACTCTTCTTTATTAGCTTGTAATTTTGTTAGGACTGACAAGAACACGTGCTTGCGACAAGTGTCCCATTGTCGTAACGTTTCGTTTATTTACAAATATCAAATTGCCAGCATTTTTTATATGGCAAATTGAATTGAAAGTATCTGGTTACGCCTGGGAAAAAGCTCGCTCGAAGGCGCCGCGTTTAATTGTGCCGGAAATAGAAAAATGGAGAGGATGTCGTAACGCCACCAAAGTGTTTTAATAGCCACCAAAGTGTGCGTGGGTTCGCGACAAACGTGTCTAGTTAGTGTGGCATCCTCATTAAGTTTCTGGTTCTGTTCCAGCCTCCATTTTCATGTGCATAATTTGCTTTCGGCCTCAGAAACGACGTGCTCGAGTGCCCGGAGATTCGCCATTCCACCCACCCAAGATCTACGAATTTATATTTCCTCTTCCCCCAAACGAAAATGTGTGGAAGTAGATCCGCTAATTGTCATTTTAATCTGACAAATGCAGCTCACATTTCCATGCAAATTGCCCTCGCACTTACCTCTTTCATTTGAGACTTGTGCGAAAAAACAATCTTTTCCTGACTTAATTTACATTTTGATCCGAGCGCGACTATAAATTCTAATGTCTTCGCTTCGAATGCCAGCGAAGTGGTTTTAATTTCGGCAACAATTGTTTTTTTTAACATGAATAATGTATAAGGTTAAAATAAAGTTAGGTTTTGATTAAGGTGATATGTTACCCCCAAAACGAATGTTATTATAATTTTTAAAAACAAAATATTTCTCTAATGTAAAACAGGTAAAGTTTACAACTCCTTTTCGGTTTAATTTTTTAGGTTCAATAGGTTTCTCTTCATAATTTTCTACTTTATGCTTACTTATTGTGTTAAACATCAATGCAAGTAATGGAGTTTATCTTACATTGTTTTCCTTTGACTTCTTTACTGGCTCAAACGCAAAATTTCTATCATAATTTTGAGGGCTTTTGGCTTTTTGCTCCAAGCTTTCTGCTCTCAAACTCTTATATTGAAAAACAAATTTGATTTGGCGGGAGGTCGGAAAAAGAGGGTTTTATAACCAGCAGAGGAGAGCAATTTGCTTTCCACTTTTCTTTACTTTTCATTTTACATTTTTCTTTTTTTTTATATTTTCCCTGTCAACGCTTAAGAACTTTGCATATTTTGCTGGTCCGCCTGTTTCTGGCTTTCTGGCCCGACGTCATTGAAAATTTATATAGAAAATATTTTTTAAGGCAGTTATTGCATTAGGTTGGCTACATGCCACCCCAGGAACCCGAATCCGAATGCGAATCCGAACCCGTTGGTAATCCCCCTATTCAGCATGCATATGCATTATTAATCGGGAGTTCCAGATGGAGAGAGTTACTGAAAAAACTGAGGGCTTTGATCAGGCTGCGTGACCGTTCTAGGGTGGTCCTACTACTCTTATATACTTATGAAATTTGATATGATTTCGCAGCGTTCTTGAGTTCTGAATTTAATATTCCCCAGTTACCCCAACACTTTTTCTCAACTCTTCCTATTTAGCATAATTTCACCCAAAGAGGTCAGAGGTTTTGCTTACCTGAACCCGTGCCTCGGTCAGGTTGATTTTCATGGCCAGATCCTCGCGAGTAAACACATCCGGATAGTGAGTTTGGGCAAAGGCCGTCTCCAGCTCCTCCAGCTGTCCCGAAATTAAAAATTAAAAACGAATTCCCCTTCATTCTTCGCCGACTTACCTGTTGCAATGTGAAGGTGGTGCGATTCCGCCGCTGCTTCCGCCGGACGAAGGTCTCATCGTGGATGGCAGGATGATACGAGTAGCTGGTGTCTGAGGAGGAGCAGATTGCAGGAAGCAGAAGGTATTAGCCATGTGAGGTGTTGCATTAGCCATCTTAATTCTACTAGTTGCACTAAGGGTGTAGGAGCATAAGTGCCACTAAGCTGGGGATATGTCTTGCCCGGCGTCGCCATGAATTAAATAGTTTCGGCAGGATTTTTATTTGGGAGTTTGAAAATACTGTAGTACGGTCAAGAAATATAAAAAAGACCAATGTGGAAATCCATTTGACATTAAGAATTTTTAAATAAAAATATCCTAAATGTCTTTAACACTCGTTTACTCATTTAAACAGTTAATTACTATATTAATTTAATCTTAAAAATAACAATTAGCTATTCCTTTAACCCAAAGTGGTTGCTATATTATTTATGGCTGGGCAAAATAAATTCCTTCAATATGTCTCTGAAGTTAGAAAAATAACCCTTAACTTATTTATTCCATTACTTTTTTCAATATCTCCAGTCAAGCCCAAGTTTTCTCTAAATTTTAAATGACCCAACTATAACTGCCTTGGAATTCATTCATGCCAAAAGTTTTTCTCCGCTGCCATGCCCTTGCTGGGAAAACCTCCATCTTCGCCTCCTGCATTTCCCTTGTCCACTTGCCTTTTGCTGAAAGCCAGCTGTTGCCAAAAATTGCAGGCTAATTGAATTTTCTAGCAGCAGCGCCATTTTGTGTGCTACGAAATATTTTATAACTGCCTTTTGAGCCAGAAAGAGAGGCAGCGAGGAAAAGGAAAGGCGTTGACAGCCCCACTTGACCTCCGCCCCGAATTGCCCGGCTTTTCCACCCCCCGGAAAATGGGAAACCAATGTCGAAAGGCGGAAACTTTGTTGGACCTTTTTTGCCTTGGACTTTCGGTGCCTTCGTGTTGTAAAATTAATTTTCAATTTGATTTTAAATAAATAATTAGCTGGCAAATTGCAAAATTTAATTTTAATTTTCTTCTTGCCAAAGCCCAACAAAGCTGGTCGTCTCTTTCTTTCTGGCCTTTTCCGTCTCTTTCTTTGTCTGTCTGCCTGTGTGTGTGTCAACTTTTTTGGGGGCTCTAATCCGATTAGCTGAAATGTTGTTACTTTGGCATTCATTTTCGCCAAGCCGAAGGTCGTCCCACTTCCACCCCCTTTTCCCAATTCCCCAGAGACTCTCTGTAATGCGCACTAATGTTGTTTGCCATGTTTTTCTCTATGCCAAGTGTCGCTATGCTTGCCATCGATTAATATTTAATTATGAAAATAATTACAAAATGTTTTCGGCTTCTTTCGCCATTAAGCTCTCAGGTAAGCCCAAGGATATTCCATATATCCTGCTAATGAAGCACGCATTTCGGGCCTAAATCAAGCAATCAAAGAGGTAGGCAAATGCTAATCAAATAGTCGATGAGTTGAGCTTCGGGCACTCAGCATAATTTTTCCAGGAGGCTGGGTAAAGTTAAGTTCCCATGAGAGCTGGCAGCGTTAAGCTGGAATCTTGAACCCCAACTGACTTTATTGATTTCGGATGATTATAATAATCTTTACCTAAAATTTGCCTATTGAAAAAGTGTTTAGTTAAATTTAATATGTTACAAAAGGTTAAATTTTGTATATATATATGAATTATAAAAAAAGTGAACAAGGAAATAAAACTATACAGTTGTTTAATACAACTACAAAACTATGTTTAGTATTTTTATTAAAAATACCAGGTACAAAAAAAAAATAGAAAATATTACAGCTTAAGTTCTCTCTTATACCACTTTTCATACCATATTTCGGATAATCACGAGCACATCCTCCGTCATTTGCTCATCACCAGTTCATCCTGCAGCAGTGCAATTTTCTTGCTAATCAAATTCTTTGCAGCCAATAATTGCCTAAAATGCAAATGGAAAATGCCCCAGGATGGCCGAAAATGCTTCGGGCCGAAAAAGAAGCCCAGAACATGTTCCACTGACGTTCAAGCGGCTGGCAATTAGCACAATTAGGTTTCGAGTGCAAATCCCAGAGCGCAGCAAAAGCTGCCCAAAAACCGGGCAATAAGAATTTCATGCTGAAAGCTTTGCCCAAAAACCAAGCCAATGCACATTGGGCCAGCGAGCCGATTTTTCGACGAAAATTAAAGTATTAAAGCTAGCTTCTTCAAATTTGGTACATATGATAGTGTCGATGCACATAAAAATATATCTAAGTTTCAGACTCATCTGACCACGCCTTCCCTAGCCGCCCATATGAGATAGGTTTCCTCTTATTGATACTTGTACGGTAATAAATAATGCTATAGCACTCGTTAAATTCAACAAATGTTTTTAATTCATTTTTTCAACACTTAACCTTAATATTAATAAGTAAAAAATAAAAATGCATTCAAAGTGACTATCAATGGGTATTTTACATTTAAAAATTACAGTCGTCTTCTACATCAATTTCTATTGAAAACGGATTTTCAGAGTCAGAATTTGAATCACTATCATTATTGCTAGCATCAAAATCGGGAACATTGTTATTATTGTTCATGTTACAAGAATATAGCAAGTTTGGTGATTCCAAAAGTTTGATTACGTCTGCTGGTAGGGGTAGTTTATTTTGGTGACCCAATCTTTTTGTTAAATAAATGCTTGACACAAGAGGATCTGAGGAATCCATTGCTCTGTGGAAAACGTCTGCCATGTTGTTCTGCCGTGTACTCTTTCGAGCATGTAACCTTCTGTCACTCTTATAGTATTTGTTGCGAGCCTCTGAGGCGTTCTCGCCGAGAACACCTAATGGAAGGATTGATGCTTCTATTATTTGGTATCCGTGCATTAACACTTTATGGACTGTTGCTGACATTGGAAACCATGGATACAAGGACATATATAGTGATATGGTTTTCTGACAATATTTTTTAAATTTTGTTGGATCAATTGGTAGGTGGCAAGAAATAGCAATTAAAATATTGTTAAAATATGCAATGAGAATTTCATCAAGACCTAAGATTTCAGCTAGTAGCTTAGGTTGTGCAAACGCCCTCCTTGCTGTATTGCCGTCGTTGGTATTTCCATTGCCATTCTGCTTAGGCTTATCCACATGTAAAGCCATAGCATTCCACATCTGCATCTGAATCGTCTTTTTTTGTTTCGCCATTTCTTTTTTTCCATTTTCATCTCTCACTTGCCATTTTTTAAGTTTCAGTCTATATGCAATTTTAAGAACGAATTCGAAAAATCGAATCCAACCATGTAGAGGACTTATGCCATATTTTAATGCTTCATATCTTGGCTTAAATTTTGGTGAGTCTATTTTTGCATTTTCCATGAAGACTTTTGGACTCGCTCCACATATCGGACACAGTTGGCAAGATTTGGTTTCAGTCAAAATGTTTAAAACCTTTCCATCTAAAAGTGTCATTTGAAGATCATATTTAACTGAAATTGATTTTCCATTTACTACGGAGCAGACATATGAAGACAAATCTTTTATTTGACTATCCAAATTTTTTTTCTCATTCAGAATATGGTCTTTTGTCTCTTTAACAAACTCAAGCTTGACTGGTCTACAAAATCTAATCGACTGAGGAGTACGATTCATCCAAAATACATTTCCCATATGGTCCATTAATTTTAGGGGGATTATTGTTGTCGCAAAAAGCGAGTCGTCAGAAAGCAAAGAATCACATCCAAAAAAGTGTTGCTTATAGCTGCTTTGTCCGGTTGTTCCGTCAAATCCATAGCTTGCAATAAGGGTCAGACTTAAAGTATTGCCAAGCTGGTTAAAAATATCTTCTTGCATTTGAATTATACGGCAACTAGTGTGGTCTAGAAGACTTTGCAGTGGAACTTCAGCAACTGACTCGGTTACATTAATATGAAAAGGTCTACATTTTGACTTAGCTTCTCTGACTTTGTTGTAAGCAGGAAAAAAGTGACAAGATCTGGAAATGCTGAGCTCGCGAAAGTTGTTGTACTGACTTTTAGTCAATGAATTTTCAAGCAGATATGCTAAAGCTTCATCCTCCGTTAGTTGAACCGAGTCATTTTTCTGAGTAAAAGAATGGTTTCTAGCCTTATTGGGGTCACTCGGAGTAAGAAATGTATTTTTTAATACAAGGAATGTATGTTTCTCGTTCGTTCTTTCGGCCGAAACTGCGGCGGCATGCACAAGAAGAGATGTGTTGTGACCCTGATTAACAGCTAAATCGGATGCCAATTTTCTCTTCTGACGGGGACCGGCGTTAACATATCCAATGGGTGGGCGTCCAACTGGTCTTGATGTTGACGGTTTTGGATTTGAAGACAAGAATGAACTTACTGTTATAGCCATATTGGACAGAAGCCATTCGGTATGCTTTGTCTTAAATCTGGTCATGCTTCTGTTACATTTTGCCAAGTTCTTATGTATGTAAAGGTGAAAGCTTCTCACTTTGGTGTTGATTTCATCCTTTTTCTCTGTGCTTAAGTCGAATTCTTTCAGTTCATCATAAATCCAACTCGAAACGGCAGATGAGCTACGATTGTTTTGTATGTACATAGATATCAAGCAGTTGCTCATAGGCGAACTCAACAACAGCTACAATATGTGGGATTTATACATATCGGTGCAAAATGGAGCAAAAAAGCTTAATAAAATTAGTTTATATACACTTTGCACTTTAATGACATATAGTTACTTTTTGGCACAAGTTGGCACAAAATTTGTTATAATCCACAACAGACGGGTTAGCAGGTTAGCTTTTTTCTACTCTTAGACAACACCAATAAACGCACACAAAGAACACATTATCAAACATGAACAAAATCTTCTTTAATACAAATATTCTATATACCTTTGTCTTTCGTTTCCATAATTTTAGTGAAAATTGCTTAAACCACAACAATATTGGCACGCTCGCAAGTAAACAAAATCTTTCCCGCGCTTTTTTAGTTTTGCGCGCATGCAATCAGACAACTGACTTTGAAGGGCTGCCAAAATTTCAGGGATGCATTAAAACAATTAAAATATTTTGATTCATTTTAGTCAAAGTATATACTATTCAAATTTTATTATTAAAATATGTTTACTTGCTATGAAAAATTTGAATTTTCGTCGAAAAATCGGCTCGCTGGCCCAATGTGCAATGGACGATTTCCACCACCCCACCACCATATTTCACCATTTTCCAGCACGAACATCAAACGTCAGTCGGCAGCAACAACAAGTCAACTAACCGCACTTGTCAGGAAGACAGGATTAACAAATCCTTGTTGGCAAATTGATTCAAAAAGTACGCAAAGGGGCGCAGACAAGCCAGTCAGCCAGCCAACCATCTATATCTCTCTATATCCCTCTCTGCCACCCAAGCAAGCCGTCTCATTGTGCACTGGAAAAAATTGTAACGTTTCGTATTGCACTACGAAAATACCATTGGATTTTTGGCTATTTTGGCTATATCTAAAAATATCTACATCAAAAAATTATAAAAATTAAAAGCCATTAAAAAACCAATTTGATTGAGAGAATAATTTTTTTAATCTTTTTTAAATTAAAAAAAATTTATTTTTATTATATCTTATTAAATGTCGAATAATAATATATATTTTTAAATGTATTCAATCCTTTGTGAGTTATAAATAAATAGCTTCCAATCTGTAGAATTAAATTAAGCCAATGGCTATTTTCTAACACTCCGAAAGTTTTTTTTTCGAGTGTACTGAAGCTGCTCTGCGTCTGCTCGTTAGCTGCGCCGGTAATGGGAGATAATTCAATTTTTAAACATTTGGCATAACAAGCGAAACCATCATTAAGGGATTTTCGGTCTGGGAGCAGTCAAGTCAAGAGTCCTTGCAATCAGCTCGACCCCGCCCACCCGACTAGCCACCCAGCTCCGCCCACTCCGCCCACTCAGCCATCGCATCCGTATTCGTATCCGTAAGATACATGTCTGCAACTTTGTCTGCCGTTTCTGTTTCTCTGTATCTACACAAGGCCGAAATCAATTCTCATTCGATTTCAGTTTCGCTTACTTAATCTGAGAGCCAGGAATTAGCATTCATTATAGTTTTTCTTTGGCTGGCCTAGTTCTTTTTTGTTGGAGAGTTCGGGTATTCCCCCTGCATAAGGTCGAATTCCCTCGGAAAGTGTCACCGTCTCAATTTCAGTGCTTGAAACTCAAGGCACGCGTTGGCAAAAATTTTAAATTAGTTTAGCAATTGAGAAGCATTCTCGGTTTCAGGGGTACTTCTGGGGTTACTTGCTTCTTGAGGAGAGTGTCACGTCAAGGAATCACGAATTGGAAGCTCGAAAAAACAGCGAGTAAATTGAATTAGCTATGCAAATGTTTTTGGGGAATTTTTTATTTTGATTTATGAGCTATATTTATTGGTTATGTCATAAAGAAAGGGGAGAGACTGAGAACAGACACGCCCTAAGTGGATTTGTTATGGGAATTTTCACTGTGTTATGATAAGTGATATTTGTGCATTTTTAAAGTGAAATTTAAAACAAGATTTTTAGAAATGGGTCTCCTATTTATCTACTTCGGTAACGATTAGATGGTTGTAACTATATGTAATATTTTGTTAGCTTATTCTGAATACTATTTAAGGCCCAGAATATGTGGAACTGAAACCCAGACTCAAATGATCTAGTTCTAAATGGCATTAAGGGCACTTGCTGTCTTCATTAACCTGTCGCAAATCAAAAGCGACAGAGGACCTTCGACCTTTACAAAACCCCACCTTTTGAGGGGTCATAACTCCCCGATGGAACATAAGTTATTGCCTCACCGTCTGTCATATTGAATCAGTCAGCAGTAAATAGAATTTGCACCTGATTAGGATTACTGAGCAGGCGAACGTGCCAAGATGTTACGTAATGCGTTCGTAAGTCCCCATCTAATCCCATTACGTAGCGCACATTCCCTTCGAGATGAAAACCCCCCGAAAAAACAGACCACTAAATGCACTGCAATTTGTGGCTGGCTTTATTTTTGGGATACCACTTTTATATGCGACTCCGTGGCGGTGCCTTTTATGGTTAGTGGGTGGGAAAAAATCAATAAACTATTCCGTCGGCGGATTGGCGCTTTGATTTATGATTTTCGATAAATGCCTCGGCACTCAGCCTCAATCTGTCGAAATCTGTCGCCGCATTCCGAGTGTCGAAGGGAAATTTGCATGCCAAAGCATTAACGCTTTGCCATTCGATAATTGCATGAAATGAAATCCAAAATTCCCCCCACACCCCCCTCTGCTCTTCCCCAATTACAATTCGAATGGATCGCTTCACTTTCCGACACGTTCACGTTCACGTTTGCTTGACTTTGCCTTTGGCCACTCCTTTGCTCCGAAAAGCCCCCTTTTCTGCATGCGAATATCGATTGAGTTGCCCAGCTCTCTTCCTGCTTTTTTTTTATTCAATTATAGTTATATGGCAAAGGGGGGCGTCCGCCCCTGACCCTCCGATTCTGGGTTCTGGAGTGCCGGGCGAAGTTTATTTGGTTTGGATTGCGATGGCGGAGTGGTTTTGGGCGACGAGAGGTGGGTAATAGGAAATCAAATTGCTCCGCTGCGGCTTTTCCTTACACCCAATTCAACGAATTCGAATTTTTCTGCGTCTCTTTCAGAACAGGAAATTTTACTACTATTTTTACATTTTTAGGGATAACATTTATGATTCAAAAACACGAATTTTCAGGAAAATAAACTAAAGTCGCAAACAGCGATATATAATGTCTTGTTTTCAGGCCATTCAAATATAGCTTCTTTAACATTATTATCTCACAATTCTAACAAAAATACTTTTCAAGATAATATTTAGTTAAAAGCAAAAATAAGTAAATCATCATAGCTTCTTCAATATAAAGGAAAATTAGCTATAATTTATCTCAAAATTCTAAGATAAATACTTTGCAAGATAATATTTAGTTAAAAGCAAAAATAAGTAAATCATCATAGCTTCTTCAACATAAGGGAAAATATGCAATAATTTATCTCAAAATTCTAACTAAATATATAAGTAAATCACCTCAGTTCACATTAATTAGGTTTCCTTTTTCTGAAGCTAATTCTTTGACAATTTATGACATATTTCTGCATATATCCGTCCAAAGATCTGCCCATGTCCCAATTTCTAGATCTGCATCTCTTCTCATTCCCATTTCACATAGCACTTACCCTCTGACCGAGTGGCAAACTTTTCGAGGCAAACAGCAAACTCTCGACATGTGCGACCAGGAAATCTGATATGCTGCATGTGGAATGAGGAGAGTATACCCTATCCAGAATCACCCTGCCTGCAGCGTGCTGCTAATAGAATAATTCGTTAATGTAACTACATATTGCAAAGATGCGCCGATAGACAATAATCCATTGATGACAGCTAAAGTAACAACAGAACCAGCGGCGATTATCTTTGGCTTTTTATCTAAATTTAATTCGATTCGAACGGGGGGATTGCACTTTTGGCAGTTGAGAATCCATCTGTTCCAGCAGATGATGCCAGGCTACATAAATTACTAATACAATTAGGGTGGGCTGATTTGTTTAAGTGCAAATTAAAAATTCATATCAGCAGAAATGTAAAAGGAAAAAAAGGTTAACCAATTAGATTTATATATTTAAAAAGAGTTTGAAGATAAAATTTGACATAAAATAAATTTATACTAATATTAAAGCTTCACTAAAATTAGGAGTTGTTTTACATTATAGATTATTTTTTAAAAAATGTATGCCTTAATATACTTTTTTTAAGATGTCAATCGATATAAATTTGGACCCAACTTATATCTTTTTGCTTAATATAAATAATTTTTATTAAAATTTAATGTTGGGTAAGAAGTCTTAAAATAAATAGTTGAAAAGTTGTGACCTATAAATTTTTGTTTAAAAATTTATTAACGGGAAGTCTTGTTTTTTAGTTATATATTTTCTACTTATGTACTTATATTTTTAAGATTTATACTCACATGGGTGGGTGGCGGCGAAGGGATAGTCGAGAGTTGGCAGGCGCGGAGGGTGGGGGCCGCAGGGATGCAGGGCGGGTGGACATTGGTAGCAAAACATTCCTCTGCCCGCGGCTGCAGGACCGAGCTGAAATGGAAATCGAAAGCGAAATAGGAATAAGGAATCAGAACCGAAATCAGTATCAGTACCAGTATCAGAATCAGAATCAAAAGGGCTTACTCATCGATCGAAATTGAGAAAAAGAATCTTTAAATTGCATGTAATTTTGATAAATTCACTTGCCAATCACGCTGACATCGTCGTCGTCGGGAAACGAGAAACTTGTAATTTAAGTGCACAATTCAATTGGAGACTGGGGGCTGAGGCATGCGGGTATTTCTCCTGTTCGCCTTTTTGTGGGGCGACTTTGCGTCGCCTTTAATGTTGTCATATGCACCTCAAACTCAATTCGATTCAATTAAAGGCAATTACAGACTTCTGACAAATCATCCACAATCGATTTCATCTGCTTTTGCATCTCCGTTTCTGTTTCTGTTTCAGTTCTCTGAGGCTGCATTGTGTGCCGTCTGCATACAATTAAATTGTCCTCAAACGAATCAATTGATATAAATTAATTGCATTTGCCGCAAAAGTCTTGGCATATAACTATGGCCGTAACTGTAACTGGTCTTGATGAACTCACTTCAGTTATGAGTCGATGTTTTGCGTTTTGCTGGCGCCTTTTTCAATTCAGTTTGCAGCTTAATTAGTCGAGGAATTTCTCCCTACATGCATTCATCTTGGTGAATTGAAAAATTCTACATCTTCGAGATACAAATGGGGTTGGGAAAGAAGTCACGGTGTCGAGATAGAGATTGTTAGATAGGAAAGATCAGAGAAAGGCGCTGAGAAAGTACATTTTCCATTTGGCAAATTGAAATTGATATTGGTGGGAAAAAATGTTTTTTCCAGGGGATACTCATTCTTAACGGTTAAGATGGTTAAAGTGTGCCTTACATTTTTTACTTGAAAACAAGGTATAACATTCTTAATGAGTGATATTATACCTAATCTATAATGTTAAGATATTGGAATAGTTTTAATGTTCAATTAATAAAACAGTAACTCTTAAAAAGAAAGGCCTCTTTTAGCTATAATCCATATTCGAGTAAAATGTATTCATTTATCAATGAGTTATAGTTTCAGCCTATTTCATGTACAAACACCACCTTTTATTCCTTTATTCATAAATGGGTGCATGCCAATTTCCTGTGCTATTGCATCCAACTTTCCTCTTTGTTGGATATCACATTTTCAGTTACATTTCAATTGCAATTAAAATTAATTGTAACTTCTATATGAACATTACCCGCACACTTACGTCCACAAAGCCCTGCCAACCAAAACCACCGAAAAAGTTGCACCACCCGGATTGCAGGTGGTGCTTCGCCTCCTCTGCACTCTGTACATTTTAATTTATTTGAGTAAATTTGTTAAAAAAATTGTATGAATTTTATTTATGGTGCTCGCCACACGACTGTTGGTAGCACCCGCAATATGTATAGCACCACCCACCACCCACCGCCCAGTGCACCACAAGTGTTAGCATATCATGTTACAGACTATTTCCGCCAAATTTACACACGCAAAATAATTTAACGTTCTCAGTGGCAGCGCGTGTCCTGCCTACGCTGGTGTCCTGAATGCACTGAGAAAAATAAGGTTATGTCAAGGAACTTATATTAGAAATCATCATTACCAGAAAATAAAGGTAAAAAGGAGCAAACTTGTAGGCATTAATGCTTTGATTAAAATATTATTATTACTTTTCTATATGTACTATTGATGTTCACTAAAAAAAATTTTAAAAATTCCAAAAACCAATGATTTTATGTTTTAAGAAGAAGTCTTTATTATACCCTTGCAGAGGGTATTATAATTTTGGTCAAAAGTGTGCAACGCAGTGAAGGAGACATCTCCGACCCTATAAAGTATATATATTCTTGATCAGGATCACCTCCTGAGTTGATATAGCCATGTCCGTCTGTCCGTCTGTCCGTCTGTCCGTCTGTCTGTCCGTCTGTCTGTCCGTCTGTCTGTCCGTCTGTCTGTTTCTACGCGAACTAGTCTCTCAGTTTTAAAGATATCGAATTGAAACTTTGCACACACCCTTCTTTCCTTTGCACGCAGTATATAAGTCGGAACGGCCGGGATCGGCCGACTATATCTTATAGCTGCCATATAACTGAACGATCGGAAATGCCATAACTTTGGTGTTTGTAAAGTTAGGAAGTTGGGATTTTCTATGGGTTTTGTATTTGGCTAATCAATCCGACATGCCGAATTTCATAAGGATCGGCCGACTATATCCTATAGCTTCCATATAACTGATTGATCGGAAATGCCATAACTTTGGTGTTTGTAAAGTTAGAATGTTGGGATTTTCTATGGGTTTTATATTTGGCTAATCAATCCGACATGCCGAATTTCATAAGGATCGGCCGACTATATCCTATAGCTGCCATATAACTGATTGATCGGAAATGCCATAACTTTGGTGTTTGTAAAGTTAGGAAGTCGGCATTTTCTATGGGTGTTATATTTGGCCAGCCAACCTACCAAATTTCATAAGGATCGGCCGATTATATCCTATAGCTGCCATATAACTGAACGATTGGAAATGTCATAACTTTGGTGTTTTTAAAGTTAGGAAGTTGGGATTTTTTATGAGTATTAAGAATGCATCATATGAATAATTTTGGAGAATATAATTTACAGAGTATTCTGCAAGGGTATATCAACTTCGGCTCCGCCCGAAGTTAGCTTTCCTTTCTTGTTCTCGTAAATAAATTTGATCAAATACACATTTTTATCTTTAAAAGAATTACTTGTTATTTTCAGTGTCCTGTTTTCTGGTCGCAGATGTGTCCGCGTTCCCAAAAGTCGAGACCCGACAAGTGGCGCCAATAAATTTCCATTTAGTGCGGGAAGGAGTCGTTCGACCCTCTCACCTGTCTCTTTCGCGCCGCCCCCTTTTCCGGCCACGCCCCCCCTCTCCCGGGGCCCCGGCATTCCATTAGAATTGTGAGAATTTGTAATTTTGCATAATTGTTATATTTGGAGTCCGTCGGCCGCAAAACTCATTTGCCAAATGGAAAATTGCCATTTCGTGTCTAATGTTGCACATGCGACCCGTTGGCAACTGGCTATTTGGCCCTGGTCCACAGGACCTGGCTCTAAAGTTTTAGTGCCGTCAGAAGAGGGATTTTGGGGCAGGCAGGCCGTTACTGGTGTTGTTAGTGAATTAATTTCCAGTGAATAATTTATGCTGAATTATTTTGGACGTATTAAATAGGCACAACAGAGGGGCTTTTGCGGTGCCGGGTAGTAGAGTTGAGTAGAGCAGAGTAGAGTAGAGTAGAGTACCCCGGATAATACTCCCATGTGCGTTTCAGAGGCGAAAGCTCTCACTTGGTGCGGACCTTGGGGCGTTACATTTAAATCAAATCAAAATGCTATTTCTGAAATTGATTTTTGAAATTTTAATGTCCCCGGACATGGAGCTGCGTGATTATGAAACCGGCTGCAATAGGTTGGTCAGATGGGCCAAATTATTTGGCACAACTATGAGACACAAATTGGACAGGGCTTTTACTTTGGCCATGAGCTTGCACTAAGCCTAAAGCGTTTGTTTAAGGATATTTTGAATTTGCTAAGGAATATTATTAAGGAGAAATCAGTGACCAAGAAATTCAAGAGAAGTAGAAGTCAAAAGTGCAAATCAAGCAGATGTAATTTTCCAAGCAAAAAAAATCAAGCAATTAACATGCGAATATGTCTATACTTTTACCGACTTCAGGAGAAGTAATAAAATCGAAGTGCCATTTCGATAATTATCGACTGAAGTAAACCTTTTCAGTCGCTTAGAAACTGCAGAGAAATACAGTTCACATCGCAGATAACTAAAAAATACAATGAACTTTGTAGGCATATTCTCTGCAATATTATTACTCTTTGGTTTTGTACAGGGACAAAAGGATCGTAAGTATTGTGTAGGAAAATCATCTTGTTATTAATCGTACATCTTTTCCATTTAGCAATCTGCAAGAATGATCCTGTGGCCACGGGAGAATGTAAGCAGATGATTTCAGGATACACGTTTACACCGGAAAATAATAGTTGTTCCAGCCATTCTGCCAATGCCTGTAAAGTCACTGGCAATTTTTTCATTACACGGCAACAGTGCGAGGAAAAATGTAGGGATGACTTCTCATGGAGCAAATTTATCCTTCAAGGCTACAGTGCCATGTTCCAGCTTCAGGATAACTTTTTAAATCTAATGAGACGAATTTCTTAAGTAAATTAGTTAATAAATTTATTTATGTGACTAACACATTTTGAACATTATGAATTTAACAAAATAATTCATATATAAACAAAGTGAATTACAAATAAACAAAGAAACATGTTATATATAAAAATGTACTTTACAAATATTCTTTTATTTTACAATTTCTCGGAAAAGCTTCAATAGATTTCATAAATGCTTAAAGCAGTTTGTATTATATATATTTCCACATTTTAAGTGATTAATAAAGATAATTAATAATCTCCCGAATTGTAGAAGATTTTTATGGGTAATAACAATCCTAAACAAAATAGATGCAAAATAAAAACATAGTGAAAAATTATCATATTATTAATTACTATTAATATACATAAAGTTTAATAAATTGGGTCAAGAAAAATGTATGTCTTTAACTTTGTCTATTAGATCAAAGATTCAGCTTTTGTTAATGCTAATATAAACAACTTTTATACATCTATCATGACAAGTAATTTATGTGCAAATGGGTTTTCTTAAAAAAAAAAACATTTACGACAAAAGAGAATTTAGTTGAACTTAACTTATGTAAATTTTAGCAATAAGCACAGAAGATTCAGTGCAGTGTGACACTGTTGTTCAGTCAATATTTCTACAGTTCGACTTAAGTTGCGATTCTCAGTCGTTGCAAGGCATCCGGAAAAGATAGTTCACAAAAATAAAAATGAAGATCCTCCCTACTTTATCCCTAATTTGTGTTATTATGGGCCTTGCCCAAGGACAAACGGATAGTGAGTACTGCAAAACATGTTAAGTGCAATTAACTTATACATTTTCTTCACTTAGTCATCTGTTCCACGGAACCCTTGCCTGTGGGATTGTGTGTTGATCGAATTGTTGGGTATACCTATTCGAGCATTAGGAACCGATGCGTAAACTATGAGGCCAGGACATGCGAAGTGAGGGGAAATTATTTCGCCAACAGAAATGATTGTGAGGCCAAATGCAAGCCAGTAAGGGCTTTCAGAGATGCCCCTTTTACTTTCTTCGTGGAAAGAGCTATGGCCCAGGCTCGCAACCTTATATCAAGAATTTTGAGTGTACCATTGTTTTCTAATTGATGAATAAACGCATCGGAGACGATCTATTTTTCAAAATTTCACACAAATGGTTCTGGATTAATTCTCAAAAAATCTGTGTTGTCAACTTGGTTTTTCTTTTGGGGTCGATTTTTCTTCATTTTTTATGAGGTTACCCGTTTCCAAATTTTCAAAAAATGGCTTTTTCAGAAAAGTGACATAAAACCTGCACTTCTTAGCCCATAACTTTTCTTACAGACATCCGATTTCAAAGTGGTATACTTCTAAATGATTGTGGTTTAATTCTCTAAAAATCTGTGTTCTCAACTTGGTTTGTATCTTGGGGTCGATTTTTCTTCATTTTTATTTATTTACAAATTGTCGAAAAATGGCTTTGCAGAAAAGTGTCAGAAAACAGAACTTCTTAGCTCATAACTTTTTTCACAGACATCCGATTTCAAAGTGCAACACTTCAAATTAATGATGGTTTAATTCTCTAAAAATCTGCGTTTTCAACTTTTTTTTTAATTTTAGGTCGATTTTTCGTCATTTTTATAGTGTTACCCCTTTCCAAATATTCGAAAAAAGGCTTTGCGGAAAAGTGTCCAAAAACTGCACTTATAAGCCCATAACTTTTCTGGCAGTCATCCGATCACAAAGTGGCATACCTCAAAATTATTGTGGTTTAATTCTATAAAAAACTGTGTTTTCAGCCTATTTTTTATTCTTGGGTCGATTTTTCGTCATTTTTAATGATGTTACTCCTTTTCAAATTTTCGAAAAATGGCACTTCTATGCTCATAACTTTTCTTACAGATCTCCGATTCCAAAGTGGCATACCTTAAAATGATTGTGGCTTAATTCTCTAAAAAACTGTATACTCAGTTTGGTTTGTAATTTTGGGTCGATTTCTGGTCATTTTCATAATTAACCCTTTTCCAAATTTTCTTTCGAAAATGGCTCTTGATAAATATAAGCTAGACAAAATTATAAGCTTTTAATTACACTAATTTAAATTAAATTAAGTAAATTTGTTGAGCTCTATGTAGCTTTTGACTTTCGTTTATTATTATTGTTATACTCTTATAGCTGAAAAATGTAAAAAAAAATGGGTTTTTAAAATGGGTTGTGATACTTTTGCTAATTTAAGCTAATGTAAACATAGGTGGTAAATATCATTAAAGTACAATTTTGTTAAGATTTTTGCGAACTATCGTGGATCACTATATTTAGTCGTTTTAAAGCTGTAAAATGGGAATGAAGTTCGTGGTTACTACTTGTTTAATAATTATTCTTATAGGCCTGGTTCTCGCACAAAAGAATGGTAAGAATTATCCTTAAACATGATTTTTAATATAATTAATCGTTATTAAACCTCTTCCATTTAGTTATTTGTGGCAATGAAGCAATTGTCGACGGAGACTGTGAGCAGAGAATAAAAGGATTTACTTATATTCCCGAAAAAAACCGATGCAAAAAAATGAGGACCAAGGGATGTACCGTGACTGGAAACTATTTCCGTTCCCGAGATGAATGCGAGTCCGTTTGCAAGGAAACTAGGGGCTTGGAAAAAAGCAAAGTCGCTAAAAGGGGTTCGCAAGATAGTGCTACTGTTAACTCCGGGAAAAAAGATTTGGAAAAGAACGAAATGGCTCCCAATTCGTGGATGGGTATCCAGGAGTTTAAACAAATGTTGACAAGTTTAATTAAGTTCGCCTCGAATACCTTAAATATTTTTATGGGCTCTACAGTTAATTATACGATGAATTAAATCTACAGAAATATAAAGTGATTTCATGATGCTATTTTTCTCTGAGACAAGACAAGTAAAGTCAAAGAGGAAGCTTTTTAATATGATTGTAATTAGATCAATCTATAAAAAGAAATGTACGCAAATTAATTTTAATTTTTAAAACGAATGGATCTTTGCTGTTTAGGGTAGTAGTATATTGTTCAGGGTTCCAAAAAATCTTTAAAAGTCTCTGCTGACCGTTTTGCTTCTCCAGTTAAATTGCCTACATTTGGGCTGACCCTGCTAATTGTCATCACCTACGACTTTCCCCACCTGAAATGGAGTTGTTGTTACTGGTGTTGCTGTTGCTCTTGGTGTTGCTGCTGCAATTGCAATTGGTGTTGCAACTGTCGCTGGCAACCGGCAACTGGCGACGCCAAGCCAAATGCAATTATCCAATTGCACGAAATGCACTTGGCAATGTTTGTGGCCTAGACAATGCAACACAACTCGCTGTGAGAGTGTGTGTATCTGTGTGAGGGGGTTTGCGAGTGTGTGCACGAGTATCTGTGTTGTATGGTGGAGCAGCACACGCGAAATTCAATTAAGTGCGCACTAAACAGCGCAACGATTTCGATTTGACTGCACTCCCCAAAAAGCCGAGGGAAATCGCAGTGAAACGCGGTACACCCAGAAAAAAATCAAACACCATAAAATCAAAACAAAAAAAAATATAAATATTTTTTAGTTGAAAATATTAAAGAAACCTAAACTATTAAGATAAAATTGAGGAAACAAGACTTACAACATAACCATTCCCTGAAGCAATTATAATAAACTGGTGAATAAAAACGCTTCAGAATTTGGAAGTTTAATTTTTCTCAGTGCAGGGAAAATGGATGGAAAATGCTGAGTGGAGAGAGAGAAGTGTGGGATAAGGGCTGGCAGATTGGTGGAAATCTGTGTGGTAAGCCTTTGTTGTCCAGTCGGTCCTCGGACATGGGTTTTAGTAATGGAAGCTTGCGCTAGTTTCTGCCACGAGCCGTCGCCAAAAACGGGGAAATTCAATCAGAGCGGGAGGATTACGATTGGAGGGGACTTGGGAAGGGGGAACACAGAAGCGGATGTGGATGCAGTGTTCGCAAAATTGCATTAGGTGGCGGAGAGAAGTTGGAGGAGTTCAGCTTGATGGGTATGAAATTGTAGGAAATAGGGCTGCTGGCCACTCAATTTAATGGCAATTGAAATCTTTTTCAATTAGTTAAGTGAATTTATTGACAAAAGTCATTTGAAATTGAAATTAACAGCGAAGAAACTCGTACAAATAAAAGTAATTTCATTAAAACTTTTAAGTATCAATAAAAACTTTAAAAATAAACATTGGAAATTAAAAGCTTATAGAATCCCAAGTATTTTATAGCTCCCGAAAAAGCTATTTTAAATGCAATCACATGTGATTTTTAATTTATTTGCATATTGCTATCCCCCATCTATTTAATTGTGCCTTCTGAGCGACTGAAACAAGTCCACAAAATAAAATACGAAATTAACTCAAAATTAATTAAAACGCATCAGAATATAATGCAATTTGTTGCAGCGGCAGAAGCGACAACTGCTGAGGGCATTATGCAACAGCTGCAGCTATAAAAAGTAATATAAATATAAATTAATAATGTCACGAATGACAACAACAGCGAAGAGACAAAACGAGCAATTGCATTAATTGAGCAAACAACAAAGTGGGAAATGCAATGCGTCTGGACAGCGGAAAACATGAATATGGATGAGTCTGGACGCCAATGCCAATGCACTTTCCATGCAACAAATGCATTTCGCTGCACCAGCGAAAAAAAAAACGAGGAGCAGGAATTATCAACTGTCGCTTGATTAATTTGAATTAACCAAATTAAAAATGGAAACACAAGTCAATCAGCGAGTGCAACACCCAGGATGAGTTTGCGGGGCAATATCAGAGGGAGAAATAATATCTGAAGTATTCCGCTGGAAAACATTATTGAAATCAGGGCATTTCTTAAGTTTTAAGAACATTCAGTTGTTTTTGCCTTGATTTGTAAAGATATAAATGTAAGACCATAATTTCAGAAATTCTTAAAAATTAATCAAAAATATTTTATATAATTTATTAACAATTTGTGAAATGTGTCTTCTCAACACTTATTTTAGGCATTCTTCTATGCAATTGTTATACCTTTTTTTGCAGCCTCTTGAAGGTCAGTCAGACAGCTATTAATTTCCTAGTTTTTCTCTAAAATTTTGCAGCCTTTTGAAGGTCAGGCTAAACAGACTGCCCACCGACGACCTCCTTTCGTTCAGAGGCAGCTGGACTAATGGACTTATCAGTCGCTTGAATCTCTGTTCGCCAAATCGCGACCAAACGAGACGCACAGATACGGATTCACTTGTGTTCGGTTGTTTGTAGGGTAGTGCAAACTGGAAAGTGGCATAATTCGCTGCCAGACTGCATTGCCTGCATTTATAGTCCGGTATCGTATCCATGGGCATATCCACGTGCGCATCCCTGCTCCAAAACCCCGTCCCGCTGGCATTAGAGCCACTTAAACGCATTTGCGAAATTGCCTACCGCCCACCCACACACTCGTTTAGCTCTAGTTTTCCTAGTTTTTTTGTTTGCCCCAAACCCCAAGCGCGATAATTTCCCACTGAGGTGAGATGATATGGAAAAGGGGGGAGGTGAGGCAGGTGGGTGGCTGGAAAAACGATGAGGTTATCACTTTTGCCACCGAAGTAAAGTGCATCCGTTTTTAGAACTGCCCGTCCGTCCGTGTGTCCGTTTGTCCGTCCGGCATAATCAAACTAAACTGGCGCAGTCTGCCACTGATGATCCAACTTGGAGTGGGCTCTGATATGAGCACGTTGGATACAGTGAAGCCTAGTTAGCCTGAAAGCTAGAAGCATTAATACTTAACGATTTCCCAAATAAAGTTCATACCAAGTCACAGCAAAGTCTAAGGTTCGAACATAATTTTAAGGATTTTTTTTAGTTATCTCCATTTATTAAATATAGATAGAAATGGCTGAAAATATTTTTAACCAGTAATTAAGAATATTAAATTTGTACACTTTTATAACACAATGAGATTAAAATATAAATTATTAAGTTAATATTTCTGAAACTGTATATTTTGGTGTATTTAAATGGAATACAGTTTGCAAATACCATTTAGGCTGTTATTACTGTCTAGTGAAACTATTTGCATATGCCTCCTTCTAAGTATCCCTCTTGATTGCAGTTTTGGTTGAGCGTTTTCCCTTCTTTTTTTTTTTTCTTTTTTGCCAGCTTTGTTTTTGTCTCGCGGCGCATTAAGCGAATTTGCGAGGTTCGAATTTGATTGTGTCAATTGGCTCGCGCCTAGAATCAGAGAATCAGAGCCTCCGTGTAAATCAGACCGAAATGATGCCGTGCAGTTGGCTGTAGAACCACCCACCAACAAATCAGCGCATGGAAGTTGGCACTGCAAAAATATTCGCAAATTGAATTAGCGAACCATGCAACTGCACCCCCGCCAATTTTTCGTGTCCAAGTGTCGCCAATTTATCCAATACTCGAATGCCAAACTCTTGCTAACCCTTCAATTTGTGTGCCACATATATAGTATGTATGTATAAATGTATAAATATGATATATAAATATTTATGTCGTCATCTTCGGGGCGCCCGCATGGGGAGGAAAATCTGATGATCACCCCTACAGACTTTGTTTTGTTGTTTTATAAATATTTTGATTGAATTTTCTGTTTAATTAAAGCAAATTGTTTTGTGCATTTGTTTGGGAAAGAGACGGGAGGTGTTGGTTCCATATATTAAGCTTTGCGGGGGGTCGTTAAGTGATTGAGAAACAGAAGGGAACCAATTAAGTGGGATCGGGAATTCCTCAGTGAGCGCTGACAAACATTTGTAGAAATGATCTTGTATAGGAAACAAATATTTATAACCAATTTATGGATTATCAATTTATCACTGATTTCTGATTTATTATTGTTTCTCATTTATACAAATTAATACTATGGTTCGTTTACTTTTTATCGCATGAAAAAAAAATTCATCCCGATCTTATGGATAAGTAAAATAAAAAACATATAACCTCTGGTATTCCATTATCGTCTCCAAATTCCTAATCCTGTGACTTGTCCATTTTGAATATTGAATGCCCCCATACAAATGCGCGAAGGCTCCAAACTATCCATCAATTTGGTCCATTTACCAATTCGATGTTCAATTCAATCAAGCAATCAATAAACATTCCCGAACTAACCTCCTTCGAACTAACGTTCTCTATGATAATTCCATTTGCTAATTTAAATATGCCAAATTGTATTTTATTTGTATGCGGTCCTATGACACAGCCCCTTTTTAACCCCCGTTCAGTTCCCCTTCCACCGCAATTTTACCCGCTTTAACCCCCATTTTTCCCCCTTTTTCCCCACCACCCATGGTTCCCTAATTGAGTTGAACGAATCGAACAGAACTTGGCGACGAATGGAAAAATCGTTCGTCAACTCCAATTGACTCCACTGTGGATCCAGTATCCCCCTTCAACCCCGCCCCTGAATTCCACCCACCGCCCATCTCGTGGGCGTGGCGTTCAGTGGAGCGTTGAACGTTTGCATGGCTGCCAATTAATTTGCGGTTGATCAATTTAATTTGAAACTTCGTGTTCCCCTCTTTTTTATGTCCACTCCCCGGGCGAATTATTTGCCATTGATTTTGTGCTCTTGCTCCATCTCTTTCCCACACCCATGAAATGTCTCCTCTTTTTTTCCTCTCTTAATTATCATCAATTATTCAAACTGCATTTGTGAAGTGATCAACTTTTGGTCTGTCTTCAATTACGAGGCGAAATCCACTTTCCTTTGCCAGCGAGGCAACATCCTTTGAATCCTTGTTGTCGAATGCTTTATACATACACCAATTTTGGTTTTAATTCTTTTTTCGCCTCCAATCCTTTGGTTTTTTTCTTTTCGCTTCAAGTGTTCACGAGTTTTGCGCGATTTCTCACAGGAAAGGAGTTGGTACAAACACTTTTGCCAGACACTTCGGCGTTCGAACAAAAAAACATAAGCCAGGACACTCCGGGATTCCGAACACTTAAAAGCCCGAGATTTTTATCACATTGGAACTCATTAGGAAATTTCCTTAATGCAAATTAAAAGCGTTTAAATAAATTATAAGCACAATGTGCTGGGGTTTGAATGGGAATTTGAAGTTTGAATGTCTTGTATGAAGTACAGATGGCAAAGGATTCAATTACTTCATTTTTTATCTTCAATCATAATTCAGTTTGTATTTAAATAGGCTTTAATTTGATCATTTTTTGGTTATCTTCTCATCTATTTAAACATTATTGGCAGAAAACTAACTTTTAATAGTAGCGTAATAAATAAATTTTACTCGCTTACAAGAATGTATCATTTTTAAAACATTCCCCCATTTTTATTTACGAACATAAGAGTCTCAAAATATAGACTATTGACTGCGAATGATTACTACATTTGTCTTAAAAGTCGAAAAATGTAGTAAAATATTTTTTTAAACTTTAATAGCAGCGACATAAATTTAAAATGATATGCCCTTCCCAGGATTTTTATTGGAAACTTCAAACACTTCATTCGATTTTCCAAAAACTTGACCATTTTTTATGGCAAAACATATATACCCAGTAACAATATCAAAAAATTAACATGTTTTTCATATCATTAGCTCAACTCACCTTATTTCCGTCCGTGAAAATTTTGGCAGCAATACTTCAAGCGTGTCACAGAAGAAAATCCTTTGCCGCTTTTGTTTTTATTAGGTTTTTAGCTCTGAGCTACGTTTGAGTTGAACTTTTCTGCAATTTTCACAGCACGAACTCACGTAAGACAAAGGTGCGAAAGTTTTCTCGAGCGTCTAAACACTTTGCAGGAAGTTGGCTCAAAAGTTCTTAACAAGGATGTGGAGGAATCACAAAGGATGTCGGGAAAAGTTTAAGATTCCTCCGCAAATTACACACTCAATCTGAGAGGTAATAGGCCGAAAAAAGGAGTTAGTTTTCGGTTAAGAACACACACAGGTGGGGTTTGCACTGAAGGATCTTGAAGTAGTTAACCCTTGAAGGACACTGAAGTTCTTTTTGGGGAAAAGAGTTTTTATCGGGAACCGTTTTGCCGGCGGAAAGGCGTCCTTCAAAGATATCAATATGTCGTTTAATCCAGTTGGTTATTACGTATTTTCAGGAGGGCTTTACTGTGCTCTATATAGTATAGTATGTATATAGGGTGGATGGTGCTGAACCGACCGCGTGGAACGTCAGAATGCGAGTGATCTAACGGGGCTTGCCGCAGTCGCAACGTCGACAGCGCAGTCGGCGAGGGCAGCGCAGTCGTCGGCAAATTAGATCTGCGCCGGCAGAAAGATGGCTGCGGGTGGGAAAGAGAAGGAGGAATATGGAGAGAACGGGAAAGGGAGAGTGTGAGGGGGGTGGGATTTGTTTTTGCCCCTAAGCGCCGCCTTTGCCATTTCCCGTTATTTTTGTTGGCGCAAGCGCCGCTCAGTCAGCAAACCAAAGCACAGTTATTCGGAGACATATACCCATCTCGCTCGGTCACACCCACCTCCCCCATGCTCCCACTTTCTCTGTATGTAAGACAATTTTCTCGCGCATTTTCATTGTGGAAATTGAATTTTCGGCATGGAGAGCTGCAAAAGCAACAAATACATTGCAGGGGGCTCTCGGGTTCCTAATATCCCTATCTACTCTTATCCCTATCTACTTTATTTTATTACACTTTATTTAGGTGGCAGGCGAGAGGGGGAAAGAGAGGGAGAGAGAGAGACGGGACTAACCCCAAGGGGGAAAGAGAGCGCAAACAACTGAGGCAGCCTTAAATTGGATTTTCATCGTTAAGTGTGGTGAATGTGTGGGGCAAAAGGAAAGATACGGGAAGAAAGTGGGGGGTTACGGGAAGAAGAAGACAAAGCTTTTGTGCTTTGGGTGTTCTTCGAAGGAAGCGGAAGCTATAGCACAAATTGCAGTAACAATACGAAAACGATTACTCACCGTTGGTATTTATTTGGCGTATCATTTTTTACCCCCCCTCAGAACTTGTTCTCTTTTTTCCTCACTTGACAACTCAATTTATTTAGATTAATTTCTCATCTTGTCGGACAAAAAAAATAAATAACTAAGTGAATTTCAGTTAATTTATTATGAGCCTAACCCAAGTGGCGCCCCCTCTACCCACCCCCAAAAATACACCCCATATAATCGCAATTCCCAAACCCAGTGACGCCATCTTGGATCCCATTTATTATTGTTTGCCTGAATGGGCTCCTCTAACTGTCCTCCGGCTACCGCCCCCGCCCCCTAGACCTCAAGACCCCCGCCGCCCTCTTCCTCCCTTGGATCGTTGGCCACAATTACGAAATGAATTTGCTGCCTCCTGCAGTCCCTATTTTGCCTTTTTGTGCACTGAAATAAAAAAACATCAGAAAGAGCTACAAATTAAATCTAATTTAAATATTCATTGATTTATTAATCATTGTTTAAACACCAAAACTAGCAATGTGAAAGTAATGTCTTAGTATTAAGCGAAATTAAATTCTCCTCCAAGATATCTTAATGCTTTTTTCCTAATAATATTCTATTTTTGGCTTACTACCCCATTTATTTCGTTGTTATTTACTTGCTATTTAGGCGATAATGTCTCTCTCCAGTATTAAGGCTTAAGGAATGATAATAAAAGAATGTAAAATATTAATATTTAAATATTAAAGCTACAAATATCACATTTAGTACAGCTTGATTAAATTTACTGTTGCCTATTAGTATGATTTCGCAGCGGATTCATAAAAAAATTATATGTTTGTTGGTATTTTCAAGTTGGGAATTATAACTTGCGAAAATAAATTAGCTTTTCAACCAACTCAGCTCAGTATCTGAACAGTTTTTACTAGTTTTTGAATGGTTGTTTTTAGTGTTCTTAACTCCTCCTCGTTTTTGGTGTGCTGGATAACTATTCAGTTTCTTCAAGCTCTCCCTACGTCCTTTCCCCAGGATACCCGCCCCTTTCTTTTGGGAAAGCCTGTCAGGCCCGCAATTTGGCGCCCTGATTTATGACTTTGTCTATTGTTAGCTTTCATCCCCAACCACCCACAACCTCTGGGCTTCCGCCCCCGAGACCCCCACTTCATTCCGCCATCATTAGTTTGTATTTTAGTTTCATTTCCAATCCGAATTTCATTTCATTTTGCGCTCAAATTTTGTTTTGTCCTCTTTGATTGTATTTATTTTCCACTCCCTCTTCATTTTTCGGGGCTTTTCTTGGTTGGTTCGTTTTAGTGGAATTACTTGCTCCATAATAGATGAGTCTGGGATTCGTTTTGGACGCCAGGGAGAAGGCGTGGCACTGCGCTACTAACGCCTGTTTCTTTGGCAGGTGAGTGCCTGCGGTTCGGTGAAGAAAATAGATTTTTCCTGCCATTGCAACTAGTTCTAGCTCTCATGTTGCATTTTCCACTTCGGGGTGAGGTTTTTTCGACCTTTTCTGGACCATAAAGCTGTTGGTAATCGGACACCTAAGCTTTTAAATGTGTTAATTAGCTTAAATTATTTAATTTAAAAAACGCTTTTAAGTGTTTTCACGAAATTACTTGTGAATTTACACCAATGCTATAGACCTTTGTATTTATAAAACTGTAATTGTTTTTGATATTTTTCAAGATGTTTTATATAACAAATAATAACATTATAAATGTTAATTTATATTAAGAAAAAAATGTGATTTTCTTTAAATCACTTAGTAGAAAAGCGTTTATTAACTACCTAAGCGAATGACCAGCCACGGCCTTCTACGAATTTTCTTCATTTTCTACTTCAGTTCTTATTTATTATCCTTTTTCCTCCATTTTCTTGGTGCCTGGCAGTTCCAGGGTGAAATTTATGTAATTTATATGGCCACTTGACTGTCTAAATTGCTGGGCCCCACCATGGGGAGAAATACCCACCCCTCCCCCAATAGCACTGCTACCTCCACTATTCCACCCATTTTCCCCTTGTCCTCCAGTTTTTGCAACTCCAACAGAGCACGCTTTTCTGCCACTTTTTATATCATCTACTTAGCCTTAATGGCAAATAATTAATTTCCAGCTTCCGCGAAGTCAGCTCTAGCCTGCCACGCCCTCGGCCGCCCACCGCCCACCGCCCACTTAGTAAATGGCCGCATGTAACTGCAATTTCGCCCCTCAAAACCCCCTTTTCAAGCCCCTGGAACGGGCATTTTCAATTTACAAATTGCTTATTTTTCGAAAACCAAATTGCGAGTGCCTCGGACTCTTGCCAGGAGTGAAAACCCGTAGCTGTAACCGGATCCGGATCCGGATCCTGATCCGGGACCAGGACGAAGCCAGAAGCAGCAGTTAATGCATTTTACGTGCGGCCAGTTGGGTGGCGAAAAATGGGGGTGGGAAAATGGGGGGTCGAAAATGTGCTGCGGCGAAGGCTTCTCAATTACGTTTATAAATTTTCCAAGCCAAAATGGCGCAGCCTCCGAAAATGAATAGCCTCCTGAAAGCGCGAACTGGGGGAGCGAGATGACAGGCAGAAGGGGCGTAAACCAGAGGAGTTTTGGGTCTTAAAAAACCCTACAAAACTTCATCAGATCACAAACAAAGTTAGAAAAAATGACTAAAAATTTAGGTGATCGGCTTAAAACTAAACATATTTAAGGTATCAAAAAAAAATATTATTCGTAGGCTTATAAACATTAGAGACTTAACAAAAAGCTTTATTTACCATTTTTGTAGAAACCTGTTAAGAAATAAAATAGGTTTTCAGTTTTCAAACATCAGGACTCAATTTTCGAAAATCCCTTTTCTGTTTTGAATGCGCCTTTGGAATTAAACGTACAAAAGCCTTCCGAGGAACCACTCCAAAAAATCAACCAAACTCTTCCCTCTCCGTTGACCGAAATTTTATTAACTTCTTTTAGGCCAAATTGCATTGCGGTTTATTTGAAGGCCACTTCTCTTTCTCAAAAAGCAACCCTTACCGCTTAGTCCTCAACCTCCCGACCCCTTCGTCACCTAACTCCCGAAAACGATTCCCGTTTATTTATGATGCGACATTTCAACTCGCATTCGTAGGCATAAAAACAGCCCCAACAATTTATTGGCGCCATCAAAAATTGTTTCATGCACAAAAGAAAATAACATAATATTGCTTATTTTCAATATTGTAAAATCAATAAGAGTACAATATCTACATTTAATATATATAAAGTTGATATATACGTATTTCTTTTTATTTCATGTTTAAATGTAAGTATTGTAAAACCTTATCATAAATTAAAAAAAAAACTTGGATTTTAGAAATATAAACCTGTTAAATAACTAAATTTAAAATTCTATATAAACAACAACAATATATCATCTTTGACTTTCTTTTTATAATACAATCACCACTTTAACATTATATGAACTCAAAATAATGAAGTCTTTCTTTTCACCAGTGTAAATATATTCTTTTGGCCGATGGAATGGGTAAAGGGCAGGAGGCACGCCCACCGCCTAACCAAATGGCCAAGACTCCATCGTTGCCCTTTCGGTTTTATGGCCTACGCATCATTTGGCTAAAAGAAGCTAACAGAGAGCTTCAGATGAATCCATTTGGAGGATGTCTTCGACTACAATTTGGGAATAAAAATGGGAAAAGGCGGTGTGGAATGGTAATCGTTCTATGAAATGCCTAAATAAAATAAATGGCTAAACAGAATTAGAGTGAAAGGACCTGCGGCCCAAAAGGATATGGAATGGAGCCTATTCAAAGTTATTTATTCGGAAATGCGGAGAGACAAGTGGATGGTATCGTATTTATGATATTTTATTTATTATACGGCTGTACATAAGTGTCGAATTTCTTTTTTACGACGGGTATTATTTGTTTTTGTTTTTATTGCACGCAATAAGTGGTTCTTTGCAAAAAAGAAATATTATTCGCATTACATACAATACAATTTTTGGAGTGAATAAAATAACACCATTTCATTTATTGTTTTTGGATTTTGTTCTTACTTTAATTAATGTAAAGGCTGGGATTATCAATTTTAAATAAGTGTATTATTATTCTTAAAGGGTCATTTTCAAAATAGTACAATTACATTTCCTTTCAAAAACTAGTAATAAAGTTTCAAAACAAGAACTGAGCAGTATTTTTAAATTACACTGATACAAAATCTTTTCAACGTTAAGTAATATTATGAATGAAAAGTAACAATAATGTGTAATATTAATATGATATGATAAAATAATATAAGATTTTCCAGAAGTTCTTCTGATACCAGGAAAATATTTAAAACATAGATGATATTTTTCTTCTCGAACTCTTTTTACAGATTCTTCTGTCGCTTTCTCCCTCAAAAACCAACGAAATCAATTAAAAGCGCAATTAATTTGTTTGACAGCTAAAGAAAACAGACGCCAAGCTTTTGGCCTTATGTAGAGTGGGGGTGGAAAAAGGGGGTGAAATGGGAGAGGGGTGAAAGGTGAAGTCTGACTTTTTTCTCCTGTTGTTCGTCTGATTCTGTCGGAATAATAAAAGTAATTTAATTTTAATGAAATTGTTAATACGAAAACAATTTCATTTTGCAAAAAGTTTTGCCTGGGCCAAAAGAGGAAAAGAGGGGGGATGAGTGGATCAGGGAGGGAGAGAGTCAAATTGCTCGTGACAATGAGCGAAAGAGAAAACAAGAAATAAACAAACAAGTGTGTGGGAAAAAGAGAAAGCCGAACCAGCAAAAACAGCAGTAAAGCAAAAACAAAAATGCCGTCGCAAAGCCAAAAAAGAAAAGCACTCCCCAAGAGAAAGAGACAGAGAGAGGAAAAAGATAGAAGGGGAATGCGAGAAATGAAATGCTGATGCGAAGATTTAATAAATGAAATTGGTGTGTGATTAAAAACACAAAAACCAAACGAAATCCATCTAATCAACTTTTGCTGCCGCCTCACTTTTCCTCAACTTTCTCCTCCCCCTTTTCTCCGTTCCCATCCTCCTTTTTTGCTTTCCCCCAGTCTCTCTCTCTCTCTCTCTTTCTGCCTTCGACGTCGACTGCAGCAGCGACAGAAGGGGAGAAAAGTGGATGAGAGCATTGGAGAGAGGGTGGGAAAATACTGGGGGTGGGCGCTCTCAAGTTTGAAACGCCTCCTTAAGGGAAAAACTGAGCTCAAGGATCCTTGGTATTTTACTAGATTCAAGAAAATTTTCTTTAAAATCTTATACATTTCTAATAAAATTATATTTTTTTGAGCTTAGTTATTGAAATACATCCTAATTGTGGTAACTGTTTGATTCAACAATTCCAACAAATTGTACATAAATTAATTGTACATTCGTTAACTGTTTTTACATATAAAAGTGGAGAAAGTGTTTATAATCTTATGACGCAGTTTTTTTTCGCAACATTTGATTTAAATTATAAAGTTAACGGACAAAGCGATTTCTTAAAACGTTCTCGAGTTTTGTACATATTTCAAAAACGATTGCATAATTTCCCAGTATTAAATTCCCATTTGGGTAATTTTTCTCTCTTTAAACTCCGCCTCCAATTATGAGCATAAAATGGCTGGAATACGATAGGAATCCATTTAAAAAATAAGGCACGCCCACTAACAACTACTTCCAATCACAACCAACACAATAACAAATGGCGCTAAATAAAATTTCAGAGTAGTTCCAAAAGCAAACACATTTTACATTGCTGAAAGTGGCGCTGGATGCTCCTAGTTCTAAAAGTAAACACAAAATTGTAAGCTAAACAGTTCGCCAGTAATCATTTAAAATTTTTTTTATTGTGTTAATATAATTATAAAGTATAAATAATTTTATTTACTCAAAACTTCATGACAATTAAATTTGTTAAATTTGCTAAAACTATTTTTAGCTAAAAGCAAAATACTTTTATTGAACTTTATTTTCAATCAACTTAAGTGTTTTGTAGTAGTCAAAGTACTCGAATCAAATATTTTTAGAAAGAGTAAATGCCAATTAATGCAGGATCATTTTTAATAGCCAAATGTGAAGAAAATTTATTTTCAGGGCTGACCTTCTATTAATGCCAATCATTTTAATAAACCAGTCAGTGTCGAAGATGTCTTCATACGTCGGCGAAGAAGTAGAGAATCAGTTCTTAAAAGACTTTCGTCTTGGATTGGTCACTCAAACGCAGTATGCTGAATTTCACCAGTTTTATATTGTGTTCTTTTGTTGTTCTGGGTCTTTATGGATCCCCAGCCAACTCCCAGGAAAGACCAGGATCCATTTGTCTGTTAAAGGACGCACCTCACCAATGCGGTGCTTTTTGCCTTTCAGCATTAGGTTCACTTTACAATCAAATGGCTGCCTTTAAGGTAAGTCCAATTAAAGATCATTCACAACCAACTATTCTGCATTGCCAACAAAAACTTTTCAGAAGTCAATATCCAAGGTTGAAAGTTCTCTGGTCCAAATGAACACCCAGATGGATGGTTCAATTTACGATCAAATGGCTGACTTCAAGGTAAGTCCAATTAAAGACCATTCTAAACCAAGTGTTCTAGTAATTACCCATATTTGCAGACCAAGATGCACAGCCAACAGGAGTCGCTATTCAAAGTTGAAAGTACTCTGGTGTCCAGTAAAGGGACTTGGGACCAAATTAACATCCAGATGGAAGGTCTACAACAAGGTCAAAAACAATTGACGGAGGGTCTGAATAAATTGGAAAATGTTTTAACCAACAAAGAGGAGAGAATCGCTTCACAGATGGAAGATCTGAGAAAGAACTTTGACGCGAGGTTAGACAGGATGCAAGACCAAGTAAAAGCGGGATCTAATAAGTTAGAGGAGCCAAAGGCAGGAACTTCGCTAAAAGCCATTCCCCCCAAGTTTGAGCTGATAGGCTCAAGATATTTTTACATTGAAGAAAATAATCCTCAAAATTGGACAACTGCTGCCAATACCTGTCGGGAAATGGGAGGTCATCTGGCCTCCTTTAAGAAAGAAGACGAGCTAGACGCTCTTAAAGATAGACTCCATCGATATTATAGATATTGGATAGGCATTAACGATCACAAAGAAAAAGGCGACTTTGTGTCGTTGGCCTCCGGTAAGCCAGCCTTTTTGAATTGGGCACCCTATGAACCCTATTACTTCGAAGCAGAACAGAATTGCATTTTTTTAGGGGTGTGCAGCAGCGGAGAACTATGCATGCTGTTAAATCCGTGTACGATTCCACTTAATTTCATTTGCCAGGCTGATGACGAAATTTAGTAACAAACATTTGCAAAAAAAGGATTTGTTTTTTTAACAATAAATACTTAGGGTTCCTACTCAAAATAATATTTAAATACTTACAACATTTCTAAAACATAAATAAATATCTGAATAAAATGCAAGTGTAATTGAAGCAACTTTGCGTCAAAATTGGACAACTGCTGCCAATACCTGTCGGGAAATGGGTGGTCATCTGGCCTCCATTAAGAACGAAGACGAGCTACACGCTATCAGCGTTAAACTCAGTCCATCTAAAATTTATTGGCTGGGCATTAACGGCAACTTTGTGTCTTTGGCCTCCGGTAGGCCAGGCTTTTTTAAATGGAAAATCAATCACCTAAAACAAACGGACAAGGTATCGCCATGTTTTTAGCTCTGTGTAGCTCACATTGACATTTGTGAGGCTGATGACGAAATTTAGTAAATTTATACCTGAAAAAATGTACATGCAACTTTACCTGGAATATAAATAAGGATTTGTTTATGCCTGTATTAAATTCTTCTGTAGACTTTGCGACTATCCAAAATAATGAGGCGTGCTGTGTACTACTTAGGCATCCCTTTTTTCAAATGGCAAGAGTTTCGGTGTTCCTTCCCCATAGGAATTAGTAAGTTTTGTTATGAAAATGAAATTACTTTTTGCTTATTTTGGTGTTTGACAACCGATACGTTAAAACTCAAAAATAACCTTCTGTAGAATTCTAATATCAAGAAAATCACATATTTAATATCGACTCTATGTACATAGATTGTACGAGTAATTTATATTGAAAACTTAAAGATCATTGCGCAACGCCTCAAACTTAAACTATAAATTTGAATAAATGACATTTTAATTATTAAAGTCAAACCAAAGAAACCGCAATCATATGAAAAGAAAAATGATTTTAACTTTAATTTATGTTGTTATTTTAATTATTTATATGTGTAAGGCGAGGTCGTATCTGAAAAATCCAATAAAGAAACGTGTAGTAGGTTTTTTTTTGTTGATAAATTTTATTAGACACTGACAAGCATATTTTATATTGTGTATTTGATATATTATATCGCAATTCAAGTGGAAAAAAAGTAAATTTATCCCAAACTTTTAACGGTGATATTGGTGGAATATTATGTATTCCAAATCAGATGTCAATTATCTAACTGACTGTGTTTTTTATTTTCTTTGTCTAAATGTTTTCATCTGCCTGGCAAATGAACAATTTTTTATATCTACAATTTAACATTGCCATGAGACCCGAATAAATTCCAACGCAGTTCTCATTTTCGTTTTGGGAATGGGGTTCATTCAGATGCCACTTATAAAATGAAGAGCGTTTGCCGGAGGCCATGGACACTAAGTCGCCTTTTTTGGCCCTATCGTTGTTGCCCAGAAAGTAATGCACATTATGCAGAAGTTTCGGAACAATGGCGTTCAACTCCTTCTCGTTTTGAAAAGAGGCTAGATGTCCTCCCATTTGGCGACATCTGTCCTCAGCATCAGTGAAATTTTTCATAACATTTTCTTCAATATAGAAGTATCTTTCAAGGATCTTCTCCAAATTCGGATGGACGCTTCTTACACTATTCTCGTCCTTTTGACCGAGTGAATTGGTGCTGGGTGTATTAATGACTAAGCCTTGTTCCAATTTATTCACGACCGACATCAGCGTATTTTGGATGCGTTCTAATCTCGCATCAAAGCTTTTCTGCTGACTTTCCAGTTTCGCGTTTAAGACAAGCTTGAACTTAGCCATGTGATCATAGAGTGGACCTAGTGCTGAAAGGCAAAACGATCCGCATTGGTTTGGTGCGTCCTTAAGAAGGCAAACGGATCGCGAATTTTCCTGGGATTCCGCTGGGGATCCATAAAGATCCTGGGCCACAAGCAACCACAATATAAAAGTGGTGATCTTGAGCATACTGCTACTGAATGACCTATCAAGTCGAAAGTCTTGAAGGAACTGACTGTCCACTCATTCGCTGATTTTTGAAAATATATTCGCTGCTGTCGACAATGATTCGATTAAATTGTTGGCATTAATTGCCAAATGGACCTTACTCTTGCACATGATCATTCAAAAAATGTTACAGTCAAAAAAAATATTATTTTTCATGGATATCCTATTAATTTCAGCTAGATACGGTTTCAATTCATTTTAAACTTCTGGTGCTTAACTTTTTCATATAAAAATATATTCATGTATTGATAATCAATAATTTGAATAAGAACATTAACTTTAGAAAAATTTGTGGTAACAAAATGATATTTATTATTAAAAATTATTAAATAAATGAGATATATTTTGTTAAAAAATAATATAATTTTTCTAAGTGCAGTTTTTAGTACATAACCTCTATATACCCTTGCCACTATTCAGTTTATTAGTCAATATATTCATTTAAAACAACGCTAAATTTATTTCTAAGTGTGGCTGTTTGGGAGTATTGTTCCAGAAACCAATTATAATCTGTAAAAAAAAGAACAAAAGACTCGATAAGACGAACTTATGATCAACTTAATATTACAAATTTAAACTCTTATTTGTGTTCTCTTATTTCTAACCTAACTAGCTCCACACATCATCCTAATTTTAAGAAATTAATAATAAATTAACACCTCAAGCAAGCGTGACTTTAATTTACAGCACAAATTAATCCTTAAATGCCAGTTAATAACACGGAATAAATTGAAAAATAACCGATCTTGACCGATATTCCAGATGACAGCATACACTGGTAATATTATCCACATTCGCCGTGATTGATACAATCGATTAGTTTCGCCTAATCTGAAAGAATTTTTAGCAAGGCAGAAAAATCAAATCAACTTATTTCATGCGATCTACCGTATTTTAAGACATTTAAGCAGACAAAAGTAAAGTTCACATAATCCGTGATACATATTAAAAAATAATTTGAATTTCCATCATGTACACAATTTTTTTTTTAAATGTTTTAAAATAATGGTTTTTTATTTAAAACTTCATCACCACATAATTTGTTTACTTTTTAAAAACAAAGTTGATATAGACTTTGAATAGAATTTAAAACTAAAAGCAATAATTTTATTACATTTTAGTGTCAATCAACGTAAGTGTTTTGTAGTAGGCAAAGTACTCGCATCAAATATTTTTAGAAAGAGTAAATGCCAATAAACGCAGGATCATTTTTAATAGCCAAATATGAAGAAAATTTATTTTTAGGGCTGACCATTTATTAATGCCAATCATTTTAATAAACCAGTCAGTGTCGAAGATGTCTTCATACGTCGGCGAAGAAGTAAAGAATCAGTTCTTAAAAGACTTTCGTCTTGGAATGGTCACTTAAACGCAATATGCTCAATTTCACCAGTTTTATATTGTGTTCATTTGTTGTTCTGGGTCTTTATGGATCCCCAGCCAACTCCCAGGAAGGACCAGGATCCATTTGTCTGTTAAAGGACGCACCTCACCAATGCGGTGCTTTTTGCCTTTCAGCATTAGGTTCACTTTACGATCAAATGGCTGACTTCGAGGTAAGTCCAATTAAAGACCATTCTAAACCAAGTGTTCTAGTAATTACCCATATTTGCAGACCAAGATGCACAGCCAACAGGAGTCACTATCCAAGGTTGAAAGCACTCTGGTGTCCAGTAAAGGGACTTTGGACAAAATTAACACCCAGACGGAGGGTCTACAAAATCTAAAGCAACTGACAGAGGGTCTAAAGAAATTGGAAAATGTTTTAACCAACAAAGAGGAGAGAATCACTTCACAGATGGAAGATTTGAAAATTAACTTTGACGCGAGATTAGACAGGATGCAAGACCAAGTAAAAGCGGGATCTAATAAGTTAGAGGAGCCAAAGGCAGTAACTTCGCTAAAAGCCATTCCCCCCAAGTTCGAGCTGATAGGCTCAAGATATTTTTACATTGAAGAAAATAATCCTCAAAATTGGACAACTGCTTCCAAAACCTGTCGGGAAATGAGTGGGCATCTGGCCTCTTTTAAGAACAAAGACGAGCTAGACGCTTTTAGAAATAGACTCAATCAATATAAAAATTATTGGATAGGCATTAACGATCACAAAAAAAAGGGCGACTTTGTGTCGTTGGCCTCCGCTAAGCCAGCCTTTTTGAATTGGGAACCCAATGAACCCTATTACTTCGAAGCAGAACAGAATTGCATTTTTTTAGGGGTGTGCAGCAGCGGAGAACTATGCATGCTGTTAAATCCGTGTACGATTCCACTTAATTTCATTTGCCAGGCTGATGACGAAATTTAGTAACAAACATTTGCAAACAAATCCTTTTTTTAACAATAAATATTTAGGCTTCTTACTCAAAACAATATTTAAATACTTACAACATTTTTAGCATGTAAATAAATATCTGAATAAAATGCAAGTGTAATAGAAGCAATTTTGCGAGACGCTCTCAGCGTTAAACTCAATTCACCTAAAATTTATTGGGTGGACATTAAGGATCACAGAAAAAAGGGCAACTTTGTGTCTTTGGCCTCCGGTAAGCCAGCCTTTTTGAATTGGGCACCCTATGAACCCAAATACTACACAAGAGAAGAGAATTTTCATTTCTTTAAAGGTGTGCAACAGCGGAAAACTATGCATGCAGTTATTTCCGCATAGTTATTATTTTTATTTCATTTGCCAGGCTGATGACGAAACTTAGTAACAACCATTTGCAAATAAATCCTTTTTTTCAACAATAAATATTTAGGGTTCCTATTCAAAATAATATTTAAATACTTACAACATTTATAACCTGTACATAAATATCTGAATAAAAGGCAACTTTTAAATGTTACTTTACCTGGTATATAAATAATGAATAGGTAGACTTTTGGGACCATTCCAAATAATGAGACGTACTGGGTACGGTTTAGGAATCCCTTTTTTGAAAAGCTTCGGTGTTGATCTCTTCTTAATAGTCTCATAAAAATGAAATTTTTTTTTGCTTATTCTTGTTTTGGTATGGGTGGTCGAAACTCAAAAATAAATTATTGTAACTTTAAAATTAAAATGAAATGGTAAATGGTATTTAGTACTATACTTCAGTAGAATTCTTATATCAAGAAAATCACCATTTTTCTCTATATCGACATTGCACAATTATTTTATTTTGGAAACTTATAACCAAACTTAAACAAAAGTTTCTTGATTTTTTAATAAATACATTGGCCACCAACATCTACCATTTGCAGTATTAACATAAAGGTTTTTGAATGTTACCTTATATTGGACCTCACATAAGGCACATTTCTCAAACCAGACATTAAAGGTATAAATAAAATTTATTTGTTAATACATGGCTTTTAGCATTTGTCATCATTTTATTTCCAGTCCTACTTAGTGGAGTCTGACTGTACAAGCACGAACTACCTGCTGCTGATTACAGTTTATCTGGGGCTCTCTCTGTCCTCTCTTTCGTTGGCAATCTCTCTCTTTGGGGCTCTCCCTCCTTATTGTGGCTCCACCGACTTTTCTTGCTGCGCTGAGTGCTCAGATTGCTTTGCGCTCTCTCGGGCTTCACATCGCGATTCGAATCGGTGGTGTTTTTAAAACTACGCGTGTTTTTGTGTGTTCGTGCTACTCGGTTAGTTGTTGTTGCTTTTCAGCTAGTCGTACGATCTAGCATTTGTGCTCAATTCTAAATTCTAAGGGCAACAACTAGCGTTTTTCCAAGCATATGTGCAACTATTTGCGTTAGAAAGTTATTAAAGCAAAGGCAACGGTTAAAGTTGACTAAATTTCGGAAAAGCGTAAAATGTGATTGCAGTTTTAGTTAAATTGATTTCAAAATGAGTGGATGGAGAGGGGGAATAAGTCAAAAGAGAGCGGGAGAGTGGTTCTCTTTTAGTGGATAATTAATAGATTAAAATGTAGCCTGCAATTAAATGCATGTTAAATCACTTACTAGTTGCTCTCTCTCATTCGCACTTTAGCATGACGTACTGTTCGTCGAATTTTCCTTGCGAAATTCCCATAAACTGGACATTTTCCAAGACATCAATCAAAGCTTCCATTGCATTTTTCAACAAACTCTCTCTCTCTCTCTCTCTTTGGACTGCATTTTTGCGTCGCATTTCCTTCTTTCGCCATTCTTCTGATTGGCTTTTCTTTGATATATTATAATAGAAGCTTAATTGTTGTTGTAACTACTCCTCTTCTTATTTTGTTAGTTACTCTTTGTTTTTTTTACTTGCCATATACAATTTTTCTTAATTTGTGAGCGTTGCCGCCTTCGCTTTTTTTATACTTTTTTCTGCCGCTGCTGTTTTTCTGTTTTCTGTCTCACCGCCGCGCTTCTATTTTTAGCAACAAGTATTGCTTTTGTTGTTGTTGCCGCTCAAGTTAACTACGCTACGCTGGCAGAAAACAACAACATGTCAAACTATGCGGAGCGCGAGAGCAAGTTAAAAACAAAAGAGGAAGAAGGAGAGAGTAGTACGCGAGATAGCCAGGGAGAGAGTAAAAAATACAGTGGGGCTTGGAAGAAAAGTTTAAGGAAGGGTTAATGATCGTGAACCGAAAATTTGTAAATTTTATTAACTGAAAGTGTTATAAGAAATATATACAAATATACATTTGTGATAAATCAAAAATATTTAAAAAACAATAGAATAATAGCTGTAAAACAACTGATTTTTGTAAAATATTAATTGTTTTAGTTTTTCTAAATTTGTACTTCTTATTTGGTATTCTAATGCTTTAGCATTTACAGTGTTTATTAAAATTTTATTTCTGAATCCTACTGTACTTTACTTAGGTGATAACAATAACACCAAAGAGCGAGAGAAAAAGAGAGTTTTTTGATCGTTCTCCCGGAGACTTTCTCCTCGGCCCCTCCTTCATTTCCCAATCTTTCTTGTTCTGCGGCTAATAGCATTTACATTTGAATGCCCAATTTCATAAAAACGCAAGTGAAAAGACTCGAGAAAACAAAAGTGCAGGCTAACTAAATTGATGACGAAGTTTCGTGTGCCGCCTGCATTTCATTTATGTATAAATATTTTCGGCCTTAATTCTGTGCTTCCTGTGAATTAACGAGGAAACTAAAGAGTGCGCGAGCGTGAGAGGCGATCAAGTGGAAACCGAGAAACTTTCTTCGCAAAAGCCGGCTGATCACAAACAAAATCCATTCTCTGGGAGTTTTTCTTCACCGCTGGAATTTCTTTACATTTCGTCCAACATGTAAGCCCCATTTTAATATGCAATTACTGTCCGCTGTTTGTTGAACAACAGCTTACTTATTATTGTTTATTTATGGATTTATGCCGCCTACGAATTTTGCGATTGCACAATCGTTTGGCCTTTGAATATGAACGATTTTCCGTTTTTTTTACCCTTAAGTCACTTTAGTCCGTGCCTTGAATAATCATTAAGGTTCAGGGTTTTTGTATCCCTTGTTTATACCCTACACCATAAAATATAGTTTCCAGATATCAAATATAAATATTTTATAACTTCGATTTTTTTTAATCTTAAAAAGATTAGATTAAGCAAAGCTTAACAACTTTTTAATAGTTATAAAAAAATGTTCAGGGCCAAATGTATCTTTAATATGTGCTTAAATAGATTTTAAAGATAATGAAATCCCTTATGACAATTTTAAACTCATTTCAGTTTTTTATTATCTAGGCTGTTTGTACTATTGAAAATGTTGAAATAAGGAGTTACATCAGTACTCGTGCATCCATACAATATTATTGAAGAAACTTTCTGGCAAATATTCGCTTCGCAAGGGCATTCCAAGGATGATTCGGGGAATTATTTGTACTTATGTAGATAATTAATGGAAGTCCCAGTATATTTCCATGTGCTGATTTCGTTGCAATTCCCTTCCTATTTTATTGCACAATCACAGGGAACAAAGCTCAGTTTTTGTTTTAGGTATTGCTGTTTTATTTATTTGCTTTGTTTGCTAGTTTATTTTTAGCTTTTTGTCATAAAGTTTAACAAACAAACCAACAGTGAAAAATAGCAGCCACTTTGTGCCATTAAAATGTCTGGTTGTTTCGCGATTTGCTTTCGATCGGTCTTAGGTATGAGGGAGTGTAGACTTAGTTTTACAACTGCGCAGATTTCGAGCGTAGAAATATATATTGGTTAATTACAAGGAAAGGTTTCTCTTATCGGAGAAAATTCTAGAAGTTACACAACACTTGTTCGAAAGGGGAGAAATAAATTGCAAATTTTCTTTGCTGGCTTTGGAAGGCCTCTGTTCTTGAAAATTAAGTCGCAATACGAAATTGGACTCCAGTTTAGAAAGGTAATAAATTTTTAACCCAACCTCTAAGTGATAAGTGGGGGATTTGTTGGGATTGGGATATGGTGTGGAATGAATAACTCTATTGTCGAATATACCGTTGAATACAATATCAACAGAAAAACAATATTATATTTACTTTAGATAATTTCCCATTTTTTTTGGGTAACTGAGTATTTTATTTACACTTCGTTGCAATTTTTATTTACTTAGTCATACGTTATAGTAAAATTTTATTTTTTACATATAATATTGTAAAAACACAATTACTTTTATTTGTATTAAATATCTATAAATATATTTTAATATTTTAGCGTTTTCCTTTCAGAATTTAATTTGAATTTGCACAAACGCTATATGCCAAGACAAGGAAGTAATAAAACTTGATATCCTTTTATATCTTTTATTATGCATTTAAAAGTTTTTCTTGGTCTTAGAAAGATCATTATACCTACAATTTTAAAATAAATAAATTTGTTTATCTGGTAGTAAACAACAATTTCGTTTTGTTTTCTTATCCAAATTATTTGGCCAAGCCATTGCGCCCATTTATAGCACGTAAAATAAACAGTTTGTCAAATTTTCGCATTTCAGCGTTCTTTTCTCCCGATGATAGCACCATCCCCACAACCATAACAAATTGAAATGTTAGCCGGTAAACGATTTCTGTAGCTTTTCGTTGTGAAGACGTGCCCCTTTTCATGTCGAATTTCACGCAGCAAATAACTTGAGTAAGCTGCATAAAAAATTTATGTCAAATTGACAAATTTTTAACAGTTAAAATCGACAAAGAAAAAAGCCATGCCAATCAGTTTGCGAAAAAATTAACACCAATTTGATTTTTCATCAATGAAACTTGTTTGCTCGAAGAGAAGTATACTCTTACTTAAGAGAATTTTATTAAACAGCTCTTTGTATGAAATACCTCTTTAGATTATTTTCATTCGCTCTGATCTTGGGTCAGCTGTTAATGATTTTCCTTGGAAATTGTATAAATATTTCATGGGATACTTATTGAACTTGAAAACTTTCCGCACAATAAATTATTAGAAAAATTAATACAAATTTAAAATTGTGTTTTTGTTGATTTTTATTTGGATGTTTATCCACTTTGCTTTCAATCGATATACTTTATGACTGTCATCACTAACAGAAAAAGCTTTTATTTATTTAGCTTTGTTAAATACGAAAGCTTTTTCATCGTTTTTTCAAAGCTGTTATAATAATATACTATTCAAAAAATATGATGTGTAAATACAAGCTCAAACTCCTTTTGTCAACTGGCCAACCCAAAATTGCATTTAAAAACTACAAAACGCAAAACTGGGCGGGTGTTGTCACTACTCAATTGTTGTTTCTCTGTTGCCGCCCAAATAACCTTTCCTTTCCGATTGCACCAATTAAAAAAAATATATATATAATTATTACCTACACTAACTGGCGACTCTCATGACGGCTTATCAATAGCGTCAATGTCGCCAAATACAAACAAAATCGACATACAACAACAACTTGTATCGGAGCAATCTAAAAAAAAGTAAACGCAGACAGCTGCATGGATCCTCAGGTGCGGAGGGACTTAATAGTGGGTTAAAGAAATTAAATTGGTTTACTTTTATGACTTTTTGGCATCGTAATAAAAATGTTTAATAAAACCCAGCAACCCTTGAATATAAATAAATGATTTTTTAATACAAAAAAATTAAAATGGAAAACAAATAAATATTTATTAAAACACTAAATAAAATTCCATTTAAATAATAATATAAAAAAATGGTTATGCTTTTAAAAATCTGGCAATAAACTATGTAAAAAACTTTATTATATATTGTACAATAAATTGTGATCATAAAAGGTTTTTAAATTTTGATAAACGATATGAACAGTTATCAGTTGAATTAACTCGTGAGCTCTTGGCAATCGTTAAATTTAATTATTTTAAGTGAATCCACTTCATGTTCGATAGTTTTTTTTTAGTGTTTGGAAATTTTTCTCAGCACTTTTGTTACGATTTCCAATTGAATTTGCATTGTAAACAATTTAATAAGGTTTTGATTTTTGCTTAAATCACGTCCCACGCCAAATGATTGCTGCATGCTCGACTCAATTTTCCTCTCCATACTTTTCCCGCCCCTATTCCGTCTGTGTTGAGTTGATAATATTTCCAGTTCGGTTTTGTTTACATGCCCCGTAATATTGTTTGTAATAAATAAATCAGTTCCCCTAAACGTTTTCCGCAGCAATCTCGCGCAAGTAGCGGCCAACAGGTATGTATAATTATGACATAAAAAAGAGAATAACCAGCGAACAATTTGGCTATGTCGAAATTCGGCATGAGCTACAGGATATGATTTATGAAGTGATCCGTACTAAATCATCCATTGAGTGTCGCCTCAAGAGTCTGAGAATAGTTTACAATAAATTGCCTTGGGCTGTCAACACGACGTATGCGTAATATTTTGTAGGGGCATGCCAATGAAGAATGGGTTGATGTATTCGAAAAGTGTGCTGAGAAGGAGTTTAGTGTGGCAAAATTGAATGGAAATGACTCAGTTCCTTTTGGAGAACCAATTGCGCTAACATAGCGTATACGTGATATATGTATAAAACTAAAATTCTAGGCCAAACAATAAAAAAAGTAATTTTGGTTATTTAATAAATTTGTGAATTAATATTTATTGAATAAATTAATTATTTTAAAAACTTACAAACATTTTATTGAAAATTAAGTATACGCCCTGTGATATTTTTATATCCTTTTTTGAAATATTCTTCGAAAATGTTAAGTAAAGTAAAGCTTTTTTTTTATTTTGGTTTTATATGCAGGTTTATAATTATATTAAATAATCGGCAGAATAACCTATTTCAATTACGTATACTTAATTAAAATAGATGATTCTGCATTCATTTTAATGACTTATATCATAATGTCTAAATTTTTAATAAATTAACTATAAGTGTAATACTTAAAGATGGTTAAGACTTATATCGGAATTATTAAAAAAGAAATACTATAAATTTCGATCTGAATAGCTGCCCTCGTAAATATGTCAACTACATATCCTTTAAATTACCAGCGAAGTTAAGCTATCCCAACTGCCCAGGGCGGTTCATAAATATGCAAGTAGAGGATCATAGGAACGCAAGTGCCGGTTTATGGTGCGTGTGCCTGGAAGTAAATACTTTCGATACTAGATGGTGTTATTATTTTTTTTACCCCGAAACGCTTTTCATTCTAGCATGCCAGCCAGCAATTAGATCGCTGCCAATGCAATTTTTCCGTCACAGTCTGAGTGTGTGTGTGTGTGTGTGTGCTTTGCTTCTATTATTTTATTTAAACGATCGGCAGGCCAACGCACGAATCACAGGCGAGGCGTAGACATATTGATATGAATTTATATAAAGTTTTACTTTTCGTGTCATCGTGTGCGTGCACTCAACTGGTTTCAGCCAAATTTCGAGTTTTAATTTAAACGACAACCAAAAACGAGCGACAAGCAAACGCTTCTGGGGTTTGGGTTCACTTCGATAACCGACGTCGTCCCGCCGTCAGTCAACTACTATCGATAGGCTTACGATCTTACGATCGTTGCTTCCCAACACTCGATGCGAAAAACAGTTCTCGAGCGTCGCTCAATCGGTCAACAACGAATGTCGCTGAACGGCAAAAATATATTTACCCTTTTCGCTTCAATTTGTAAATTACAAAATACCAAAATATAAAAAAACAAAGTGCGTAAGAATCTACGGCTTCAACTAATTAAACGGCAGATCGGAATCTTAACGGCAATCGTGTGTGCTCTTGTGCTTGTGTTACACTTTGTTTGGGCTCATTAAAAGTGCAAATTGTTTACGAGAATTTTGCCAGCCTCTCAAAGGTAAAACAGCCAATTTCCTTTTACGATTTCTTTTTTTTTTACATCAC